CTTGTTCACAGAAAAGAGGAAATGAGACATATCTACGTTCCGTTTGCTGCTGCCACCAAGAGAGAAAAAACGGTTGACAATTTTTATTCGGTTTACGTTCCTCGTACACTCACGCCTGTCAAGGCAATGTTCGATCTTTCGTGTTTAGTGGACACAGATAAACCCTGTATTCTCAACTGGTCCAAGTCGTTCCTGGCGGCAATTCTGAGCGCAGCAGGTGCATTGGACAATTTCTCCAAGCCGCAAATCGACGATTCGCCAATTGGCTGGTGGGACAAATTAAGTCTCATTTTGCATGGAAAACTTCGATTCGATATTCCAAATGAATTGTGTCTCCACATCAAAAGTTCATCAGACCCTTACGATGTTGTCGGTAAAAGTGCAGGTTACATGTGGAGCTGGAAGCACGATGTGGAGCTCAAGTTCAACGATACCGGCGATCAGAAGGAGCTTATTATGTTAAATTCCTACGATTTTGTGTTCGGAGTTCCTGATTGTTCGTATGGAAGCGATTTGCCTTGGAGCTCTTCACACCCATTTGATGAGACAGTCTTTGAAGATATTGATGTGAGGCGTACTTTCCAGAAACATGTCATGAAGTTTTCATCGGATGAAAAAGTGCAGTGGCGTCTAGGCTTTCTTTTCGAAAGAAATGAAGACGTTAAATGTCGTGATATCAGTGCAGACCACAAGCGTACTGACAAATTCATTCCTCACTATGATGTCGTCGTTACCAGTCCAGACTTTGACTGGCATCCCGACTCCTATGAAGGGTTCCGGTCCGACTATCTCCACTTGGCGTTAGGTGTCACTTCGGTTTCAAAGAAGGGTAACAGTCACAATACAGCTTACTTGACACCACTTGCCTTTGCCTACTTCTTCTACTGGTGGAATTCTATCTCGCATACTGTCAGTATGCCCGTTCGTCAAGGCAAGTTGTTCCCCAAATTGGCTGATAAGGCGTCCATGAAAACAGGCACCCACTTGGTGACATTCAAGTACCAGCTTATCTTGGAGCCTCTCGCTGTCAGTCACATGTACACTTCGTATGAAAACCTGGAGGATGGTCCTCGTGTCATTGTCACTGGTCTCAAGGGTAAGAGTGAAAAATGCCACATCGATCTCCACCAAAGGAAAGAGGTCATTCGCTATATCAATGAGAAATTGGGTATCGACAAGAAGGTGCATCATATGAAGCTCCACCTAGGAGAGGTCCGTGTCTGTGAAGCCGACATTCGTGCCATTAAAGCGACATTCAAGGACCCTTCAATCCGTGGTCACATTATTGCTTACCTTACAAACCAAGTGGACAAACCATTGAGTGTTGAAAAGTATCAAGAAGAGCTCGATGAAAGAGTAAGGCATCTCAATAGCACCAGCTGGTCTCATGGCATTCAATGCAACCCAGAAGACCTATCCTGGCTAGATCAGGACGATTTCGTGGAACTTGAGCTGAGAGAAGAGCTTTCTCCAGACCCAATAATTGAGGTACTTCCATTTTTCCACACTCCTAAGTACACCTACTTTAGAGAGTTTACTTTGGAAAGAGAAGACCACAAGTACCCCTTCGGACATGAGCCATCTCATGTGTGCTACATTGGTGGTGAAAGTCCAGATATCGTTCAAGCAGACTTGTTGAGAAAGAGAGCCAGTATTCTTCGTACTGAGCTTGAAAACGACGAGCAAGAACTTGAAAATCTCCAAGACCTGAATGACCATACAGAACGGGTACGTCTTGAGAAGCTGATAAGCGAAGGAAAGCAGAGAATTGATGTCGTCAAAGACATGTACGCTGACTGTGCTGAAAACATTGAAATGTTTGATGATAAGGAGAACGGTGATTCCGTACATGAGTACCTTGGTGATGAAGATATTGCGAGACGTAAATCAGCAGCTCGCTCATTATATTCCAGCTTCAGATCCATTGATCAGGCCCATGAGATAACATCTGAGAACTCTGGTGTGAGTGAGTTCCACAACAGATTCCTTTTCCATAACCTCAAGCTCAAATGGAACAATCGTGTCAGAAATCTCGTCACAACATACATGATGTTGATTGGATCCAGACGTACAGAAATGCTTATGGTATCGAAGAAGGCTGTGGATCTTATAGAGTGCTTTGCCGAGCAGCGTAACCGTGCTGCAAATGAAAAGCCTCCGGGAGATAATGAAGAAGGATTCAAGCTGACGTTCCAGAATTCGGGAGATGTTATTGAGGAATTTGAGGAGTATCTTAATAAGTTGGCTAACGACACGCACGAGATGGAGTACAAGTATCTTGTCAAATTCATAAGACCCCAGATTCAGCTTGAGTGTGAGTTGGACCCCGATTCGGTTATGTGTGTGACCTCTCAGGACATTGAATTGCGTATTCTCTCGGAGAACATTGCTGGAACAGACGATATCATCAGTGACAGTAACAGTGAAGAAGTCAATTCTGTTGAATCTCGTCATGGTACTCTCTTCAAGGACATGCACGCTTTTGTCTTCCACAGAGATAAATTCCCTCATACATATGAGAGTCCTTATGGAGACGTTCATCAGAAACGAGCCTGGCCTCCTTGGGTCGACTACGAGGCTTGCGTGGACACTACATGGTTTCAGAAAGACCTTGTTTTGGAAAAGACTTCAATGGCTTTGATGCTCAAGAAACCCAATTTCTTGTCCATGGAGTCTGCGTCAAATCTACATGCCGACGAGCTTAGTATCCATTTGGCAAAGGTGGTGGTGAATGCCACATCCCAGCAGTACTCCTCCATGTACTACATCTTGCTCAATCTTCTTTTGGACAGCAAGTCGGCCAAGGAGCAACTTCACCTGAGACTTAATCAGATCATTGAGTTCTCAGGACTTGAAGACACGACAGGTTTGGCAGACAAGGTAAAGCTTTTGCAACGTAACATTGCCTTGTGTCAGCACACCCTACTTTCCTTGAAGGACCGTAACCTCACTGCAGAGGACAGGAAGGGCGTATCCCATGTTGAACTAGAGTTGGATAGAACATATGTTCAACTTGCGATCATCACCCATACATTGCAACAAGTTTCATCGCAGAGGAAGGGAAATCGTGGAGTTGGCATGTACTGGAACATCTATGCCGATCAAGTTATTTGGCATCTTTTGGAAGATACAGACAAGCCATTGGTGGACTTGGCCATGGCTCCATCCAAATTCCAGCGTGTGGATATGCTTGATGGTTCGAACACCAATCTTGTGGAAATTTCGATGATGCAAGGTTTCAATCTTCGCCGTAACGCTGTGTATCCCGACTTTATGCTGCCTTTGATTGACGAACCCAGCTACGATAAGAACAAGCCTGTGGTGGCTATGACGTGGAAAATGCTCAGTCGTGTTGGTGGTATTAGGGTCATGAGAAGCGCCAAATTGCAGTGTCAGCTGGCCAGTCTCCAGCTTGATCTTGAAACAGCCCAGACGCTTCTTGCGTACCTTTTCCCTCACGATGACAAACAAGAGGATAACAAGCACGAACGTTCAAGTGGAAGTGGAAGCTTCAGCAAAGATCGTGACTCATCAGACGATCTGGATGAGTCTGTGAGCACTGGAAGCAGTGGGTCGAAGACCAAGGTTAGCTCAATCAATCCGTTCAGGAAGATCATTGCCAAGCGAACTGGCAGTCCGTTGGCCTCTTCGCCCCCTCAGTCGCCTACCAGAAGCTCTCACGACTCTGGCAGCTGGGACAATTCTTCACGGATTTCTTCGACCGACATTCCCTCGATCAATTCCGAAACAAAAAGAGCGTTGGGCTTGAAGTCGAAGAAAGACAAGGACGGCGAAGCCACGGATGACCTTTCCATCATCATGAAGAGGTCCTCCAAGTTCTTCGTCATTGACGAAATCGAGCTCACATCTATGAAGCTTAGAGTCAGTTTCAAGGCGCCCAAGCATCTCAATATCATTGACGTGCACCGTCTTATGCTCACAATCCCGCTTTTGCAGTTCAAGAAGAAGACATGGTCGGGCGAAGATTTCGTGCTTCACATCAAGAGGGAGGTGATTCGGATCATCTTGTCTCATACCGGCAAAATTATCGGAAACAAGTTCAAGGTCAGAGACAGAAAGGCTACCAAGCTGCCGCTCAAGCAAATCCGTGATTTCAAGCACTACGTATCTCTTGAGGATCTAGAAGAGGAAGGCTTGGAGCTGGCGGACTCTCAAGAGTCAACTGGAGAGATTGAAAATGTCAATCGGTTGCACAATGTGATCCAGAGCCACGATGAACACCAAGGCACCACGCATACCTAGCATGTACATATTACTTGATTAATAGACCAAGACCTTAAGTTGGTGTAAGAATGACTGAGGAGCAAAGTATCAGGTTCTTTGGATTCTGATTTAGTAGCAGAGATGATTCAACTACATGCTCCCACTCTGGACATAGAACTCCTCCAAAGTAATCAAGTAAGAGCTATTTCGACTTGATAGATTCTAGAATAAAGCGATTGAGGCAGACAACTCTGGTTTCGCTATCGAGTATCCACTCTCATCAAGTGAGGTGAAAATCAAGCGTTCTAATGATGAGGTAGCACCAAAACTTCCAAAACCGGCAGTCAAAAATCTCAGATCCATATAATCATTCGGGTTTGTCCTCTCATAATTGACCAATTCTCCTTCAACCGAAATCTCCAATTCATATCTAACGTCCCGGGCCATTCACAAATCTTATATAAATAGTACGCCGCGGTAGTTAAGCATTTGTGCCTGTGCGGCCAGATTGCAACGTTCTGCCGAAAATAGCCGATAAGCGAAAACACCCACACCCAATTTCCCAAAATAACCAGGCAAAAAGGAAACTATTTCTTAAAATCCAGCTTTAACAAGTAACAAAAGATGACCAATCAAATAAAATCAAGGAATCATTCACTGGATCGACCGGGTGGTCGGTGTGCCAAGCGTCTCTGGACCAGTGCACCAAACAAAAGGACTTGCATCAACCAAGACTAAACAGCCAAACCTCAATTGTCTTCTTCAAGTAACCCAAAATGGCGTTCTTTGAGGCCCTCAAAGATAAGGCCGTCAACACGTTCAACCAGGTTTTGGACAGGGCCCCGGCTAATGGCTTGTCTAGAGACGAGGCCTTTTGCAGAGAACACAATCTTCCGGACGGAGAGGTGATTCTAGACGAGCTGGCGGTGGAGATCTGCTGCAAACCAGAAAACTCTAGAGACGCCTACAATGTGCTGTATCCGCAGGGGCGGATCTATTTAACCCAGCACTTTCTTGTGTTTCGGGACGTTTTCGACCGCAGAAACTGCTCCTTCGTGATTCACCTCAGCACGGTAAAGAAGGTCGAGAGACTTCCTACCAGCTCCTACGGCTTTGCATTGTCCATTGGCACGCACAGTCGGATTAACGTCAAGATCTACCTCGTGGGCTTGCGGTCTGAGAGTGAGCGCTTCTCGCTGCAGTTGAAGATGTCCTTGAAGAAGAACTTACCCAACGTTAAGAAGCTTCCGCCATTTATCCAGACATGCTACTCCGAGTACCTTTTGGCCAAGAACAAAGTCAGCAACGAGAAGGTCGAACATATGCCGCCCGGCGGTTTGGGCGTCAAGTTCAAGTTCCCTGGTGACGCTAAGGCCAACAGGGACAAGACCAAGATGAAGTTGTGGTTTGACCTCTTCCGGGTCGACGGCCGCAACTTGTCGCTTATCAAGACGCCCATGTTCTACAAGCTCGTACGTGTGGGCCTTCCGAATAGGCTTAGAGGCGAGATCTGGGAGTTGTGCTGTGGCTCCATCTACCTTAGGTTGGACCACACCAACGAGTACGAGACGCTCCTCAAGGAAAACGAGGGCAAGAAGTCCGTGGCCATTGAGGAGATCCAGAAGGATTTGAATAGATCGCTACCAGAGTACGCTGCCTACCAGGACAAGGAGGGTATCGATAGATTACGCAGAGTGCTCACGGCTTACTCGTGGAAGAACCCGATATCGGCTACTGCCAGGCCATGAATATTGTGGTGGCGGCTTTGCTTATTTACATGTCGGAGGAACAGGCCTTCTGGTGTCTTAATGTGTTGATCGATCGTGTGGTTCCAGGTTACTACTCGAGAACCATGTACGGCACCTTGCTTGATCAAAGAGTGTTTGAGTCACTTGTGGAGAACTCCATGCCCGTGCTCTGGAATCACATCTCGAAATACGACATTCAGTTGTCCGTCATTTCTCTTCCATGGTTCCTTTCGTTATACTTGACCTCCATGCCTTTGGTGTTTGCATTCAGAATTCTCGATGTGTTCTTTCTCCAGGGCCCTAAGACTCTCTTCCAGGTGGCCTTGGCTATTCTCAAGGTTAATGGCGAGGAGCTTTTGAAGGCAGAGGACGATGGAACATTTGTCTCAATCCTCAAGGAGTACTTCCTCACCTTGGATCAGTCTGCTCACCCTAACGCCCCTAACCCAAGTACAGTCTGGTTACGAAATTCCAAGAGCTTATGGTTACGGCTTTCAAAGAGTTCTCGGTGATCAATGAGGAGGTCATTGAGAGACATAGAGCTAAGCACAGAAACACCATCTTCCTGAGCATCACCACCTTTGTCAAGAGGACGGAGTTGAGACATTTGCCAAAGACCGCAAACCTCTCACAGACCGACATCTCGTTACTCTATGACAGATTCTATTCTATTGTCACCTCCACCATCACGGTCGGCACAGGTGCTTCTGAAATGCATTTCGACGCATTCAAAATCTTCATGCAGCAGATTTGCGATTGGGTCGAGACGGAACCAATGACGACGCTGCCAAACAGGAGGCCTTCCTTCAAAGACTCTTCGATAACTGGGATTCTAAGTCTGAAGGTTCCCTATCATTGGCTGACCTTGTGGTTGGTTTGAACAAGCTTTTAGAGCCCGACTTACTCACGTCCATCTCCAACTTCTTTTCACTTTACAGCAAGGATGACAAGGTTGACCGAGAGGGAATTTTGACTATTTCCGAAGACTTGCTTTACATCACATCTCCATGGAAGAAGGGTCTCCTTTTAGATTCTCTTACGGAGACCGCCATTGAAAATGCCATTGCCGATGAGCTCTACAAGCAACAAAAAGAGTCAGGCAATCCGAATGGTGAGGGTATCCAAATCCCACAAAAGTTTGACCTCGATAAGCAGAGAATTGAAAATATGCAACTCGAGAGATATCTTTCTGCAGCCAGCACCTTCATCCAAAGAGCATTTGAATATGCTCAACCAGTTGAAGATGAAGAGGTATTGATCGAGGAACTCAAGATCGATAACACAATCACCAGTAATGCTGCATTGAACCCTAGTACTCCCGTTTACCTAAATTTGCCTACTTTCAGGATGGTTGTTTTAGCTGATGAGACTTACGAGCTATTTTTCAGCGATACCTTCCGTGGATCGTTCCACATTGATAAGCCGCTTGACTCCAAGGTGAACACAATGCGTAACTTGAGAGACATGTTTGATGGACTTATCGCTGATGGACGTGAGGTGGCCAAGAAGGTGCGCCGTCGTATGGACTCCCAAGCTACACCACCTCAGCATAGCGACAACTCGTCTGTACAGTCAGGTAAGTCCTCCAAAGCACAAGAAGAGGAGGATGAAAGAGATGATGACTTTGGAGTTATCGACATCGACGAGAACGATAAGAATCTTGTCCTTGGAGCTGAGGCACAGGTCATGGTTGGCTCTGTCAACGACACCAAGGAGGAAGAGAAGAGGATTGAATCTCTCAAGAAGGCTGAAGCTTCGGAGGATCGCAAAAAGCAAAATAATGACGGAAATCTCATTGAGTTTGAGACATGATATTTAACGAGAAAAATAGATGTTTGATTAAACGTACGATCTTATTGAATCTAGCGTGTGTAAGAATTGAAAGGGCATCTAATTCCTTCCAAAAAGTTTCTTCAAGAACTTCTTTTTCTTTTTTGGTTTCTTTTCCTCAGGGACAGGTTCAGCCTTTGGTTCTCTCAAAGTCGTAAAGGTAGCCTGCTGTGCTTGACTTCCTCCATGAGATTGATCTTCCAGATCACGGAATCTAGAACGGAAGCCACCATCCGATGAGGGAGGACGAACATTGTCTTCATCGTCTGAGTCGGCGAGTCTGGATTTGAAACCTTTGAAGCCACCACCACCTCTTTGGTCCTTATGCTGCTGCTGTTGTTGTTGTTGAACAATCTGCTGTGCCTGTTGTTGAGCTTGTTCTTGAATGTTGGTGTGAGCAGTAGTTGCAGCTGCTGAGGTAAGGTCTCCTTGCTGTGCAGCCTGTTGATGTCCTCCTTCTGATCTAAGAGTGAAACGATGTTTGCCGTTTCTCTGGGGAGGCTGGTGCGGAGTGCTGCTCTCAGCTTTTGTGCCTTCAGAGCCCTTGTTAAATGATGACTCCCTCTTCAAAGGGTGCGCTGTTGAAGCAGGTCTATTATTAGCTTTAGCGAATAACTCAGCCGCCTTGGCTTTTGCTGGCGACTGGTAGTTTGGACCGTTGTATGGATGTGGTGGTAAGCCCTGTGGCTGGTTCGTTTTGAATGTACGGCTGCTCATTCCACCACCCATGGACTGGCGGTTTGATGCATCAGATGTAGTCCTTGGTCTCAATGAACGATCAGCAAGACCACCTTGTTGCTGCGGCTGTGGATTCTGACTCTTCCGAAGAGTTGCTGCAGCAAACTTCTGTGGATTGACAGGAGAACGTGGTGGACCAGGATGACTATTGTGTGCACTAGGGCTATCAGAATCGATAAGCTGGCCAGACGACAATTTCGAGTTAAGTCTGGTGTTTTCAGCAGTGGTCAAGGACAAGTAGGCCTGTTGAGCGGGGCTAACATTAGCATTAGAGTTATTGTTCAAGGCGTAATTGGACCTTGAGTTCTTCATGGCGGACTTAATTGGTCTAGAATCGCTGCTGCTGCCACTCTTTATGGAGGAGGCTAAGCCAGCTGGAACCGCAGGCTGTGTAAGATGTTCAAGTTGCGCTTCATCGTTGATGATCTCAGGCTTTGGATCAAACTTTGGAGTTGTGGACTCGGAGATCGAAGCACTGGAAGAGCCAGGCAAGACAAGACTATCCTTACCGTTAGCACTTGGGCCATTGGTGTTGTTGTTGAGTCTGGACTTGACCTGCTGGGCTAACGTTGGAGAGTTGCTTTCATTTGGCACTTCCACAATGCCAAACTCGTCCTCCTGGCCCTTGATATTAGGAGCAGTCAACACGGCGTAGTTCTCAATGACATCGTCTTCGTCAACATCGTCAGCGGTTACAGCGTGAGTGACACTGCTGTCATCAAGAGAGTAGGTGCTGGTGACGTCCTCGTTATCGCTGACAGTAGCAGGCAACTTGGCAGGGTCTTTACCGATCTTCTTCTGCTCAAACTCGTCAACAGCAAATGGAACTGGTTCAATTGGCACATCCTCATCGTCAGTGGACTGGCCCTGTGGAGCGTCGTCTGGAAGAGCATTGAGTGTTGGTGCCTGAGGCTTGACAGGCTGTGGGGCATCGAGGCTGTTGGCAATGCTGGTAGGAATGCTTTCCTCCGGTCTAGGCGAAGTCTGGCGGGAGGTTTGGCGAGAGTAGGACTCCTCTTCCTCACGAAGACGCTCAAGTTCGGCTCTGTGCTTCTCGTTTTGATCTCTCAATTTCTTGAGGTTCTCGTACTCCTTGCGCTGAGCCTCCAACTTTGCAGCCAATTGCCTCTCCTCGTCAATTTGACGCTGCAACTCGGCAGCGGCCCGGCGCTCCTCGGAGGTGTCGAGCTCAGAGCTCTCGTCAATTTTGGAGTCTGCCAAAGTGGACCTCTTGGATGTCACCCTCTTCTGGTTCGTCAACGAAGAAGTTCTGGGTGCACGCGAGAGAGAGTTGGTTCTGGCGGTCATGGAGCCCGCTCTGCTGAGCGAAAGACCCAGTCTCATGGAATTGCTTCTCGCAATGGCCTGCTTCATGGAGGTCTCAGGCACCTCCACCACCTTGATACCGTTAGGCGTGGGCACATACTTCTTGACCATCTTCACCACGGGCTCTGGAGGCAGGTGGGTGAGCTTGAGGTCCTGAAGCTGTGCTCTGTTGCTGTAGTGGGCGTCTGCGTCTCTTCCCATCTCCTCGATCTGGGAATCAGTGAAGCTATCATCCACAGAGTACTCCATCCTAGGGGCGAAGCTGTGTCTGTCGCTGGAAACAGAGCCAGATCTGCCGTGTTTCGGCGTACTAGTGGAGCGAATGGAGTTGCTTTGCAACGAAGGCAGTCTCTTCAAAAGCAGCCCCAGGGAGCCTATGGCTGGTGGTTTCTGGGGTCCATTGCCTGCTGAAGGCTGCTTTTTGCCTATAGTCAACGCGGCTGCCATGGCACCATTGTCGGGCAGATGGCCCAGTGCCAGGTAGCCGACGCCCGTATAGGAGACCAGGTTTCTTGTTCTTCTCCTGTTGAACATTGGTGGGTAGTTGCGGTGAGCAGCAATGCTGTCTATGATGTCTGGTGGTTTTCGCACGACCGGGGTTGGTAGGGGCACCAGTGGGGATGGGCAGGACACTTGGGGTATTGAAGGACGAGATTTGAAATTTTTAGAAATTGATTTCAGGGATGCCTTTGATGGTGGAAAATTGGAGGAGGTGTGGTCTACTGTGGTAGGCGCCGCATTGACGTAAAGAAGCTTTGCGGTGCAGGGCAGGCGCAGTGCCGAGTTGCCGATAGGCGTATTGACGAGGCAGACGGTGTAAGTGGATGTGGTGTTTTGGGAGTTTGTTGATATTTTTTTTGGGATAGTCAGAAACAAAGCTTTGACTTTATTTTTGGGATTTGCTTTGTTTTTTGGGTTTTCTGTGGGATGGCGTCGGTTTCTGAACTTGTGCTGGTTTGGCAGATCCAGCGGCTGCGAGAGATCGCATGGGATCTTGACAGGCGGGGCGGCAAGTATAGCGTCTAACACAGAATTTTAGTGTTTTGGGAAATTGGTGTTGGTGTGTGGCGTTTGGGCTCTGGGGAAATTGCCGAATCTGCCATTGTTTGGAACACGTCATTGTGTAATATACGATGTTCTGGAAGGTGCGGACGGTGGTGGAGATTATGAAGAGTGGGCAGAGAGGCAGTGTAGCGGAAGAGATCAAGATGGCAAATTCACTGGATTGCCATTTGATGTGTATAGTGAAGTGATGCAAGGGGAAGTTGTTGCCTGGTGGGTGTTAGTATTTGTAGGTTATGTATGTACCGTGAGTCCAGGGGGCAACTGAAGCTCCGCAACTGCTCCTATTTGTTGAATTATGGGTCGCTCAATAGTTATAAAAGGTCGTCCATACTGTTTGTCTTTGATGTTCACGTTGTTGCAAGGTTTTGTGTTTATGGGAAGTGGGGATCCCGGTATCAGAAGCTCCGATTTTTCCAAGCAGCAAAAGGAACAGAAAATGCCACGAGTAGAGGGAGGCAAAAGCTTTCACAGGCCCTAGACGTCCGCGTCCTGGTGTTTCGTCTAAATGCTCAAGGAGGTGGGAGACCCCCTTCAAGTTAATAGTGCAGTGCCACCGTGTTGATTGAAAAGAAGAATCGGGATACCGAACGCTTGAAGGGAATAGCACAGAATTGTCAGTGAGTCCCTCACCATCACTGCTATACCCTTGTAGACGTGAAGCCGTAAGGACGCTGAAAGTCAGGATGGCGACACTATTTCATCACCAATATGGACAAAAAGCACGTCAGTACCACGAAACAGAAACCTTGATTTTCATTGATTTGCGTCAGAGGGCCTCTGGCTTTCTCCAGGGACCGTGCAGTCAACTAGCTGTTTGACAACAACTGAACCCCGATTGTCTTCCAAAATAGCATCATCTGCTTTACAAGGCTCCCAGTAACTACCTCACTGCATAGCGCCTGGCGTTGCCGAGGCCTAGAAAGTTATAGAACCATTTACCGGTTGACTGTCCACTGGCAACTACCAATCCCAAGGCTGGACGGACCATAAGTAAGAAGCCGCTCCACAAAAAGCCCTGGAGAAGCGGCATAAGGATCTGATCCTTGATAACGGCTAATACAACAATTCCTGGTGTGATGGGAGCAATAGGCTTGAGCTGGGTTTCCTTGTCTTCAGCTTCGTCATCGACGTTTTGGAGCTCAGCGTCAGATAAGGGTTTGACGCTAGCACTAGCATACGCGTCTAGAGAACGCAAAAACAGCTGTTCAAAGCGCAAGTCGGGTATGGGGATCTTGGGTGGTCTGTTCATGGTGGTATGAGAGTTGATGGTGCGAATTGAGGTAGTATGGGAAGGTGAGGGTGGAAAGATGTGAGATTTTCGAAGTTTGGGTTTTTTTTGTTTTTGGCATTAAAGGATGAAAAGATTAGACGCCGATGGATGATTCAATGAATTTGAATTGTAAGTAGGTCAAGGGCTTAGAGTTCGATATGTGTGCTTCACTGGCAACACTCACCAGATGGGTAATCACTGTATACACAGTTCAAACGACAGCAATTCCAATTCTTTAAATGAAGACTATTTATTCATGATAAATCGAGTGGAGGAGCCCTTATATGCTATAATCTCATCACACTGAACGGTATCACTGCCACATCATGGTCCACCTTAGCTTCTACAGTTTCGCAGCCAACTAAACCCACCACCAGACCACAAACCAAAGTCCACCTTGACCTCGAGAAAAAGCCCATTCAATAAAAGGCGTTATTTTACAAGCAAAAAATAAATCCACCTTCAAAATATCCCCCACCCCTCCCACAAACAACAAACCCGGGTCCCAACCCAGGCTTCCACCAGTACACCCGTCCACCAGGCATCAACAAATCTTCACCGCACAACTCCACTACAACACCATGGACGTCGACACGGAAGACCAGGGGCCCAGGGTCACCATCAGACAGACTGAACGGGATCACGTGGACTTCATCCTCAAGGGTGTGGACCTTGCGGCGGCAAACTCCCTCAGGAGAACCATGCTAGCGGAAATTCCAACCCTAGCCATCGACATTGTCGAGATCGATGTCAACACATCGGTGCTTGCAGACGAGTTTTTGACCCACCGCTTGGGTCTTATTCCTTTGACCTCCGAAGGTATCGAGAACCTCTCCTACTCTAGAGATTGCACGTGTGACCAGTACTGTCCCAACTGCTCGGTCAAGCTCGAGCTCACAGCCAAGTGTGACAGTGACCTGACGATGAACGTGTATGCGCTGGATTTGGCCAAGTTCCACAACGGCCTGAAGCTTGGTGATCCGGTCATCCGTGACCCGGCTCAGAGAGGGCCTTTGCTCTGTAAGTTGAGAAAGCACCAGGAGCTTCGTCTAACATGTATTGCCAAGAAGGGTATCGCCAAGGAGCACGCCAAATGGTCGCCATGTGCCGCCGTTGGCTTCGAGTACGACCCTTGGAACAAGTTGAAGCACACAGACTACTGGTTTGAGGAGGATGCTGATGCTGAGTGGCCCAAACTGGCCAACAGCGAGTGGGAAGAGGCGCCTGATCCAGAGGCGCCTTTCGACTACAAGGCCGAGCCTGCCAACTTCTACATGGACGTTGAAACCGTCGGCAACTTGGCTCCCAACGAGGTTGTGGTGCGCAGTATAGAGGTGTTGCAGTTGAAGCTCGCTGGAATCGCCGTGGAGCTCAACAAGGACACTGTGGAGGCCAACAGCGCCGCTGCCGGAGGCTTCACCACATACGGCCGCTCGCCAGGCGCCGGCAACTCCCCGGCTAACGGGTACGCCTACGGCGAGGGTTTTGGCAACCTGGGTTGGTAAAAGTGTATAACATGTAATATAGCCGAGAAGAGACGGGCAGTGGCAACGACAGGGGTGATGTTAGCTGAATTGAAGCTCTGGCGCTCCCGCAAAAAGAGGTACAGAATAGATGTATTTATGTTATGAGGGTGTAGGTATTCTTGATGTCCAAGGTGATATATCCTGGAAGCCACGTTTCTACAAATCTAGTTCAACATGGGGTTGCAATTTTCTTATATATTGTCAGGAAATCGACTCCATTGACTCCTTCACTTCCTCTCCTGATTCCATTGAATCACATCGTCAAGCTTCACTAGACCACCTCCAAAAACGTCCAACGATGAGCCATACGTGAGGTCCACCTTCCCGTTACTGAGCTTTTCTACCAACTCCAAATCCAGAGCCAGCTTGGCCCCGCCAGCGTAGGTCAATTTTCCTTCGAAACCGGCTGGACACCACAGACCGAGGTTTTCCACCAATTCTGTATCAATTCCTTTGCAGAGACCCTCCACGTCAGCAGCATGGATCAAAAACTCATCACAAAACTGGCCAAGTCTCTCGAACAAAGCCAAGTCCAATTTGCACCGGGTAATCGTCTGCCACTTATTCGTAGCAACGTACCATGCAACTCTTCCATCTTCCACGACCCTTCTGCAGCTCACATCCACTACAAGACGGTTTTTCCCAACCTTTTTCGAGATATCCTCCAACCGCTTCATGTCAATGTCGTAGCCCTCGTCATTTTTCGTGAAAAGCCAGCTCGTCACTATAACATGGCTAGCTCCTCTATCTATCCAGCTCTGAGCATTTTCAATGGTGATGCCTCCACCCACTTGGAGATGGTCTTTCCATGTTTCACACGCCAAGGCAGCTGCCTCGTCATTGGCTGGATTCGTCCCGAGCTTGATCACATGGCATCCTTCGACATTATGGTCCTTATACAACTGAGCGTAGTATGAGGAAGGTTTCGTGCTGACGAAGTTCTCGTCGGCTTTGTCGGCAGGGGAAACGTCGTCTTTTGTCAAGGTGCCGCCCACAATCTGCTTGACCTGGCCTGCATGGATATCAATGCATCCTCTGAATCTCGTCATGGTGTAGTAGTTGCAATGAGCATCGCGAAATCTTCAGTAGTACTATCTTCAAGTCAAACTCGAATTCTTTGCACACCAGCATGGGCGACGATGACTACATGAAGGCGTTGGAGATCCAGCGGAGAAACTTCGAGAAACAGTTTGGGAATCTCGAGGATATGGGGTTTGTGGATAAGTCCAAGGATGTGGAGTCGCTGAGCGATGAGGATGAGCAGAACAGTGATAGTGAGGATGTGTCTGCCAGTGAAGATGAAGAAGCTGGTGATGAAGATGAAGATGTGTCAGAGTCAGAGTCGGAATCGGAATCGGAGGAGTCAGAGGACGACGTCAAGCCCAAGGTCGTCAGGCTAGAAGACAACCACATACCCACACAGGCATCGAAAGCAGACAAGAAGCTTTTGCGTAAAGGCAGGGCTCCAACCCTAGCTGAGCTAGAAAAACGCAAAGCCGAAGCAGAGAAACTCACGAAGAAACAACAGGCCCAGGCGGCCAAGGAAGATTCAGAAAACTTGGACAATGATCTCAAGCTTCAGCGACTCCTCAGCGAGTCCCACATTCTCGCACACAACATGGAGCACTCTGGTGCTGATTTGACGATGCAGACGATCGACTACGAGGCTCCAGTGGGAAATGCCAGGAGACGTATTCTTGATCAGCGTATTCGTGCAGCTTCGGCAACAAACTCACGCACAAAAGGTCTTCCAGAGAAGCTTGAAAAGATGCCCATGAAGTTGAGAAAAGGCATTATTGGTGCTCGTGAGCGTAGAGTGGCTGACTATGAGAGAGAGGCTCGTGAGGCCGGTATTGTGCTTTCCAAGGTGAAGAAGGGTCAGCTTAGAGAGCTTGAGCTGGGTAAGGGTGCCACTGCATCCAGTGATCGTCTTGGTGTGGGCAAGAAGCAGAAGAATAGAATCAGAGACCGTGGTTTGAAGATTCAGTCGGTGGGTAAGTCGACGAGAAACGGATTGCATATCTCGCCTGAGGAGATCAGCAGAATCAATAATAAGCGGAGGCGGCGGTGAGCAGGTAATGCTGAAGGCGTGAAGAAGGCAAGAATCATTGAACTCTGGAGAATCTGGCGGGTTTTGAGATATATGTCTGAGCTGCGTTTCCAGTTTGATGATGATTCAACACTCATAGGGCCAAACATTGCATCGACGAGGGCAAAAACGCTCATAGATTATGTACATTAGTTACCGGTCAATAGAGAGGCCAATTGGAATATCAAAGTGTTGTAGGTTCAAAGCGCTGTATGCTCAGTTTGACATATCAGTTCCCTGTCAATTCAGGGTGTAATAGGTGTTGCATTACATCCTAGTACAAACTCGCCTCAGAACAAAACGATAAAAAAACATATTTCATTTATTTCAAAGCCGTCAATAATTTTCCTGGATCCATTTTTATGGTCTCACTCGCCCACACCTGTTTTCCATCTCCATCTCATCCAAACCGTTGCAACCATTGATCTGCGCGAAACCTAAACAAACAAACATCAACACCTCCACATCTACCTACTACAACTCCATCCTTCCAAAACCACCACAACAACAAATACAAATCATACAAAATGGCCTCTGTGCTCCCGAAAAAGCGTGCCATGCAGGGCTCGGGTGGCCGGCTGTCTGTGAAATACGATCTTAATAGAAGAGTGGTATCTGGACGTACCGTCTCTGGAGCCAGATCTGTATCTGGAAGCCGTCATGTGAGCCGAGGAGACATGTTCGTGGCGGCGGAGGACGACTCATTTGCAGAAGATGCCATTGATTTCCATGAAAACAAAAACACCATCATGTCGAACTTCGAGGAGTGGATCAAGCTCTCCACTGATAACAAGATCACTTCCAAGAACTCGTGGCAATTTGCGCTTATAGACTACTTTTACGACTTGAACGTGATTAAAGACGGAGATAATATCAACTTTCAGCGTGCCTCGGCTACTCTAGATGGGTGTGTGAAGATCTACTCCAGTCGAGTGGAGTCAGTCGCTCTGGAAACAGGAAAGTTGCTTTCTGGATTGGCAAAGAAGAAGTCAGATGAGGCCTTGGAAGAAGAGGAGGAAGAAGAAGATAATGGTGAGCATGTGGACCCAGCTTCGTTGAGGAAAGAGAGGCGTGTGAACAGGGTAGTGGAGTCTACCTTGCTACTGGAGGAGGCTCTTCGTATCAAGAAGCTCGACCAGGAATTGGCCATCGACCCGCTTTTCAAGAAGGCCCTTTCCGACTTCGATGAAGGTGGTATCAAGTCGCTTTTGCTCAATACTCTTCGAATAGATGCTTCTATGCGGGTCGTTTTTGACGCCACAACAAATGCCCCTCGGGAAACAACTGAAGACTCAGAAGAATACGAAGCCCCTCTGGAGGATCTCGAGCTTCGTCTGGACGAAGTTGACGTGGAAAAGTTGAAAGCGCTTGTATTGAAAGATGATGATGAACTAGAAACGGCTACTGTGGTGCCCACCATGCCAGAACTAGAAGCTGTTTTCAACGACATCGGTAACGCCAAAAGTGTCCTTGGCGATGTCAATTCCAGACTTGGAAAAGACGACGAAGGTGCGGGCCAGGATAATGAGGAACCGGAGCAGCCTGCTTACGACGATTTCGGCCTTGACGATAAAGATATGCCTGATATGCCCGACATGCCTGAAGATGGTCATTTCATGGATTTTGCAAACATGGATGCTGAGCTAGCGCAAGCGCCTGTTTCAGACGATGAAGAAGTCCCAGTCGAGAGTGAGGTTGTCACCGGCCATGTTCTAGATCAAGAGTTGATGTCTTACTTCGACAAAACCATGAAAGATACCTGGAGGGGTCCCGAGCATTGGCGTGTGGCGGCATTCAAGAAGCACAAAAACTTTGACACGCCTAACAGCAACAAATCCCGTGCCACTACTCCACAACCCGATACTGCGCAACCAAAACGTAAGAGAAAGGAGCAAATCACCATCGACTTTTTCAAAGATGAAGACGAGGACTACATCGAGGATATTTTCCAGCCTGCCAAGAAGGCAGCACCTATACTACGATCTCCAGATTCCATCGACACAACCAACTATCACCTCCTACCGGACGACATTCAGTTTAATTCGAAGAAGTTGGTTACACTTTTCATCAAGCCAGACAGATCTATAGTGACCTTCTCTAGAAGAGCTAAGCTGCTTAGGAATGACACCGATGTTCTTGAAAAGGCTGCATACACTGATCAAGCCTACTTCGCTGGCGAATACCAGAAACAGGAACAAGAAAGGGAAGAAGAGGAGCGCCAGGAGAAACTTGCTGCGTCCTTTCATCAAGCTGAGTTGGAAGACTACGATAATTACGGCGATATTGACTTCAATGACGTACTTGGAGGTGCAGATCTGGCTAACGCAGAGCTGAAGCCTGAAAGTCAGTTCGTTACCGAGGGTCGTAGAGCCCGTCCAGAGTATGTCAATTTTTCACGTGTGGCTAAAAGGGTCGATATCAAGCTCCTTAAGGACAATCTTTGGAAGGCAATTAAGCCCGAACCGGTTGAGGCGCCCGTTGCAGACAATGAGACCCCCGAAAAGGAACAAACCCCGGTCAAGATCGAGACGGACTTCACTGAGGTCGCTCAAAAGATCGGCAAGATGTACAAGCCGGAAGAGAAGAAGGATCTTTCTACAAGTTTTTGTTTTATTTGCATTCTCCATTTGGCCAACGAACACAAGCTTGATTTGTCGTCCAATGACAATCACGATGATTTACGAATCACAGGCTTCTAGAAAGCATTTCCTGAATATCAGCATTCCTAGGACCACTGTGCATTAACCCCCGCATTTTACATATCCTGCATTGCATATTGAGGAAGCCTCCGATCAACTTCTTCATCTCGCCACTTTTTCCATCATCGTCTTTAAAATGTCGCTTAAGTTCAGAGCTGTTCAGTTCACCAGTGCCGCTAGTCCCTTGCTCATAAAGGAAGATCAATTGAACGTTGAAAAGGATTCCAACGGCAACTATGTGGTTGACCCAACAAAAGTTCTTGTGAAGATCAAGTGTGCTGCCTTGAACCCTGTTGATCTTGTCAGCAAGCAAACCACACCAGCTCCACTCGCATATAAAACCAAAGGCATTGGTTATGATTACTCGGGTATAGTCGTCGGTATTGGTGCCGAAGCCGAGAAGAACACTGGCGTCAAGATTGGAAGCAAAGTCTGTGGTATGTTTCAAGAGGTCTTCGGCCGAGGAACTCTCGCTGAATATGCTTTAATGGACACTGCGACATCTTCAGGAGCTAGCATCCATGAGTTCCCCGAGGGCCTCACTTTCCAAGAGGCCGCGTCGTACCCGTTGGTCTTGGGCACAGCTGTACTAATGTTTACCAAGATACAAAAGCAGAACAAGAAACGCAGAATCCTTATTCTTGGTGCTGGTACTTCCGTTGGCAAATTCTGTGTTCAGATTGCAAAGAACGTCTACGGATTTGAAGATGTGGTGACCACATGTTCACCAGCGTCGGTCGACTTGGTCAAACTGCTCGGTGGTAACACGTGGATCGACTACACAGCCTGGGATCTGATTTTGGACCCAGTTCTTGAACTCGTGGGTATGAAGGGCAAGTTTGATGTCATTTTTGATTGTGCCGGAAATTCCGACTTGTTCCCACAGATGCTGAACATTCTAGTTGGAAGAAAAGAAGGAGGCACCTACGTGACAATTTCGGGAGACTTTAAATACTCTTACTCGACTCCCACAACGGCTCAACTCATTTGGAACAATATCGGTCTTCCAAAGCGTCTTTTGGAGAGCAAAGTCGGCTGGTTGGATTACAGTTACGATTTTGCTGCGGTGCTCAAGTCCATGTATCCATGGCAAAAAGTGTGCAAGGAGTATATTGCAGACAAAAAGGTGAAGCTCACCATAGATAGCGTCTATCCGTTTGTGGAGTTTGATAAGGCGTACGATCGTCTTGGATCGAACAAGGCTAACGGCAAGGTTGTTGTGAATGTGGAGGACGATGCGTAAACTACACTGAGATGAATATAAGGTCAGGATTTCTGAGCGATGTAGAATGAGTCGATTTTTTGGAAATGAGCTTAGGATTGTATGTTTATGAATCGTGTGGACTTCACGCCAAGTACTGAGCTTTCCTATTTCGCAGCCAATCTGCTCATACTAGCGAGATGTGTAATCGGAATTGGCCAGACATCACATTTTCTTGAAATCAAATTTTGCTTGATTATTGGGAGCATTAAAGGAAGGGAAGGAAATTAATCCAAGATTTGATGATTTAATTGAAACAGAGGAATGAGCTCCTTGAGAGTTCACATCCACACTATTTACCCAAAGATCTGGAAAGCCCTTTGGAAATCAGATCTTGAGACCGAAGATCAAAAAGAGGTTTCTGTCATTGATTGAAATCAGTTTTTCGCCTTACTTAAAAGGATGAAGTTAATAAAGAAGGGTCAGAGTTGTCAATCAGATAACCAGTGGCGATGATGTCATTTCACCTAAACCACCATCAAAAAATATGAAGCTGACTTTTCGATTATTTTCAGCTCAAGTATCGATGAATATTTCACTGTTCCTACAAGAATCTGTTTCATCACGAGACCTTGCCTTTCTTCATCAGACCAATTCTAGACGGTGCGCCGAATGGCTGCAAACGGCCCGATTCCGCTCTCCAACGCCGTTTCTTGAGATGCCATAACTAAAAAAAATAAAAACCGCTTTATCTCGCCAAAATAGCCTTCCCACCAAAATATCACTTTTTTAATAATTATTCCCACCAGAGCGTCACGCCACAGCAACACACCTTGGGTCCTGGAACCTTCTCGCACCCTAACCCAACATCAACCTCGGTTCTGGCATTTTCCACCCACACCCCAAATTTTGACTTTTCAAAATCAGTTCCAGAATACTCAGCCCTCAAGTAAACCAGCCATGTAATTAAAATTAACCTCCGCCTCTCTTAACCGTGGTATCACCAACCCGGTGGCATTTATGTGCCGCACACGACCTGCCTACATTTCACGCAAACCTCAACTTCAATCACCACCATGCTCCCTACCCTTTGTCGGATCCTCCCAAGGAGCTCAGCGCTAGCTATGCCGTTGGCGGCACGGGCGGTTCCGCTCGCCCGAACATGGACCCGTTATTCTCCGGGCCTCGTTCGTCTCGCCTCCACCGCCACCACCTTGCTTCTGAAGATCGAGAAATCTGCAAACGCCAGCCCGGCAAACGCCGACATCCAGCGTTACTTCTACCAGCGTCTTATGGAACACAACTACCCTCAGATCGTGGTCCAGAGATACGAAACTCAAGGCATCGGCGCCAATCCAGAATGTACTCAGCTCTACATCCAGGCGCTTCAACAAATGGGACAAACAGCCAAGGCTGAACTGGTGGCAGCACAAATGGGTGCTACGCCTCAGCTGAACATGGGCTTTTCCCTGGGATTTGGCTCTCGGAACGAGCCTGTGCATGTGGTTGTTTCCGAGTCAAACTTCACCATCTTGTCCAAATGGCTCAAGTGGCTTATACCTATCGCCTTGTTGACCTACGGGGCGTCTAACGCCTTCAACTTCTTGCTGGAGAACGGCACCATTTTCAGGTCGTCTGAGGTCACCGACAAGTCCGTCGATGTGTCCCGCTCTAACGTCCGTTTCAAGGACGTCTGTGGTTGTGACGAGGCACGTGCCGAGCTCGAGGAGATTGTGGAGTTCTTGAAGGACCCATCCAAGTTCACCGCTTTGGGTGGTAAGTTGCCTAAGGGTGTGCTCTTGACGGGTCCTCCAGGTACCGGTAAAACCCTTCTTGCTCGTGCTACTGCTGGCGAAGCCGAGGTGCCCTTCTTCTTCATGTCCGGTTCGGAGTTTGACGAATTGTATGTCGGTGTGGGTGCCAAGCGTATCAGAGAGTTGTTCAACCAGGCCAGAGAGAAGGCTCCTGCCATTGTTTTCATTGATGAGTTGGACGCCATCGGAGGAAAGCGTAACCCTAAGGACCAAGCCTACGCTAAGCAGACCTTGAACCAGCTTCTTGTGGAGTTGGACGGTTTTTCACAGAGTGAAGGTATCATCATTATTGGTGCTACTAACTTCCCGCAATCTTTGGACAAGGCGTTGACCAGACCTGGTCGTTTCGACAAGGAGGTTATTGTGGAGTTACCTGACGTGCGTGGCCGTGTTGATATCTTAAAGCACCACATGGAGAACGTTGAGACTGCCGACAATGTTGACCCAAGTATCATCGCTAGAGGAACCCCAGGCTTCTCTGGTGCCGAGTTGATGAACTTGGTCAACCAGGCTGCCGTTCACGCTTCTCAGCTTTCAGCACTTGCCGTTGACATGAGCCATTTCGAATGGGCTAAGGATAAGATCTTGATGGGTGCTGCCAAGAAGAAGATGGTCATTACGGAAGAGTCTAGGAAAAACACTGCTTATCACGAGGCTGGCCACGCTATCATGGCCATGTTTTCTCCAAACGCTACCCCATTGTACAAGGCTACGATATTACCAAGAGGCAGAGCGCTTGGTGTCACATTCCAGCTTCCAGAGATGGACAAGACTGACATGACCAAGAGAGAATGTTTCTCGAGACTTGATGTTTGCATGGGCGGTAAGATTGCCGAGGAGATGATTCACGGTGCCGATAACGTCACTAGTGGATGTTCTTCTGACTTGGCTAGCGCCACAGGCATGGCCAGAGCTATGGTCACGTCTTATGGTATGAGTGACAAGATTGGTCCCGTCAGGTTGAGTGATGACTGGGACTCTTGGTCGCCCAAGCTAAAAGAGATGGCAGACAACGAGGTTCGTACATTTCTTGTTGAGTCTGAGGAGAGAACAAGACAGATGTTGAAAGACAAAAAACTCGAGCTTCAAAGGCTCGCAGAGGGCTTGTTGGAGTACGAGACGCTAACTAGAGACGAGATGGAAAAGGTCGTGAAGGGTGAGTCGATCAACAAGCCTAAGACGATGAGTAATACTATCGTCAAAACTCCAGACGGGGTAGGAAGGAGGTCATCAATGAGCCTGCTCCTATCCCTGCTGAAGCATAATACCACACAAACAAAATTATTTTTGCATCAACGATGTTGTATAGGCAATGAAAATGTATATAAAGCTAGAAACTACAATGACAGACAAAGACTTTTCTTGTAGATTACTATATAAAAGAATGAACATTTCATGGGATCATTATTATTGTTGCTGGCCACCGTTTTGGAAGAAGTTGGCGAGCTGGGCACCCAAGTTAGGGTTTTGCTGGTTGCCGTAGTTTTGTGGAGGGTAACCCTGAGGAGGCTGCTGAGGCATTTGTTGCATTGGCATCTGGCCAGGGAAACCTTGTGGAGGCAGGTTTGCAAACAAACCCGACAATGGGTTGGCAGCGTTGTTGCCGTAACCATTGAAATCAGGACGAGCACCCATACCAGTCTTGACATACTGGTCTTCGGACTCACCTGGTCTGTTGGACTTTGGTCCGTTTCTCGTAGAGTTGGTGGGCATTTTCTTGGACATGGCCTTTGAAGAAATACCAGTTCCGATCTCGATATCGGGCTCATCGATCACAATACCAGTGACAAGAGGCTGGCCACCAGTTCCACCCCATTCGGCGTCGACAACCCACTGCTTATCAGCATCTGTCAAACGAACGATTGGAATGATGGAGACACCATGCTGGTAGTTGCAACAGTCTCTAGGACCGAAACCAACACCCCAACGAGTTCTCAAAGGCAAAGCACCGTCCTTGTTGAAAGACTGAACAACAGCTTCGGCTTCTTTTCTAGAGTAGACCTTGACGAAAGCATGCTTTCTCTCGCTGTTAAGAATGACAGACTGGACCTCGGCATAAGGCCTCAAGTGGCCGGCAAGAGATCTCTCGTCCATTCCACGAGGAACACCACCAATAAACAAGGTTCTTGACATGACCTTGAAGGAGCCTTGAGGGATAGAGTTGTCGAAACCAACGTTACGAGGACGGAAGTGAGGAGCACCAGGAACGTTACGCTCACCTTCATAAGGAGCAAAGCCATGAGAAAGAGACTTCTCCTGAGGTGGGTTGGGACTGAAACCGTTGTTTCCGTGACCTCTTGGTGGCGATCTGGAACGGTTTCTTCTCAGGTAGCCGCCCATATCATCACGGCCTCTTCTCTCATATTGCTGCTGAGGATATCCACCACGGTCGTTGTAGCCAAGACCCTGTGGAGGCATCTGCTGTTGATGCTGCTGATGCATGCCTGGCACAGGAGGCAAACCATTGTTTGGCATTGGTGGCTGAGAAGGAGGAGGTGATTGAGAAGCACCTGGGTTCTGCTGCATCTGTTGCAACATATTGAAGATCTGCTGGTTCTGACCCTGACCTTGGCCCTGGTTAGGGATGTTAGGAAGGTTTGGAAGGTTCGGAAGCAGAGCAGGTGGCTGTGATGCCTGAGCATTCTGGTAACCTGGGCTACGAATGTTCTGATGCTGTGCGGCAGGCGAGTGGCCGTTGTTCTGGCTGCTACCTGCAAGGGCAGACAATTGAGACAAGATGTTGGCAGCGTTTTGGTTGTTAGCTGATGGGGCCTGCTGAGTACCTGGGGATGCAGTTGCTGGAGGAGTAGGGGTCTCTGTCTTCTTAGCCAAAGAAGCCAAAGCCAGCAAAATACTTCCAGAATCACCCTCCTTGGATGCAGCTGGAGCAGCGGCTGGAGGAGCAGCAGCAGGAGGTGGAGGCAAGGATGGAGCAGGAGCACTCTTGTTTGGAGGACTACCAGGAGGAGTCGTAGAGCGGAAGTGCTTGTCCCTGATAGCCTTCAAAGTAGCAGGGGAGAAGGTCTGGGCACGTTCCCAAATATCCACAAGCTTGGAGATCTTAACAGAAGTGGCTGGAACAACCAGCAACAGCATAGCATCGTCCATGATGGACTCAATCAACTCACTTATCTTGAACACACCGCCAGCAAAAGTACCTTCTGGAGCTGAAGAATCCACGGTTTCACCCTTCTTCTTGGCCTCTTCCTTGTAGACTCTCACGATGGAGTCCACAACGTATAAGGCACCCAATTTATGGGAAGATGGGGTGGCCTTGCAACTGTTGTACAAGGCCTGAACAAGCTGGGATTCTTCGGCCACATTCTTGACGGCGAGATCAGTAAGTTTCTTGATACGAGAACCAGAAACACCTGGTGCCTTGATGGTAGGCAATTCTTGTAGGATGGATTCAAACTCCGACACGGCAGACATTTTTACAACTAAATAAAGTGATGTCTTCTACTGAGCAAGTTTCTTGCTCTGGAGGCCCTCTTTACGTTATTACTAGCAGCTTAAGTTGCTGAGATACAGTTACGAGTGGGGATCCACTGGGACGGATTGGGATGGGGGCAGGAAAAGGTTGGTACTTTGTTGAGAAGATTTCAGGGTGACGTGACTATATATATAGGTGTCTGGGTACGCGCACGACCCGGTGGTATATGCAGGTGAAACAAATTTCTATACCTCGGATTTGACAGAGACTCCAGTTATTGGTACTAGTTTCCATTGAATATGGACGAAGTGAACATCCCTATGCTATTATCAAATATCGAAGCACAGTTTCTGCTCGGGTGAGCCGCCTTTGGGTGTAACCCAGATCACTACTATGCAGTACACCCATCCCATATCCAACGGCACCGCCACTGTCAGGGAATAATCAGATATCATATACGCATCAAAACCTAGTTAAACATCATCTCTTTGGGCTCCAAACTGGCACCATTCATTTTGGCGTACTCACAATTACCCTTGGCGTGCCCAGATATACCCCGCGGTTGAAAATTTCGATACATCTTCAGCTAAACCACCTACCTTCAAAACCATGCTAACTGCTCCAGCCAAAAGTGCTCTTCGGTGCTACTCCACCGACGCAGCTCCAGCCATCAGGCTGACACTCCTTTTGCTGAGAAACCCCATCATCACGGCAGACCAGCCTGCTTTCCAGAAACAGTACTACCGTTACCTGAAGGAATTGTGGAAGCGTTTGATGTGGACTTTCCCCAAGTGGTTCTGGTTCCGTCCTGGTACTGTGGCCGAACTCAAGTTCCGTGAACTCAACAAAAGACCTTTTTACAACAACCCCAAGGTGGAATTTGTCGGAGGTAGACCCGATGTGATGCATAACAGAGACAGAAGATTCAAGCAGGAGGTCAAGTTGCCCCAGACTTACGACGACAAGCTGAAGGAGGTGGATCCTCTTTCCAGAAAGATTATTCCCAATTCCAGAATCACCCAGGCCGACAAGAACAACGACTTGGTTTCTTTGGAAAGAAAGCTCGCCAGAACGCTATACCTCTTGGTGAGTGAGGACGGTAAGAAATGGAACTTCCCCAATTTCGCCGTCAGCGAGTCGCCTCTACATAAAACGGCTGAGCAAGGCCTCTATCTGATTGCTGGAAAGCAGTTGAACTACTTCAATGTTTCCAAGACGCCCTGCCATGTGCATAACTCCCCTGGAGAGAAGCTGTTTTTCATCAAGCTGCACCTTCTTTCGGGAGCTTTTGATGTGCAGAAGCCACTTCAGCATTTGTGGTTGACGAAGGAGGAAGTTGGTCAGCACTTGGAGAAGGAGTACTACAGCGAGGTGGAGCACTTGTTGAGTGACATATAAGCATAATCGTGTAAATAGACATTTGTCACCGGAGTATACGACGAAGATGGGGAGGGACTTGTAGGATTGACGTTGGGAGCTAATCTAAGATTCTCCTTTTTGATTTCAGAAATATAGATGTATCGTCTGAGGAAGGGTAAGGACCGTCTTGAGATGATGTGGATTTGTGAATGTAACGATTAGATGTAGTTGTGGTTTGTCAAACTTTACCGTATAATCAACAAATACTTATAAAGGCCCTACTACCTCCAAATCGTACATCTACAATTCAACTCGATACTCAGTTTTCGTTAAATACCGAGTACTATACCCTCGCTGGACACCTCTCGAATACTAAACTTTTGGTTATCTATGTACCTCCTCTACGTCTCCTTTTTGCCCTTGAGCACCTGTTCAGCAGCCCACACAGAACGGTCAAGCACAGCGCCGACCGTCAAGACACCAGCAATGGAACTAATCACACCCAACACGAATCCCGACCACGTTTTGGCATATTCCTGACGGTTGATGATTTTCATGGGCGAAATGTCAAAGTGGAAGAAAACACCAGGAACACCTCCACGAGCATGCATGGTATTCTGGTGGTCCTCGTCTCTACCGCCAACGACTGGACGGTCATGCGTAATCACAGAAAACTGGTTCGTCTCCTCAGCAGTCTGTCTGTTCTCAAGGTACTCGAAACGAGTGGAAACGACCGAAAGGAAGTACAGCGCAACGTGCTCCTTCTTGCCCTGTTTAAAGTTATGGCCATCCAAAGGAGCAATGGAAGGCGCCTGGTTGTGCTCGCCAGGATGGGCAAGCTTAAGCGAGGCCGAGGGGTCTTTTCCAAACGAAAAGTGGTTGATGATGTGGTCAATGTCGAACTTGTCGTACTTGCGCCACAACGACATGTCGTGGGAATGACGGCCTTGACGGGAGATCTGGATGCCAGGAGCGAAATGGAGGTTTCCGGAGATTCTGGTGATCTTGGCCAGACCCTTCACTCTGCATCCTTCGTTATCACGAATACGCTGCTGGAGATTCCGAACGTAGCCTTCCTCCTCACACTGGGCGATATTTTCGCCATCGTAAAAAGCCCACTCCTTCACAGCATACGCTAGTCTGACGTCCTTACACGAGTTGCAGCAGTACTTGTTGTCTGTCTGGTCGACAGCAGCGTAACAAGAGCCACACGCCTGGCCAGGCTGGCCCTTCAAAGTCTCCTGCCACTTTTCCACACCAGACATGATTGGAAGATCGTCCTTCACCTGCTGGCCCAGCGGAAGCACTCTGAAGATGTCAAAGCCAGACTGAAGCACATCCAAGTGAAGGTCTCCCAGGTTGTCCAAAATGTCCAACGTCAACACGCCACACAGCACGTTGGGGAACGTGATGTCCAAATTTATATCAAGCTGTTTGTTCACGTCTCTGTCCACAACAAGCTCCGGTCTGACCACCATGGAGGTGTACTCAGAGTATTCGTTTCTGATGAGAAGAAGCACAATGAAAACACAGACGAGGGTGATCATGCCGCCAGAGGCGGTCTTGACACGTGCGTCCTCGACGGTTTTGGCAAAGGCGTCAAGGGAAATGAGCCTGGGGCGGGACATGGATGGAGAAACTGTGTGGTTTGGACCGGTGAAATATCGAGGTGTGTTATCAACAGGTCTGCACCGACGCACCTCCTAGGAACAGAGGGCAGTTTGATTTTAGAGTTGGGTTTTTTAAGAGATGGGGGAGTTTTGGATTTGGGGAGAGTGGGAGAAGATGAAAATTTCATCGTTGGTTTCAGTGGCTGGGTTGGTGGGTGAATGGGTAGTGGAAGGTTCTCAGCTGCAAAGGCGGTGAAAATTGGTGAGGGACGAGTATTATATTGTGATTTTCATTTCTTCTATTCTCGACTATTTCAAAAAATTCCTCCATCAATGAGAATTCTCGGCTTCTTATATTTCCAGGTGAAAGAAGTGTCTTGGTGGAGGTTTAAACCGGTTCGTGATTCCGCTCGGTTACTGTGCTGCAGAGTTGGTCTACCAAGAAGCGATGGAGAAAAAGTTAGGTTATTTTTCAATAAAATCTTCGAGCTAGACTTTGTTAACCAAAGATTAAAAAATGAAATCACAAAATATTCACCAAAACGGTACGTCCCTCGTTCCCTGTCTGGTCGTATGTACGCCTTATCAGAGTGTCTCAATCGCCATAACATTTTATACATTTGCATACATATGAACACATTTTGACAATTACGGGTTTTTCATTATCAGTTCCTGGGCTGTCATTGAGATAGCTCAAAGAAGTGGGATAATGGTGACTTACGTGTCGGGTAGTCCATAAGAGACTGGTATAATCTCCAAAGCCAACTTCTCAATTCCGAAGCTAAGTAAAGCACTTCAACTAAATGGGCTCTTCAAATTCCTCTTTTCAATGCTTTCTATCACTATTTGCCCTTTTATAGGGTTCAGCTTTCGTTCTTAACTGTACCTCCATCTAATGGCTGCAAACTAGCATTGACCTCTTCATATACTCATCAACCAGCACTCGACAAGATCAAATCAACTTTTTTCAAATCCAACGTCTCCTAAAAGCGTTCAAGAAATTATTTCAAAAAATCTGCCCTAATTGCCTCCCATCCACTGAACCCTTCCCTTCAATTCACCTACACCTGCACCGTGTGCACACTGGCATCAACAGTCTATCTTTCATCCTCAAATACCACCACTTTCAAACCCACCATGTCTGCATACTTTGCCAATATTAAGCCGCTAGCAGCTCGAGACAATGGCAATTCTGGAAAACCATCCCAGGAGAAAATCCTCCACATCTCCATGAACCCAGTGGCCCTGAGAATCGCCAATACTCGTACAGATGGAACCATACGTGTGTGGAAAAGCATCCAGGGACTTTCTGACCACGTCACTATAAAAAGTGGTCATGCTGAGCCTGTAAGGAGAATCTCCTGGCTTCCTACGACAGACAATCGTTTTGCAAGTGTAGGAGGAGACGGGTTCTTGAAGCTATGGACTGCTGGAGGGGTCTTAGAAAGAGAGATCCAGGTTGAGAAAGGTGAGGAAAAGTACCGTTTGGTGGACTATTCCGTGGATGGTCAATTGTTGACACTTACGGACGGGAACCGCTTGGTGGTTTTGGACGTCAATGACGAGTACAAGAAGATTCATGAAATCGAGCTTAGCAGTGATATTACTGAAGTAAGGTGGCTGTACGATCCACTGACTGTGTTCGTGGGCTTGGAGAATGGCCAAATCGAGATTCTACAAGTGAAGGAGTCGCTAGAAAAAGCGTTTACGATAGCTGGAGCTCGTCTGTCTGTGACCTCAATTGCAATTGACCCCAAGGGTAAATTCTTCTGTGCTGGCTGTGAGGAAGGAGCTGTGTACTTTTGGAAGACCTCTGATTTGCAGAATTCCAAAGCACTCACAAAGATAGACGAGGCGATCAGTTGCGTGGATATCAGTCGAGACGGCAGCTTTGTGGCTGTAAGTTACGTCAAGGACAGCAATATTAGGATTTTTGACGGTGCAACCTTGGAGCAGATGCACGAAGTCACAGACAGCTCTCTCAAGAACTTGGGTAAGTCGCAGCTCAAGTGGTTGCCCAATGTCACTGGATACATCTACACGACAAACCAAAACTTGGTGATGACCTATGCAAAGAAGCTTTAATGACTTTTGAGAGAAGGTAAATGGGAGGATGGAATTGGATTGAAAACTTGGGGCTTCATGGAGAATCGAAGTTGTGGTTTGATTAGACTGATGGGTGATTCGACGATCGATAACTCAAGGCCATTGTGGCCCTCTTGCATCGGACTTCTATCGATCTTAAGATCATAATCTCCGAGAATCTACACGCCACCCCTGGGTTTCCCATCGATCGTAAATGCATAACGGTTGCTTGTTACACCCTTTTTTCCAATCAAACCCCGGTACCTCAATCGCAGGCTGCATCTGCTGCTCTATACTCCTCCATCATTGGCCCGGTACCCTCGCCGAGTTGCCCCGAGAAAAACACAATAACGTATGATCTAGATAAATCCGGGTGTTTCAAACGTGAATGCTCTCACAAGTCCGACGTGACGCTTGTCGTCAACACCTGCAGTGCCCAAGAACGCCTCACATCTCTCATAAGCGTGGCTGGAGATCTGGACGATCTAGTTGCTTTGGTTTTGGATGTCGGCTAACCTTGGTTATGAGTCGGGGTTTTCACATGGATCTCAAAACACTCCTTCTTTGGGGTCATTCTCAGCTTCAGGAAGGCAAAACCACCCAATTGAGCCAATCGTAGAAAAAAAGAAGAAATGACAGAGCGACTAAAGTGGACCAATCGTGGGCTCTAACACAGCACATATACTCTGCGCATTTGCAGCCACCGCGTATGGAAGGGTATCAACCAAGGAGACACAAAAGGCCAAAAATCGAAGAAATAGAATACCAACGAGTGAAAACCACAACCCCAATTTGCCAAAAACATCTTCTCCCCAAAATTAAAAAAATCCCACTTTTCATTCTTCACATTCATCTCCATATTACTAAAGCAGGCTCAATGGAGCCTCGCGCCTGGGACACACACGACCCGCACATCAACACCGTAACAACGACAAACCACCTCCACCTCCACCACTTTCTACCCCATAGCCCCTCCCCTGCTCCTTATTTCCACATTTTCAACCAATCAGAGCGCACCCCTATGGATAACAAACCTCACCCGCCGTTCAGGTCGTTCTCGCTGGCCTCCTCGGCCTCGCTTAACCTGAGCTCCACAAATATCACCAGGGTCCCGTCAGGCCCGCTTCTAACGGTCAATCTGGCCCTCAATCGCACATCCTCGGCTCAAGATCACATGTACCATAAAGCCAAGGTCATGCTCCGGGCGTTGGGCCAGATCGAAGGAATGGGTCCGTACCTCAATGCTGCTTATAGTGCTGCTGAAAGATGTGCCGAACAGCAGGCGCTTGCTTTGCCACAACAGCTTCAAACAGACGGTCTGTCGTCAAACGCGTTCCGGGCTTCTGTGGGCTCCAGCGGCTTTTCCATCCACCTGGGCCATTCTCAGACGTCTCAGAACGTCAAGAACATCGAGAAAAACTGCATTTTTTCTTTCACCGCTGGCATTCTCCCGGCCAGCTTGAGCACTGATCCAGTGACGGAATTGTGGAAGTTGTTGCAACAGGGCGTGCCGTTGTGCTTGCTTTTCAATGCAGCCTGCCCTGACGCCCAAAAGATCGAGTTCGACTCCAATGACGACCTCAACACCTCCAAAAAGAACGTCTACCTTTTTCTCTGCGAGTACCAGAAGCACCCTAGCTTCAGCGGCGGCGACATGTTCACCATCTCAGACGTGTACCTGGACAGCTCCCACGACCTTCTCAGAGTGATGAAGGTGGTGAGCACAGTCTTGGATAAGCTCGGCCCCCAGTCGGATCTGGACTCTAGCATGCCTGACATTGGTGAATTGAAGCTCACTGATGACAAATCAAAGGTCTTCCGCGAGTTGATCCAGACGGAAAGAAAGTACCTTTCGGACCTCGAGCTTCTCCTAGACTACAAGGAGGAGCTTTCCAACGCTGAGGCTATTTCCAGCGAGCAGCTCCATATGCTATTCCCGAACTTGAGCGAGGTTGTCGACTTCCACAGACGCCTCCTCAATGGTTTCGAGTGCAACACAAATGTTCCCACCAAGTACCAGCGTATTGGCCTGGTCTTCTTGCATGCATCCAACGGTCCATTCAAGGCTTACGAGCCATGGACCATTGGCCAAATCTCGGCAATCGAGCTCATCAACCGCGAGGCCCCCAACCTTCGCAAGGCATCGACCTTGCTTGATCCAGGCTTCGAGTTGCAGTCCTACATCATCAAACCCATCCAGCGTCTCTGTAAGTACCCGCTCTTGATCAAAGAGCTCATCAAAGCTTACAGTGATTGCGCTGACACAGAGTGCTTCTACGAGCTACAAAGAGCAAGTGTGGCTATGAAAGACGTCGCCAACCAGGTCAACGAAGCGCAAAGACGTGCTGAGAATGTGGGCTTCTGCCAGAGCCTCATGGAGCGTGTCAACAACTGGCGAGGCTTCTCCATCAAAGACCAAGGCGAGCTTCTATACCACGCACCCGTCGCTGTCAAGGACGGCGAGAACGAAAAAGAGTACATTGCCTGCTTGTTCGAGCAGATTCTCTTCTTTTTCAGCGAAGTGCCCTCGCACGAATCCAAGCACAAGGAAAAGAAAATGAGAGAATTCCTTACGCTGCGGAAGAAGAGCAGCAGCGGTATGTCGAGCTCCACGGCCAATCTCCTCGAAAACCTCAACAGCGTCAAGGATAAAACGTCGCTCGAGTTGAAAGGCCGTGTGTATGTCTCGGAGATTTACATCATCAACTCACTCAACTTGCCAGGCTACTGGCTCCTGATCTCGTGGACAGGCAAGAAGGGTAGTGGCGTTTTCAAGTTGCGCTACAAGACAGAGGAAGTCAGGTCTCAGTGGGAAACGTGCTTGAGGCAGCTTAAGCAGAATGAGATTGATGCTCGACACAGGCGCAGCAGGGACTCGAGAGGGTCCTTGACGACGTACGAGGGGCTGGATGCGGGCAACGAATCGCCCATGGCTTACACCGGCCGCAATGACGGCACACCATCAACGCAGAGACATCACTCTTCGTCGTCGACAATGAGTATGATGAAGCTGAGCCGCAACCAGCCTGGATCGTCACGAGTGTCGAGCTCGTCGACCAACGGGCACCAGACGTCACATGAGCCGGTGCTGCCCGGGCTGATTGTGGCTATCAACTTGATCTACAAAAAGGCCAGGATAGAGCAGCCACTTTTGATCTCGAGCGGGGCCCTGTTCTTTGAGCTCCACCTGCGGATCTCTGCCCACACGGCGCTGAGCTCGAACGTGGACGAGGACGTTGTGATCAGCAAGCTCAAGTATAAGGACGAGGACGGTGACTACGTTGTAATGGACTCCAACGACGACTGGTCCTTGGCAGTGGACATGCTTGAGGAGCTTCTCGAGGCGGACGAGTCTGCCGAGAAGGCTTTAACGATTTGGGTGTCTTAGCGGCACATACATACACAGGGATACACGATATGGCGGGAGCTATGTAGACGACGAGGTGAGGGCAAATATCAGATGAAGAGCGACTTCGGCTCTGTAACGCAACCCGGGATCGATCCGAAAAAGACGCTGCGGCGCTCTAGCGAATGAGATGGGAAAGATAGCAACCACTCGGAGCCCAGCCGGATTGGTTGCAGGGGTGAATTTGAAGGTTTCGGAAAATTACCTTGTGCGGCAGCGCATGTGTTATTGGGGAAAGAAGAAACAGAAGAGAGACAACTAATAATCAGTTTTTATATATATATATAGTGCCATGTGGACCTCACGGCAGATCAGATTTTCTTTCCAGTGACCGTTGCCCAATTGCCGATTAGACCCACTTTGTGCCATTGTCGAGAAGCAAATCGCGGCTTATGATAAAGAAGGTTGGCGATTGGCTGCATCCGAAAGATGCCGGAAGGGGACACCACAAAGCCGCTTTTCACGACGGGGCAAACGCTAGAGAAAGTGGTGGGGAGAAGGCCGTTTTTTTTTTTTTGTTTGACACATTTGTGCGTCATGTGCGTTGGGTTTTGACAGCTTTGACAGGGGTTTGACGTTTAGTTTTTCCAGGCGAGGGCCCGAAACAGGCCTCCACTTTCTTGGCCTTTTCGTAAAAGTGCGTCACAGATGCCAGAGATAACGCGGCAAATGTGGCCCTTCTGCAGCTGTCCCAGGTAAAATTGCGCCTCTTCTTCACTAGAAAGCCTCCTTGGGGATCTGGCGGGCATGTCTTGCGGATATAAATAAGCTAACCGGTGGAGGGGAATTTTCGAGACAATGCTCAAGTTTGTTTTTTTTGCAGCCATGGCGGCAGCGTCCAACTACGATTCGGCGCTTGGCCTGACGGTTTTTTACGAATGCACCTCCTTGGTTCTGCTGATAGCCACCTTCTGTGAGTCTCCCTATGACTATACGTGCTACTGCCGAAACCCCGATGCCATGGCGACGATTACAGGCTGTTTTGCAGCCACAGCCGGGACAAGAAAATACGGAAACGACTATTTGGTGGAGTTTTGCCACGAAGCGTTTATGCCTGTGACGCTGCAACAGGTGGCTCAGGCGTACCAGAACTACACCAACCACGGTCTCGACATCACCAAGGTGGAAAACTACAACCAGAGCGAAACGGCCACGACGCCGATCCGGATCCCGGAGGAGTACGCCAGGCTGTACCGCAATTCGTATAAACAGATCAAGAATTCGGTTTTTTTCGGCGCTGGACTGGTGGCCTACTGGGGGTTGGTGGTTGTGCTTTCTGGGCTTTTCAACTGGGCCACCGTTTTCGTGCCTCAAAGCCGGAACCTCTTCAACAATGCATTTTTCAAGTTCGTCCGCTGCCACCTCTCCATGCCTGCGTTGTTTGGAAAGCGCCGTACGGAAAGTTTCAGAGCCAGGTTCCCCATCTTTGAATGGCTCCTCCCGACCAGACTCGAAACGCTCACCGTGGCGGGCTTTTTCTGGGTGCTTTTCATTCTCTGTGCCGTGGACGAAAAATACATTCCTGCTCCGTGGCGGTCCAGGACGGAAACGGTCCATACCCTGGTGGCTGACAGGACCGGTATTATCGCTACGATGTTGACACCGCTCATGGTGCTTTTTGCGGGAAGGAACAGCTTTCTTCAGCTCATTACCCGCTGGAAATCCACAACCATGATGGTGTTCCACCGCTGGATCGCCAGAATGGTGGTTTTGCTTGTGTTGATCCATGCGGTGTGCTACACCAGGGTGCTCAAATGGGAGATGCGGTACCCGGCTGAATTCGACGAAGATTACCTCAGATACGGCGTGGTGGCCTTGGTCTGTGGCGGCATTATCTGTGTCCAGGCGCTTTTGTACTTTAGAAGACGCTGGTACGACATTTTCCTAGCCATCCACGTTGTGCTAGCTGTTTTCTGGGTAGTCGGTGCCTGGTACCATCTTTCGTACATGGGATATGCCCAGATGATGTATGCTGTTTTTGCCGTTTGGGCCTTTGACCGTGTGGTCAGGGTCTTGAGACTCTGCTACTTTGGCTTTCCTACTGCTAAGGTGACGTTGGTGGAGGATACGTTGAAGGTGGAGATCCCCCGACCCAAGCACTGGAAGGCCATTGCTGGAGGCCATATTTGGGTGCATTTTGGTCTTGGGCTTCATTTCTGGCAATGCCACCCGTTTACGTTTTTCGAGTCGGTGACTGAAGAATCCACCATTGTGTGCTGCTGCAAAGTGAAAGGCGGAGTCACCAGAGCCCTAGCTAAGAAAATCGGCGGTCTTCCTGGAAAACTGCTTTCGCTTCGTGTTGCCGTCGAAGGCCCCTACGGAGCTCCTAGTCCTGTTGCTCGTCATTCCAGCGTTCTTTTCGTTGCTGGAGGTTCAGGCATTCCGGGTATTTATTCCGAGGCCAATGCGCTTTATGAGCAGAACAAGGGCAGCAAACAGAAGGTCAAGCTTCTCTGGGTGGTCCGTGAGCTGCGTTCGCTTGCCATGTTCATCAACGAAATGCGTGCTCTTGTCAAACACGGCATTGAAACGGCTGTTTTCGTGACAAGGCCGGAAATACACCATGGCGAGGAGCTCGAGCGTCTTTTCTTCGCCGACAGCCTGCTGGAAAAGGAAAAGGTCAAGGAGACGATCGAGGAGATCAACGTTATTGAAAAGTTGCAAGACGAGCTCCCTCATGTGGAGTTTGTTTGTGGAAGGCCGAATATGAGAGAGATTGTTGCAAGAGAGGTGGAAGAGGCTTCTGAATCCATGGCTGTGGTGGCTTGCGGCCATCCGTTGTTGGTTGACGATTTGCGTGATATTGTGATTGACCAGGTTAACACAGCAGACAAGCGGGTTGATTTCTACGAGCAGTTGCAAGTGTGGGCATGAGCTTTGAAGATTTGGCTGTCGAGGTAACTATAGAAATGTGCAGCCATCCACAATTAGACCATACGGTTGAGATGACGATCGAGAATAGTGTAGGTTCGATAGTAGAGGATTGTGATGCCGGTTGACCAAGTAGGTATAGGCGAGGGAGCAGATTTTGGTGATTGGTTGGATTAGAGTTTGGCCAGACGGTTGTCAGAGAAGAAAAGTGGGGGGGTTTGCTGCTGAACGGCTATTGCACTTTACGGAAAGCTTATCGGTGGTTTAGGATGAATGAGTTCACGATGGTTCTTTGCAGTCGGACAGCGGGACATTTATAATTAGTATCTTTTTAACTCATCGTGATATTTTGCAAAAAAATATTTTAAGGGTCTAAAGGTACTTATGCTGGTGCTGCAGGTATAGGCATGTCCTACTGCGAGTCTGACGCTAAATGCTGCAAGTAGATCCAACCACGATAGACATTTCGACGATATGAGTACCAAATAGGAAATTTGAAAACGACTGAAAGTCTGCCGAAGCCGTCTAGACCAGAAAAAACCCAATCTGAGAAATCTTATTTTTCGAAGGCCTTGCTGAATGACTGGCTGGCTTGGGCTCCTGCTAATTAATTAGATAGCGATCAGAGTCACCAGGAACAAAATGAAGAAGGGGAGTACTTTTCTTTTTTTTTCTTTTTTTTTTTTTTTTTTGTCAAAAAGCAGGGTCAAGCCATTTCTTCAAAATCTCGATACGTAGTGATCTCCAAAATACAACACGTCTCTGTTTGAAACTTTACAAAACCGTAAGCATTGCACTTTTCGCAGCAATGTGGCAGTAGTTTAAAGTATCTGCAATCACACTTATTTCCCCCACCCGTTTGCCAAACCACAAGAACCCGTCAACTTCAATGATATCTACAAAAAAATTATATCCCAATCTAATCGAAAAACATAAAAATTGAAAAACCTTCAATTCATTATCCCCACCACGTCCCTGACTGCAAAACCGTTTGCGCCAATCTTCAACGTCCTACATACAATCCGGCTTATCTACTGCGCGATGCCTATTGGTGGTCAATTTTTCGTCTGACTCACTTAGTGCCGTTTTTGCAGCACGATTTCCCCACCAACTGCATCCCGAGAGCCCTGAAAACACACAGGCTTATAAAGCGGCATATCAGCATCACATACCCTTTTTTTCAACGCCACACAAGCATGCTCCCACGCTCCAGAGGCCTCCTACTGAGGGCTTCGAAAACACTAACAAAGCACCCATACCGTTCAGTTCAGGCGGCCACGAGGCTAAATAGCGTCAATTCGGTGGCATTCCGTCGTGACATCCATACTGCCTCGCCGCTTGGCTTCAAATCCTCCCTGATCCGCCAAAACGAAATACCTTTTGAAAAACTCTCAGATGAAGACAAAGCAACCCTTACAGAAGAAAGAGCCACCGACAACGTGGACGTATGCATTGTGGGCGCCGGGCCTGCTGGTCTAGCGGCTGCCATCAAGCTCAAGCAGCTCGATAACGAAGAAGGATCAGGCGAGATGCGTGTGGTTGTTCTAGAAAAAGCACCCGACTTTGGCTCCCATATTGTTTCTGGAGCTGTTCTTGAACCTCGTGCTCTCAAAGAGCTCTTTCCAGAAAGCGAGTTTCTCGAGGATCTGGGCATCCCCTTGCCGCCCGACCTTGTTACCAAAGTGCAGCATGACGATATGCGGTTCTTGACTCAAGAGTACGCCTACCCTTTACCAGAACCACCACAGATGAGAAACCACGGGAAAAACTACATTGTGCTGTTGAGCCAGGTGGTGCAGTACCTTGCAGAGCAGGCCGAGGAGCTCGGCGTGGAGCTTTTCCCGGGCATTTCTGTGTCTGAGCTTGTATATACTGACGGAGGAGCTGTCAAGGGTGTGGCTACTAAAGATGTTGGAATTGGCAAGGACGGAGCGCCTCTTGGGTCGTTTGAAAGAGGTATGGAGTTCCACGCCAGACAGACCGTTTTGGCCGAAGGGTGCCATGGTTCTCTTACCAAGAAGGCAGTGAACAAGTACAATCTCAGAAAGGACAGTGATCCTCAGACATACGGCATTGGCATCAAGGAGGTGTGGCGAGTTAATGACGAGAAGTTCCAGGAGGGGTTTGTGGGCCACAGTTTGGGATTCCCGTTGCCTCTGGACGTTTACGGTGGAGGATTCATGTACCACTTTGGCGATGGACTTGTTTCAGTGGGACTTGTGGTTGGTCTTGACTACGCCAACCCTTACATCTCGCCGTACCAGGAGTTCCAAAAAATGAAAACCCACCCTTACTACGCCGATGTGCTTGAAGGCGGAGAGTGTGTTTCCTACGGAGCTCGTGCGCTTAATGAAGGTGGACTTCAGTCTATTCCAAAGCTCCATTTCCCCGGCGGAGTCTTGATCGGCTGTTCTGCTGGTTTCATGAACGTGCCCAAAATCAAGGGCACCCACACGGCCATGAAGCTGGGTCTTGTCGCTGCAGAAAGCATTTTCGAGGCTGTCAAGGAACTCGATCCAGTGGACGAGGAAACCGACTTTGAGGAGGCCCTTGATCTTCGCCAGTACGAGGAAAGCCTCAAGCAGTCGTGGGTCTACGAGGAGCTCCACGAAATCAGAAACGTCAGACCGTCGTTCAACGGTCCACTCGGCTTTTTGGGCGGTTTGGCCCATTCTGGCTTCACCACCATGTTCTCCAAAGGAAAAGAGCCCTGGACATTGTCTCATAAGCACACGGACGCCGAGGCGACACAGCCAGCATCGAACTTCTCTCCGATCGAGTACCCCAAACCGGACGGAAAGCTCACTTTTGACATTTTGACCTCCGTCTCCAGAACAGGCACCTACCACCAGGAAGAGGAGCCCAGCCACTTGAGAATCCCACAGCAAAACCACAGAAAACATGCTGAGATTTCCTGGCCCAAGTTCAAAGGCGTGGAGCAGCGTTTCTGTCCTGCTGGTGTGTACGAGTACATTGAGGACGAGGAGGAGCCTTTGGGCGTGAAGTTCAACATCAACTCGCAGAATTGCATCCACTGCAAGACGTGTGATATCAAAGTGCCTGCCCAGGATATCGACTGGGAGGTTCCCGAGGGCGGCGATGGGCCCAAGTACTACATGACGTGATTGACATAGCATAGTCTGGCCTTCTGGCTGGACGTAATACAAGTGGGGTTAATGGGGTGTAGAAGGCCGCTGTAGTTTCAGGAATTTGTGTGGTTTATGGTTGTTTTTGTTGAGCCAATTTAGAGTGATTCTTGTAATCACTAGAAAGTCCATGGAGCACTAGTCAAGAGCACCGTATTGTTTATAAAGAATACCATCTTTTCACGTTTAACGCCATATTTCGGAGATACGTCCTCTTAAACCGATATTTTTGAGGTTGGGGCTGACTTGCTCCACATCATTTTATGCAAGGTTTAAGTTAAGCGAGATACCTTGCAGCCATGGAAGCCTTACACTGTTGTACATGGGAACACCAAATACCCCAAAGTCTGCTACCTATGAAATTTCATCCGGGGCTGCTCACTATTTGAATCAAGAAAAGTATGGTGCTACTGTCGGGAATATCTCTGACTGCTTCAACAATATCTGTCAAAGTAAGGTTATCACATTATAACAGAACCCATCAACCCTCTGCTTTCCAGCATTTGACAGGATTGCATAGTTGCCACAGCAACATCTAAATCACAATCCAAAGCACAATCCCCACTGCAGAAACCATCCTTTGATTCTTCCTGGTTGATGCAACCTACAAGCCTCCAAAACTACACACCACCGTCACGAACTGAATAGAATCTAACGGGCGAACCCTAATATACAAGCAGAACTAACTAAACAACTTGTCCAAGTCCGACAAGCTGATATCCTCGGGAGCGCCAATCTCCTGGTTCAAAAAGCCCAGGCGAACAGCGTGCTGCCAGTCCTTGGTCTTTGGAGATGCTGTAGCTTCAGGAGCAACCAGGGACGCTGGCGAGGTGCCTGAAGAAGAGGCCAAGGAGGAGGCCAGCGAGGAGGAGGTTGAGTTTGCAGCAGCAATAGCTTTCAACGCAGCAGCATGGAGGGCAGCAGCAGCGGCGGCAGCGTTGGGGCTAGGAGAACAAGGAGCTTTTGACGCTCTAGGAGCGGCAGCAGCAGCGGTTAAGAATTTGGCCTTTTTGTTCGAGCTAAGGTACGACATGGACTTGGAGCGTTTGCCGTTTTTCTTGAGCACGTCGCCGAAATCGATCTCGTCGTCGTCGTCGTCGGCCTCGTCGAAAACCTCCAAGTCGTCAAAGTCGAAATCGTCGTCCTTCTTGGCTGCATTTTCGAGGGCATCGCTCTTTTTTGCAACCACCTGTTCCTGCTGCTTCCGAGGCTCCTCCAGCTTGACTTCGGTCAAAGAGGCCGCCACGGGCGCCAGCGCATACGGCACGAACAAGTTGGACCGGTCGATGGGGCTTTCAACAAAGGCTGGTCTGGAAACGCCCAAATCGAACATGGTGGACCGCCGAGGCTTCAGCATCGCCAGCTGCTTCACCGCTTCAAGGCTGTCGGAAACAGGCGGCTTGACCACGGAATTGGGCTGGGTGCCGGGCGTGGGGAGGTTGACATGGAAGTTTTTCGCCAAGAGGCCTCGGTACACATACACCATACGTTTTGGAGAAGCATCGGCCCACTCACGGGAAAGAGCGTAGCGTAAGTTGGAGTCGCCCTTTTCCACTCTTTTCACGTAAGCATTCAATTTGGCACTCACCAAGTTGGACGTTTTCGACAGCAACTGGGCCATCTCGGGATGTCTCTCCACAAGCACATCGCAAATCTGCTTCACCGTCATGCCGGCGCCAGCAGGGTCCTTTTCGTACAAAATAAGAAAAATAGCATAGAGCACGTCGTCTTCTAGCGAAGCGTCGCCTTCCTGCTGCGGTTTCGGTTTTTCACCAGTCACCGGAATGGTGGTCAGGATCCCCGTAGCAATGGGCACCCTGCTGGGCACTTTCACTTTTTTGAAAACACCGCCGTTTGCACTGTAGTACGACGGCTGGGGCGTGGAATCACGGGAGCTGAACAGCAGAGTCAGCAGCTTCTTCTGCTGCATCAACGAGTCAGGCAGAATCAGGCGGGATGTGGGCAGAAGGTCCCCGTCTGGACTAACGGAGCCACGGCGGGTCACCTCCTGCTCTGCCGTCTCAACGCCCTTTAAATCTGGGATGGTCGACTTCATCGGATACGCTGAAGCGTGTGAAGTAACTGGGACGCCAAGAGGTCTTTTGTCTGCCAATGCCATACCCTAAGGGGACATATATGGAAGTAATACAGGCCCAGCTAACTTAATAACTGGGAAGAACTGGGGTTAGTAGGGGTGGGGGTGGATCCTTGGAGGTGGGTATCTATGGAGTGGGGGTGGATTTGCTGAATCTGGACGGAAAGTTGCGTTGAAAGTGTATTTTGGGGATTTTCTGGAGTCATTACGTGGGGTGTTGTCTTGGTGGGGCATTGAAAGGGTGGTTGATTGAGTGGGATCTGGTTGATTGAGTGTACGGTTATCAACAGCATCCTGGGTACCATTGAAGCCGTAGCACCAACAATCAATATCCAAACTTTCAAAACATTGAAAGTGCTCAATAGCCATAAATGCCTTTGGGCAGGCAGGCCAGACTAGATCCCGCTGAAACACGTTTGATGATTATCCTATTGTTCATGCTATCACGTCATCTCATCATGACAACTCATCACAGCAATCAACGCAGATGCCCCCACACAGCCGTTACCAAGAGAAATCCTCCAATGAATCGAAAACTCAAAACTTCACGTTCTTCATGCTTTCAATTCCACGAATCATCTCTATTGGAACAGCTATGCGTGGATGCAAAAAGCTGAGGTCCTGATAAAACAACACTAGCAATCACAAAGACACATATCAAACACCACGGGAATCACAGCCCAGCCAAGTCCGTCATCCTGAAACCGTTTTTATCAAAATTTCAAAACATCAACTATCTTTTTTTCTGCTTCAGATCGAGACTCACCTGAGGATAGGGAAGGAAAACATACTGAAAGTGGATCGGCGAAGACGGGATACAAAAATAGCCTTTCGCGGGGTTCTCTGCTTAGGGAGCCGGAGAATGAATATGGACAGAAGCGCCGTAGCACGGGTGGGTTTCTGGAAAATGGAAAAACTGTAAGATGGTTTTTTTTTTCTATGCAAGGCTTATCCTGTGATGAATCGCACTACATGGATTATCACGTGACTTGTAGAGAGTTGGAATTTGTGCCAGCGGGGCTGGGCCTGAGGGTGGCTTTAAATTGGCGATTGTGCTTTGGGCATTTGTATTATGCTTTACAGCTGGATATTTGTGGTTTTGGTGGCATTTTTGGGTTTGGGGACCTGCAGATAAGCCGGTGGTCCCACTATCTACAGCAGCGAAAAGCAGTCACAGCGACTGAGGTACAGATTCTGGAGATAATGCGGGCCACTATCGCGCAGAAAGTGGGCAGGTCGTGCGTGAACCAGGAAGGTCTCTAGGGCTGCGAGTCATGCAAGAGCACGTGACTGTACATATTGACAGTGCGTGTGGAAGCCCTCATCGAAGGGCTCGAGGGTGCGGGTCACGTGGCAGAAGGGCTGCGACCCTAAGGGGACAAAAGTACGTGCGTCATCGCCATGCGATGCGTTTATGCCGCCACGCGGGGTCGATGCGCTTACGCAGGACGCAGGCGTTGATAAGCGATGGCTGCCAAAGTCTTTTCGTAATCTTCCTGCCAGTAGTTGTCAGGGTAAGGATTTTCTTTGTTTCCCGTTGGCGGCACAAACCACCAGTTCAATGCCACGTGTGCGCCTCCAGAGCCTTCAGCCAAACTGGTCACTTCGTGGAACCAGCCTGTAGGAAGGTAGAGCATCTCGCCTGGTTCTAGCCAGACCTCGAGTTTCTGGAGATCAAGGAATCCTGGGAAATTCGCCTCGGCGTAGATCTCGAGCTTTTTGCGATCTTCTTCGGAAACCTCGTCTAAATGTGCTAGAAGTGGAGGAACCGTTGAAAAGCTGGGAGGATCTAGGTCGGATTCGCCGTTTTCCGCAAAAGGCTCATCATTTTCTATGATTTCCTCGAGTTCGTCCTTGGAGATCTTCAGAAAATCGCCCTTTTCGATCATCCACCGAGCCCACTCGCCCAACATCGCACCGTCTTCACGCATGGGTCGCCAAAAACGGGCCTTTTCGTTCACCTTATAGTCAATTAGGCCATTGGGGAAAACACGCCTTATTTCGCCCACCGTCTTGAGTTTTTCAGCGTCTTTGGGCGAGTATAGCGTGAACCGTTTCCGTCCCTGAACTAACACATACAAGTTATCTGCATGGTCGTGGTGAAGACCCGAAGAATTGCCTTTTGGAACGTACCTGCCAAGGCTCTCTTTCGTGATGTTCTTCAATTCAGGCTTCGCTTTTTCACCGTCCTTGCATGCGCCCATCCACAAGTTGATCTGTTGCGGGATCAACGGTCCAAAGATGTCTGGAACCAAAGGAAAGTCGTCTTTTTTGTAGAGTTCCGTGAGTGGAGCCTGGAGAAGCGTGTTGATGCGGAAGTCGACCTCGTCCTGGGTGAGTTTGTGGTCTGGAACGACGAAATCCTCTTCTGAGTTTTCGAGATCGTCGAAATCGTCATGGAGGTTTTCGAAGTTGATGGACTCGTTGTCTGAATCTAGGCCGGGGGAAGAAAAACCATTATTTTTGTCGTCCCCTGCTTCGTCGTCCCCAGCTTCGTCCTCTGATTTTTCATCTTCATCCTCATCCTCGTCAATTCCACCCTCATTGAGGAAGTTCTCCTCCTCGGAACCCTCTCCCCCGTCCTTCTCGTCACCGTCGCCCTCCTCGTATTCATGAGACTCGTACTGCGTCGTCAAGTAATAACTTTCGTCTCCACTGGCCAACTTCTCTACAATCTCACTGAAAGCCAACTCCTCACGCTTTTTCCCCAGCCCAAAGCCTAGACCGTGCTTTCTCTCAACCTGAAGCTTTCTATCATTCGCCTCCGCCAAGGTGTCGAGGATCCTGTCAACTCGAAAAGCCGCCATGTCCACCGGAACCAATTCCGGGGAGATAATCTTCACAGGCGTCCGTTTTTCGACAAACCTTTCGAAAAAGCCTTCCTTCAGACGCACGGTCTCAATTGCTGGACCCTCAACAACAAACCCAGCGTATTCATTGACCGGAAGTGCCTGTTTTTTGGTGGTTTTCCGATCTAGACTTCTTTTCATGGGTGGTTGATGCAGGAGAACCGGGCTGTTGTAGTGTGGCTCTACGAATATCACCAGTGAAGAAGAAAAAAAAAAAAAAAGAAAAAGCAATTGAGCAAAAGAGACTTATCAGTTGGCAGATAGCGTGGTTTTTCCTTTTTCTTCAAAATGTCTCTCTCGCCTTCGGGTGAAGATGCCCGGTTTGTGTTTGACGCTACCCGGCCTAAAACGCTGCCACCATAAGGTGACTTTTCAAAAAATTCGAGATTAGCGTCACGTCGAGCATCAAAAATATCGCCTTTTCCCGGATGGATAAATCCGCCAGATAAGCAGCTCCCCCATGTATTTTTTGATCCCCAGATAATATCGACCTGCGAGTCCAAGGATATTTTTTCACACCCACCGGCGGGTCAAGAGGAGTATGCATGGTGTTTTCATTCACCTAACTTTAGACGATGCAACGCCCGGTGCACCACGACACTAACCATTGAGTAAACGGACGCCCTCGAATAGTAGTAGTATGGAGAATGAGGGCTGAATGGGTCTAGAGCAGCCCCCACGCTGTGAAATTGTTTGCCGATCGGACGCCTGGATATTGCCCATTCGCTGCACGCACGTAGAGAGAGCGCATATAAAGAGAGCGCATTGAGAGAAGAGAGTGTGAAAGATCCGAAGGCACGAGGGTTCACAATAGCGACACTGACGGGAAAAGTCGTGCTAAGCCCCGCCATCCCGTTGAACGTAGATAGCTTTAGCTTGTAGAGTGTAAAAAAAGAAAAAGCAAATCAGCCCGCTTTGTGGCAGAAATGCCAGATGATCCAGGGTCTAGAGGACATGGGGATCCGGGCAACTCCAGGAATGCAACAATGATTTTTGAAGCCCACTCGGGCAGAACAACGAGGTCCCGACTTGGAAAAACCGCACAATGGGGCGCTTAGGACGTTGGACCGTCTGGATCTCCGCAAGCGTTGAAAAAAAGAAGGCAATTGGGGGCTGACGAAAAACCGGAATAACGAAATTAGCAGCGGGGCGACGCCAATGGGATTTCGCTTTCCCCTATTTGCAGCCGGGGCTCGTGGAGGCTCGGAAAGTGCACGATCGAGACCCTGCCACAATGCTGGCAGGCCGAGAACTCAGGTTTCGACATTTATCAAATTGTCGACATTATCAGATTGTCGACATTTATCAATTGCCCAGGGCACAATAGCCAAAGTCGCCATTTGTTCGATTGCAAGCCGCCACAATGGAGCTCAGAACGGGCCGCTGAGGATGCGCCAATTAGAATTATGTAGGTGAAGAGGACAATGGAGACCGCCCAGTTATGGCAAATGAGGAATGTGGATCAAAGAGGAAGTCGAAAGGGGGTAGGGCTCGGAAGCGAGTAGGTTTTTCGCCCAGACAAGGCAACACGGCTGGAAAATGGGAACTTTGTCGTTGGAGCAATTGTGGTGATGACAAGAAGCTTGGGTTTGGCGTGTGATAAAACGATTTTCCAAGAAGGGAAACGATCAGCCGGGACTAGACGAGCTGTCAGTTCGGTTGTCGATCGCTGCTCTGGCCGGATGTATCGTTGGAGAGGATTTCAGAATTGTGGAGGTTGTATCGTTTGGAGAGGGATTCAGCCTTTAGTGGATGAAGTATTGAAAGTAGTAAAGTATTGAATGTAGTAAAGTATTGAATGTAGTAAAGTATTGAATGTAGTAAAGTATTGAAATTTAGTAAAGTCTTGAAATTAGTAGAGTATTGAAATTAGTAGACTATTGAATGTAGTAGAGTATTGAAATTAGTAGAGTATTGAAATTAGTAAAGTATTGAAATCAGTAGAGTAGAATTGACAATTGAAGAGAATGACGACTACAGAAACCAGGCCATGGAGTCGGAATTGAGGTTTACTTGGACCCGGAATTGGAGTTCTGGGCGGTGGGATTCGTTTGTAGATGGGTGCAAAATGAAAAGTCAGTCCACAAACCAGCCGTCGCCAATTCCACCCCTTATTCCGCCTGGATATCGACAGCGCCAGATATCAGAATTTATTCAATTGAGCGGAAACCACAAAGTCAAAGGCCTGGGCTTCTTAGACTCGAGCGATTATCGTATATCCTCATCAATTGCAATAATGCTAAAACTCTGCCTCCCTACAATCTACAACACACCAATCTGAAGTCCACCAGCGCTGGGTATCGAATTTTATTCAATTGAGCGGAAACCACAGTCCAGCAATTGACCTGGGCTTCTCAGAATCAAACGATTATCGTAAATCCTCATCAATTGCAATAATGCTAAACCAAAGCTACGCCTACACCCCATCAATCCTATGTCTGTATTGTCTAGTGAATGTAAAAGACAGCCTTGCTCATGCTCTTTGATCTCTTGACGCCCGGCGCATGGGCATTTTCGTAGCTGCGCTTGCCTCCAAACATTCTGTCCAGCTCGGCCGGCAGAAGGTTGGGCAGCGGCAATGTCCGTTGTGTTCTGGGCAGCAACTGGTGCAATCCAAACGGCTTCACGTAGCCTGGGTGGGAGGTGACGGGTGCAGAAACCTGGGGAGTCAAGGCCGGGCGAATAGGCTCGGAAAATCCGCCCTCCTGGTTTTTCGGGCTGATGCTCAGCGAAATGGGCGTTGCTGGGTAGAACTTCGGGTCACCAGGCCGCCAAAGCTGCCTGTGGGGGACCTCGAAGGCTCGTCTCTGGAAACAGGCGTATTAAGCTCAATGGCACCGCAATCGCTCGAAGTGGGAGCAGCGCCCGTGTGAGAAAACACCGAGTTGGGAGCCAAGTGCTTCCAGGTGAACGCCACAAGCTGCTTCATGAGGTTGAGGAAGCGCAGGTCCTCGTTGAAGTACTTGGTTTTGAGCGAGGGAGGAGGACACTTGAGCACCTTGATGAGCAAGCCAAAGGCCGCATTGTAGGTGGAGTGGTTGACAATAGGCACCTCGGTCTCCACGGCAACGTAGGTCAAGAAAGCATGGGTGGTGAAGTCGGCACTGGTGTTGAGGATAAGACACGCAAGCACGACACTCATCAAGGCAATCTTGGGCAGCAGGTAGTTGAAGTATATGTTTGGGTAGAACTGGATGAGTTCACAGATGTAGATGGCCACGATCTTCACGTCGTTGCAGACCTTGTGGGGGTTCTTAGAGCCGGCTAAGAAAGGGGACAGGGCCAAGGCGTTGATGTACAAGTCGACGAAAGCATCAAAAGTTGGGGCATCCACAAGCCAGCCCAACAGCTTCAAAACGTGGTTTTCCATCTCCAAAAACAACTTCTTGTCGTAGCAGTGGCAGCAGTACTTGCACAAGTCATTGAGACTGGGGATGCGGAACTTGGAGTCCAAGTTTTTGCAGGCGATCCAGAGCGCCGTGAGGCCCAAGAGCTGGTAGTGCTGTTTCTTGACAATGCGGACCGAGCAGTATCTGTCAATGATGTTGACGGTCAAGGGGAAGGTCAGCTTGCTCAAGTTGAGCTTGTTGATCACGTCCATCAAAAAGTCAAGCAAGAGCGGACGCATGCGTAGGTTGATCTCCGGCTGCTGCTGGATAAGGTGCAAGTTGGGTCTGGTCTTGGTGTCCAAGTCCAAAAGATGATGGTGGATATCGAGTTTGTACTCGTCCACGTGAGCCTTGTGGGCCTTATACTCTGCTAGTTGGACACGGACGTCCTGGGCCTTTGCAGAGGCTTGAGAAACACGAACATGGTGGTAGAAGTCTGGCGAGCTCATGCTAGAAGGTCACTGGGGGCCATATAACGAATGCAAGGGGAGGTTTGGTTGGGATAAATTTTTGAAACGAAGGGATGCAACGAAACAACGAAATGAAAGAATGCAGTAGGGATTCCTTGACCAGTGGGGTTGAACAAAAGTTGATTTAGTCACGACAGGAGGACCGTCTGAGAGACTGAAACGTCAAAACCTGGGTAGGAGGAACAAGGTGGAAGATGAATAAAAAAAAAAAGAATATGATGCTGGGGGTGATGACCAAAAGGGGGTTTGGGGAGTGGACGCCCGCAGGTGGTGGGTGAAGTAGGGACTTTTCAAAAAAACAGCGAAGTGAGGACCTGGGGGGGGGTTTGGAAATTATATATGTAAAGGGGCGCCAGTAGTTAGTACCGATGGATCGAAGTATGGCAGGGTGCATGGTGCACGGGTCTGCGGAAAGGACATTCAAGCTTTTTTTTGCTAAGTGGCAGGCTTGACGCACGACGCACGACGCACGCGCATGCGCGTATTGCATTACCCTCTCACTGGGTGCCCAGGAAGCATTTTATTTGATTAGAGAGAGGAGCACTATGGATGCATGTGTATGCACAAGACAATAATGCCCATCCATTTGTCTTAGTCTTCGAATCCACCGTCGACTCCTCGACAACCGGGGGCGCTTCGAGCGGGGCTTCCTCCTAGGCAGTAATGACCCGTAAATGCTAGTTTATCAAAAAATAATGCGGGAGTGTCCTGTCAATGGTTACTCGGCAACATCGTTAGTTTTTTTTATCACTGTGGTAACTCTTTGCATGCCTCACAGGCACTGGGCACCTCGGTTTTCCGGGGAGGTGTGGCCCGGTGCGACAACCCCCGGTATTCCCACAACGACCCCCCGGTTCTACGTGCGGTGGGATGGGTCGGATTTCAGCGAGTCCCGGTCCCGCCTGACCTAATTCTACTAAAGCCAGCCATAGCCAGGGGCTATTGACAACGGGTGACTATTCTATTATTTGCAATTCCTCTTAAACCAACCCACCGCTGGAAAGCATGATCCGTTGAGAGGTAGGGCATCGCATGGCCCGAGGGTAGAAGGAATCGCCTTGCGACATGGGAACACCTCACCGGTTTGGTGGTGTACGGGTGTTCGGAACGCCCACCCAGGTCCTCCCTCGGAAGATCCCTCCCTTCCCTGCCTGCCCTCGGCGACATTGCCCGAACCGGTGGGCGATGAGAAAAAAAAAAAAAACCCCCCAAAGCCCCCTTCTCACGTACGTCGTGCGACATGTAGCTCGCTCGAGCCACGCATGTCTCTTTCAACCCCCCAAGACCACATAATTAACCGTATAAACCCGTGCCCCATCTGACTGCCATGGTTCAAGTTGAACCGAGAGGCGGGTTCCAAAATGAACCCCCATCGCCCTGGTGTACGGGTCTTCCATTGCCCCAGATGTCTGGATCTTTCACTGGTACCACTATCGAAAAACCATGGATGAGCTTCTAGCACGCCACAAAAAGGAGCAGCGGGATTTGGTGAATCGGATTACGGGTCTCAAGAAGCAGGCGACCAAGAAGAACCGGAAATCCGTGAATTCCCAGTGTGTCCAGCTTCAGAGCGACCTCGATGCCAAACAGAAGCAAGAAATAGACGACTTCAATGGCGTAGAGCCGGAGAAAGACGTTTCTCCAGAAGAGCTTTTGGCTTCCATGGCCATCGAAGAGAAAAACGAGCTGGAAGAGGCGGTTCCAGAAGCAGGTCCGAAGAAGAGAAACAGAGCCAAGGAGCGGTTGCAAAAAAGACTAGTACAAGAAGAGGCTATCCGGAATCAGGCTCGAGAGGAGGCGGCTGGAGAAACAGACTACCGTGCCATTGAGCAGGAGCTGATGAAGAAGGTGCTAGCAGCCAATGGGCTTGAGCCGTGGGAAATAAAGCCTGATGGACACTGTCTTTTTGCTTCGATCCAGGACCAGCTCAAGCAGAGAGTTGGTAAGCAAGTTCTGGTGGAGGAGTTACGAAAAGAGGCTGCCGAATTCGTGAGAACCCACCGTGACGAGTTTGTGCCGTTTTTGTTTGACGAGTCCACGATGTCCTTGAGAGACGTTGATGAGTACACCCGGGAGCTTGAAACCACGGCAATGTGGGGGCTGGATATGGAGATATTGGCCCTTTCGAGGTGCTACGGCGTGAAAATCCGTGTTTTCAGTGCCGGCCTGGCGCCCATTGACTTTGAGCCTGAAACAACCAAAAAGAAGGATTCCGAGGGCACCGAGCCTGCCACGAATGTCGCTGTGCTCTACTTGGCGTTCTACAAACACAGCTACGGCTTGGGCGAACACTATGACTCCGCCAGGGACGCCTCTAACTAGACAAAAAGCGTGAAGAAACAAGAAGCTTAGCCGGACGCTTAAGGCGGTGCTGTGCTGGCTGTCACGGTGAAGATGGGGTGGAAATAAGGCTGTGACGTGCTTGGCGGCTTCGGTGTTGCTATAAATGGGTCTTGGGTTCGAGGTTGACGATCTGATCAATGGGGGGAGTCGCCTTGTCTAAGAAACTAGTAAGTTTAGTTTGCTGACAACCGTCATGCTGATCAGGAGGCACGGTGGTAGCTGGTCTCTCCACATCGTACCTGGTCGAGTGGAGAATGACAAAATGGGCGTTTTCTCGAAGTCCGGACTTTGCATCCATGGAACCCCATTATCCATTGAACCTTGAGCCTCGAGATATGGGTGTCCCGATTCGGCAGGTTTCGTAAACAGCAGGGATAATGTCTCTTTGTTGCCAGGCCCACCGCCGGAATCCATGACTGTTTCTCCCGTGGAGGCTTACACTGATCTTGCCCTCTAGATTGCACTATTTTTTTGGACTTGCGCTGGAGCCAGTTTTTTCGACAAGACGCCTGGAAAGATCTGTTCTCCGATCTCTGTTCCCCAAGGCGCCTAGAATTTGTCGTACGAAAAGGGCTTGGGGTTGATCTGGAGAATGGCCCCTGGATTCCACGTTACAGTGGGGAAGCGACGGCCCGCTTTCTCGCAAAAGGCACCATTCTGTGCCCCTAAAAAAAGATAAAGAGGAGTGGGAATGATTTAAAGAGGCGGGGGAGAAATCGACTTGTTCAAAGGGCCCGATTCAGCGTGACCAGGTGACTCCCTCCTATTCTGGTAAGGACCATCACATGGACCGCCAAAAATGGCGCTTTTTTCTCCCTGCCATTTCGTTTATTCCTTCGCTGTGGCTCGAGATCTGACAATCGGCTGGATCGGACGAATTGCTGTTTTCGGTGCTTATTCCAGCGAAGATCTTTTGTGATTTGCGCTCGCTCCGAATAATGTGGTGGAAAACAAGGCCCATTGTTCTCCTCCTTTGCTCTCCTCCAGATAGTTCGATTCCGGCTGCACTTGCAAAAACGCTCGTAGATCTGGCCGCTCTCACTACGGCTATATCTTCGGCAACACTGGCCTTCTTTGAAAACGGCAGCATCGCCGAAGGTGGCTTAGGGTGTCGTGATTCCCGACAAGAAGGAAAAATCCACACCGCCAGACCGAGGCTCAAAATCAGGCTCGAGCTGCTATTCACCTGCAGAGGCTATTATCGGAAGAACGTTTCTGTTACGGTGGTTAAGCGTGTTACCTTGACGAGGCCTAACGTGCAATGGCACGTTTTGCTCGAGAATGAAGCAAATCTCGGGTTTCGGCTTTCATGGATTCCGTGGCCGACCTTCAAAGGAGTGTCCCCTCTTCGGCGAGCTGAATGATGTATGCGAGGGGAGGATTGTGATTTCGAGATTGCAGGACGAAGCCACACCCAGATCACCAGGTCGCGGGTAGCAGGTGCGGTTTTGTGGCAGGAAGAGCAACCTCGTGTCCCACACGGGCAGGTGAGACACAAAACAGTTTGATGCGCTTTTGGAGACGATGCAAATTGGGTATGTGGGTATTATGCTGTAGCAAGCAAGTAGAAATTTCCATGCGTCGTGGGCATGAGGTGGTTCCTGCATATGATCCGTTGTTGAAGGCTCGCTGACGCGTGTGAACTTAGCTCACAGCATTGTGTGCCGTCTTGGACGGATTCGCACAGGGGGCGTTGGGGCTATTTTGCGTCAGCTTGCCGCGTATGTGCAGTCCGCCGCGAGGGTCGGAAACGTCACTTGCGCCTGGCCTGCACAATGGCCCGATTTACGAGCGAGGCCGCGCGCGTCAACTGCTGATTTGGTGATTGTTCCGGCTCGCCTGTGCGGCTCTCACTTTCGCCTATGTGTGTCAGGAAAGGTACAGTGCGCCTAACGCAACCAACAAGGTCGAGATAAGAGAAAATTTTTTTTACAATTGCAGAGATGAAACCCCAACCATGTAGACTTTACAAAAGCGGGTCCACAAAACACGTCTGTCTGAAACACCCTTTTAGCGACCTGCCTCGACATCTCATTCGATCCCGCGCCAAAATCCCCATAGCAAGCATGGTTCATGACGTTCATTGGTATTTACGGGCAGCCTGGCTCCATGGACCCTAAAAAGCAAAAAAAATCCACAAGCGGACGATTTAGCCGCCCAGCGGGAGAATGTCTCAGAGTGTGCAGTGAAAAAACGCCGAGTTCCTCGAAGACCATTTGCAAAAGGTCCCACGGCTGAAGAGGTGAAAGTGAAATTGTGCAACTTTTTTTAAAAAAAAAATAAATCTTTTTGTCGCCAGAACAAGCCCGTTTCAAACCGCCGCCCCGCAAATCTCTCTTCTTTCTGGGTAAGCCGCTGCGGAAAGTATAGGAGCGGAAAAACAGCGCTTAGGGGCCGGCCCAAGCAAAATGTGCTATTTTCACCAATACGCCTAGATACTTCCGACGGAGGTATCGTGCTGAAGAATCTGTGGTGGGCAATTGCATGGGGGATTGGGGAAGTAGAAAGGAATTGGAAGGAACAAAAAGCAAAAAGCGTGGATGGAAATTATTCTCCACATCACCAACCGGCGCAGATTTTTCAAAAAAATTTTCCAGCCATCTCGACGTGGCCAGTTCTGTAGTGGCGGTTTTGCAAATTGCAGAAAACGTGAAATTGTAGGAGGGAGTTTTTTGCCGAAAAGAGAGTGCGATTTCAGCGCCGCTTATCTTGGCCTGTTGCCGACGACACTAAGCCGCTGCCGAATGCCATAGCCTGGCTGGCGGTGGGTTTTTCGCTATTTTTGGAGATTAGGGGGCTCGGGGAAAAAGAGCATTTTTTTTATGGTTTGGTTGGTGAAAGCCAATTTCGAATTATGGCGTCTTTGGCGCCTAGGCAGCCGTATAAGAGCATGTTAATTACTTGCATGGGCGACATAGATAGGAGTTCCTCCTGCCGACGTCCGGAGATACCCCCGAGGGTACGGACCCGAGGGTACGGACCGGGGGTGCCTCACTGTAACTTCTATTTTTTTTTACTGTACCCCCGGTGACTCTGCCCCCGGCTTAGCTGGTCTGACTGCTGATGTCGCGTCACGTGACGGGCCCTCGGAAGTCGGGGGAATCAGCACCGGTCGAAAGCCCCCCGGTGTGCCGTATCTAAGCTATAGAAAGAGACCCGGTCGATGGTCGGCTGACTAGAACACTTCATGGGGCTTAACCCGGGTAAAGTTTACATGTCTCTACTCAATCAGGTTATCTCAACGACACAGTTAATTTTTCTGAACGACACACGCATCGCCCCACAAGTGGTGTGAGGAAATTGAGCCCAGCGAGCGGCTCGCGACATTTCTGCCCACCAGGCTTCCACGCCTCGTTGAAAGACATTGTCTAAAGTGAAAAGCTAAATACCGCCTGCAAAAAAAAAAACCAAACATTTCAAAAGCACCAGCAATCAGGCACAGCAACGCCCGAACATAAACTTTTAGGCTTGCGCCTTTGTGCGTTATGCCGGTTTACGTGGGGCTGTGAGGCGAGCGATGCCATGAACGTTGCAGTGCGGTTTAGGGCTCAATGAGTCGGTTGCTAGGCGTTTGGGGCGTTTGCTAGGGCTTAAAGTCGCGAGGCACCGGTTGTGGGAGTGGGCAGGGTAAATTGAAGGGGTTGTGTCGCTCAAACGGTGGATTCTGATTGGTCAATTGGTTCCAGAGGGTCCAGGTCCAGTGTAGGTTATTTTTGGTCCCGAGCGCAATGGGAAGTAGGTTTCACAGGGTAGGTTTTGAAAGTCTACCTAAAGGTATTCTGGAGAATGGGGGTTGAGGAACTAACGTCAGAGAGTAAACCGTTGTTTGATCAAAATTCATTTTACATAGATCGATTGTAGATTTCGTGAAACTAATTATAGGAACGGATCAGACCGACTTGGGGCTTGGTCAATTGGCTAATGATGACCACTCCCTTCCTTGGACTCCTTTACTAGAGGCTCGGTCGATCGAAAAAGCTTAAAGGCGGTTTTGGAATCAGGGTTTTGGAGGTTGACGAGGTAGTGGATTTGGGTGGATTTCCCGATCTGGAGGTAGTGGCTTGGTAGTACAATGGAAGGCTGTTTGAGAGAGAAGTCTGTTTCAGAGGGAGTGGTGGGATTGTGGATTTTCGTGATTACGGGATGGGGATAAGGGTTGGGGGTTATGGATTAGGGAAATTGCAGAGGCGGAATTTCGTGGATTAGGAAGATTTGGAGGGGTTTGGTGGTGTTGATTTCTGTGGAGTAGTAATGACCGTGGGGAGATAAAAGTCAACGGGGCTTTCCAGAGATCTTGGCTTCCTCCGGAGATTGGGCTGTTCTATAATTGGCTAAAAGCAATGTCCTCTTTTTTCGTCTACTGTGGTGGTGAGTTAAAGTATTGAATGTCGATATTCCTGCTGAATCTATTCGAGGGATTCCAATGATCCTGCTTCGGTTGATTGCTTTTGAAACACCAAAATCAACCTGACTGTCCCACGATTATCCAAGTTCCCGGCCCGAATCACCGTCCGATAGAAACCACGAAATTGACCAAAACAAGCCCTCCACAATCCCCCCATACTCCCCCATAATCCACCGAAGCCAATCACAATGAACCTCCAGGCTAATCCCTCGAAGCCAAACGCAATCACACTTAATGTCTGAGAATACACCGGATTGGCACCCCGAGCTCTATCACAATAGCAGCTCGTAGTTTACTCCAAATCCCACTGGTGTTCAGAACAATGCCGATCGTGATTTAGCAACTTCCCAAAATCCACCCATATCCAGGGCAAATCAGCCAACTCCCAACCTTGTTCCCATTCATACCACTTCCGAGGCGTCACAGTGCCATGGCCGTTTTTATTCGCCAATTGTTGCTTCACCCTTCGACGCTCCAGCATCAAAGAAACGCTCCAGCTCACAATTGGATCCCAGTGTCCACCCATTGGTTCACCATCAATGGCACACAATGGAACAACGCCAACTCCGCCCCTGCTGAAAAGGCCCAATTTGTAAATAAAAAGTTTGCAAAGGGCAAACCTAAAAGCTGGACCGCAAGACCACAGCCTAATTAAGCTTTGACATGGTTGCACAAAACGAGATCCAGAAAATTTGGACATCCAAGACCCCAGACCAAACGCCAGCCGCCGAGCCCTACTCAACGGCTTCGAGTCACGTTGTGGTCTGATTCTGGCGTTTTTCTGTGGAGATATTCCATGGCATTGGACAAATGCGTGCATCAATGAAAAGCCATAGATGCTGGCAGCGCCCACGTCGAAGCTGTAGGGTCAATGGGCCCAAGCAAAAAAAATAACGGCCTGATTGTAGCGGCTGTTTTTTCCATGGAACGCTGGCGTATTATTCCAGCGCTCTATCAGCCCACTATCCTTCTTCTCAATACAATACCAAGCACCGTTGTCGACCCCTGCCGGTTGCACTGTTCTTGTGTTTTGCAAAATGACAAAACCGGGCTCGGAGTGGTGTTACCATACTTTCCATCGATCAAAGCGCATGTAGTAAATGCCGTGGAAATGTACCACCACGGTTATCTGGTTCATCATGTTGCCTGGTGCAGCTGGTTTGGAGAAATATCCTGTCATTTTTCCGAAGCCACTCGTAACCGTAAAGCCGTTTTGCGGAGTGTAACGGTGGACAACAATACGCCCATCAGGCCATTCTATGGAAGCTCCACAATTTGAGAGGGCTGTATTTTTACAATTACGCTGCCGGGTGCCGTGACGCATGGCCGTTTATTTGAAGATGGAGCCGACGACATGGGACCCAGCATTGTTGGTTTTTTTGTATCGCTGCTTTTGCAACTTTTTCAAAAGTGTTGGGAGCCCGCTACGGCCGCAAACGGACGCTTCTGCGTCGATTTCTGGGCCCCTCCTCCACAAGAACAATAGAGAAATGGAAGATTGAAGAGAAAAGTGGTGGGAAAGAGCCGTCCATATAAGCTTGTCGGCAAGGTTGGGCGCTTACGCTGGTCGCTTATTCGGATAAAATAGCGACAACCGGTTTAGGAGCTCGTACAAGATGTCACGTTTTGTTTTATTGTGGAATTGACCGTGATAAGCGAACTGATGGTGGAATTTTTGTTCAAGATAGGTGCCAAGTGCCCAGGTGGTGGAACAATAGGTTCGTGAGGCGGTCGTCCAGGCGGGCGAGACATTGCAGAGAGATTGTAAGAAAGTAGTAGTATAAATCAAGGATAGTTTAGAAATGTTCTTATCATGAAGACCACGACATTGGCTGGCTGTTAGGGGCTTTTATAATACTGACGCTGTACTTGCGGTACGACGACATGGCATTGTGGTATAGGGACAAGTCGGTAAGACATTCGGGTCGACATGGGCTCGGTCTTCCGGGGGCAGCCGCACCGGGGGTTGGACGGTGAAATGGGACCCGGTTGGGAGATGAGTGAGTAGTCGAGGGCAGACCGGGGGGGACCGGGGGCGACTTCCGAGGGTATAATTAATCCAGCGTAAATGGTCTCTTGTCGCACGTGCGGCTGGGCACCGGTCGTCACGTGACCCGAGCCACCCTTACCCGCCATGTGACGACATTTTGGCGTCATCAAGCCACTGCTTAATGGCCCATTTTCAACGGCTAAAAAATAGATGGGCTGGGGGTGGGCCCACGCTGTCATCGTGAGCTTCTATTTTCGTAGGCGCCCCGGGTCGACAGCATGTCGTGGCCGGCGGCACGCACACAGCTCAACGTGCCCTCGACATGCCCTCGGTTGCCCTCGGATCTCGTCAGGACCGACCGGAAAGCCCGAGTCACCGGTCCCCTGTCCCCCGGACCACCACAAAGTGAAAAAAATCCACCAATTCTCCCCTATTCCAACCGCCATTTCAAATTTCCATCATCTTCGTCGTCATTGTACCACCCCCGGAAAGCACCAGCCCCCAATGACGAAATCCACCCCCGCCGAGCGCCAGAACCGGTTTGCCTGCTTTAGGAATAACACAAGCCTATTCGCTGAAGGCAGTTTTTTTGCAGCCATTCTTCCACATTACGCGCCGGCCAGACTCGTACAAATTGGGCGATATCCAGAGAATCCATTCCACAAAAGCCCCAAACGTATTTAATTGTGGTCCCTGTCAGCCGAGCACGGTCTTGTTTCGGGCCATTGTGGCAGCGGCGACACACGACGAAAATTTAGGTGGCTCCTGTGAAAAATGTGAAAAATCTGGAAATCCAGGCCTCTGACGAAAAATCTGATATCCAGGTCTTCTACAATCTCTGATCAACTTCTTCAATTGAAATTCTACGTAATTAACCCCCGGAATATCCTGGATCCCGTGTTCCCAGCTTCGCCTGGATCGGTGTGGCTCAGCCTTGTCTTAAGATTCTCGTCAACAGATAAGCCTCTGTATTGCCGTACCAGGCTACATGTAGATGAAAACGGACGTTTGCGTCCTCTTTCGGGCACCTTTTGCAAACGTCTCCAGCGTTGTTTTCTTCTCCTGACCCGGCTCGACATGCTGGCCCTCCACGCTGCTACATTCCTCTGAATCTTTCCTTCTGTCATCTTCCGTTTTAGTCGAGACAACGTCACTGCGTTCACGTCGGGGCTTGAAACGCCAGGCATGTTCAGGTACCCGCTGGTTTCACCGTTTTTGGAGGATCGGATCGTCAGCGGAGTCTAGGCAAGCCGTGCTTGACGGGTTTTTGCCTTGACGGGTTTTGCCTTGACGGTTTTTGCCTTGACGGTTTTTGCCTTGACGGGTTTTGCCTTGACGGGTTTTCACGACTTCTCCAAAAGGTGCAATTCTGCAATTCGCTATATTGGCAAATGGTCTTTATTGGAATTGCCCAGGGAAACGGCGTTTTGGCGCTGGCGCTTTGGCTTTGCATTGGGCTTATTCGTGCAAATGGCGTTACCTCATGAATACTCAGTCTAGCGCTACGAACTCTCTGGCTGCAAAGCCAAACCATCTTTTTATTGGCTACATCCATCAATTCTCCAGCTGACTACCAATCGCTGTCCTCCTCTCCCTCCATTCACCGTATCTCAACGCAATCCGCTGATATCATTCCCACGACATTGCACAATATGTATTCTTTGGTTGCAGCGCTGGGCCCTGCTTCAACGTCAATTCTTACCCCTGAACCCGTAATAAAGCTCATTTCGGGCCCTCGGCGTCACAATCCTCCGGCCTTCATTGTCTGCCTAACCCGCTACTCTTCGGTGCAACACTGCCCATTGTTTCGTGCCACCGCAACCACTTTTTGTCAATTATGGCGGCGGCGTTTGGCCAATCACCAATCACCACAGAGTCTAGTCTTCTGGCAGAGAAGAATCGAAGCAACCCAGCACAAAGAGCGTTTCCCGATACCACGGTGGAATGGGGTCGCCGATGAGTGCCTTTAGCCTTTGAAGAAATAATCAATTGATCACATTCTTCACAAATCGATGTGTAAATTCTATTGGGCCCAACCACACTTTATATTCACGGATTCTAGCCTTCTTGACCTGCCCTCCGCTTCCCATACTATCTTCGCTGTTCCTGTAATTTCTTCTCTAGGGCTCAATGCCCATTGTGCGTGCTCCTCATTGACCCGTTCATCTCCGGTCCATTCATCTCCGGTCCATTCATCTCTGGTTTATTCATCTCCGGTTCATTCATCTCTGGCTCATTCACTCCATTGACCCCCACGAAGAATCTTACAATAAAAGCGCCCAAACAGGCGCCCAAACCGGCATCGGCCTGGAGGTCGAAAAGGGCGTTTTTCCCGTTTCGCCTTATTTTTTATTACCTCCTGGCCGCTACACCATCTTTGTCTTCTCGCTGAGGCTCTCGATGCAGACGATCTACAGCGCCCCCACCGGCTTAACAGTCTTCTGGATTCGGATAGGGGCTTTGAGGCTCGAGGTTCAGGGTTTTCGGCTTTTCGGAGCTTTTGGCGCCGTAGGTGCTGGAGGAGCTTTGGCTGCAACTTTTCCACTTTTTGCGACGAGCCCGAGTGGACAACCACCAGCACCCGGAACAAGCCGAATCAGGGAAACTTGGGATTTTCTCTACAACACGCCCGAGATCGCCGGATTATCATCGACTATTTTTCATAGGCGGCTGGGCTAGCGGCTCGAGTGGGCTTGGACGTCTCCGTCACGTGCACTCGGGCGACACAAGGCTGAGCCGGTGGAGATGAAGGACTGCCTAACGGGCTTCAAGAGAAGATGGGAAGAAGGCTTTTGCTTTAGGAAGGTTTTTCGGCGTTGGTGGTTACGATCACGTGATACCGGGTCACGTGTGGAATGTCGTTCAAGAAAGCCACCTCCCGACCATTCTCGTGGTTTGAAGCCAATGTAGGCTGTGCGTTGGGTTCGTGTTTTAACTTAGATAATCTAGAGCCGGGGCTTAACCGCGATCGGTCGAACGAGTGGAACATACGCTAGATCATCCAAGATCTCTTGTGGTGTTGTATGCAGGATGGTATTGGATGAGAGTCTTCAAGGTTCGGTCAATGAAGCCCGGCGATCTGCCGGCTTCTCTACACATCCCCGATAATCACCACCACCCAAATGTCCAACCAACCAGGGGGACAATCTTGAAGGCACTGAGTGGCTGGAATGGTGGTCTTATATGCAGTATTATTTCTTTTCCGGCCAAACGTGACCTCGGATCACGCGCATATCACGCGCACACCTACACTTCCCGTCACAGCTCATCATTTCACATCAACTACTCAACATGGGTTGGTTTTGGGCTGATACACCATCTCAAACATCTTTGAAACCTGCGGCTTGTCCGGTGAAACACGATGTTTCATCTCCCGCAGCATGCCCCGTCAACTACGGAAAAGGCCCCCTGAGCGATGACGATGAGGTGCTCAATCCCATGAACAACATGCCCATGGCCATTTCCTCCGAAAAAGCCCCCGGCCAGAGAGTCGTGCTTTCCACAGAAAGAACCGTTTCTTCCATTCCCCGGGGAGAGTCGGGAGACCAGGGTTTCTGGGAATATCCGTCTCCTCAGCAGATGCTCAATGCCATGCTCAAGAAAGGAAAAGGTCAGGGAGTTCCGGAAGATGCCGTGGAGCTGATGGTGGAAGTACACAATTTCCTTAACGAAGGAGCCTGGCAGCAGATTCTCGAGTGGGAGTCCAAATATACTGCTCAGCTGAGGATCGAGCCTAGATTGCTCCAGTTCACAGGAAAGCCCCACGATCTCAGTCCCAGGGCCAGAATGTACTTGGCGCTTGGAAAGGTGTTCCCCCTGACTTTCAACACACAGCCTCCTTTCGACAGGCACGACTGGACGGTGCTCCGGGCGGCCGATGAGGGTAAATGGGACCAGGTGCGTTATGTGATAGACTACTACAGTGCTCCGGATGACGAGGAGACGGGCATGCCTGCGTTCATGTTGGACACGAGGCCGGCGTTGGACTCGGTGCAGAACGCCCTGGACCGTTTCACTCACTGGGCCGGGCCTTTGTGGAAGAGAGCCATGGGTGATTTTGACTAGGGTGAGGCCATCACGCCAATGGAGCTGTGAAGAAGGACGCTGTGAGGTATACGAAAGACGGTGTTTCATAAGAAAGACGATGCTTCATGAGAAAGACGACGTCTCATGAGAGAAGGTATTGCCATCCGTACTTGCATGCTGAACGACACCCAGTGAGCTTTGAAATCACTGTACCACTGAAGACGAGTCACGAATACGCCGCCGTAATAATTGCCAGGTGCCGGCGGCCCAGGCGGCAGTACATAGATTGGGTTTGGCCGGCACGAGTTGATATTTATTGGAATTGATGCATATTGTTTGGGCAACTGTAGAACCAATGATCTCTGAATTAAAGCTGAGGCATCTGGCTACCCGCCTCCGTTGTATTTACAGTATTTACAGTCTGAGCTTCGCCACAAGTGCTGGATCCACTCTGAAGTCAGCCTTCAAGGAGTCAACCAAACCAGGCAAGACGTCACCATACGTCTTCAAGTCCGCCTTGGCAAGCTCCTCAAGCGTCCACTTGACCTTCTCAGCGTTATTGGTCTTTCTGAAGTGAGAAAGCAAAAAGTAGAATGTGTAAGCGTTAGGCTGAACACCTGCGGCTTTCTGTGTCTTCATCTTGTTGAAGTAGTCCACCGCAAGGCCAGTGTCCTTGGACAAAAGACCTCTGATCATCATGTTCCACATGCGAGTGGTGTTTTCGATGTTCTTGACGAAAAAATCGAAATAGGCTTCGGCATTGTAAACAGAGCCAAACGACAATTCCGCTCTGATCATCGTAGCAGCCATGGCTGGAGAGTACCTGAATCTAGGGTTTTCACTGGTGAAGTGCTTGTAAACGGCTCTGGCAGCGTTCAAGTTGACTCCAGCTCTGCACAAGGTATCAAGAATGGTGTTGACGGTACCCTGGGTGAACTCGAGGTCGGTTTGTCTCAATTTCTCCAAAACCAGGGCAATATCAGGCACCTGGCCTCTGGAGGTGATGAGCTTGAAGTAGAAGTCGATGGCCGTGGTGACTGTGGCGACGTCTTCGGGGATATTTTTGCGTTTCATGAACTCAAGCAATTTTTCAGCATCGTCGAAACGGCGCTGTTTCGTATAGTGAGCAAACAAGGTGTTCATGGTGTAAGTGTAGGGCGTGAAAGCCGGGTCTTTGGTCAAGAACTCCTTGAGTTTCTGCTCGGCCTCCTCGATCTTATTGTTCAAAGCAAGGCCAATGAGAATGTTGTTTTTCGTGGCGTCGATCGTGGTGAAGTTGGAGTATTTCTTCATCAACTCGTCCACACGTGCAAAATCGTTAGTATTGGCAAAACAGGCCACCACGTACGCCAACGTCTTGGGGGTCATTTTGCGGCCCGACGCTAGCATGGCTTTGTAAGTGGCATCGACGGTTTTGGCCTCGGCAAGACGCTCTTTTTCGTTCATTGGCTTCAAACGCTCAGGATGGCCCATGGCCTTGAAAACAAGGTCAAACGAGTTCTGGTTGGGCTGGGAAATACCACTGGCAAGCATGCTTCTGAAAATATCGAAAACACGGTTGTAGGCGCCGATGTCGATGAACGCAAGCATGAGCTTGTTCAAGGTGTGCTCTGAAACAGGCTGTTTCAGCTTCTCGGAGGCCTCCAAAATCATCGTGTACACCTTTTCGAGTCTGCTGGCCGAACGGCTCTCCACGGCGTTTTTGATGTGTCTGTTCACGTCAGGCCCGTTTGGTTCTCTGACCTGGGCCATCATGGCATTGTGCACTTTCTTGAAAGCAGCCATATCCTCAGAAGCACCAGCTCTACGCAAGGCGGTTTCAACGTGGTGGTAACGAGGAAGATTCGACTCGGCTTTACCGGCAGAAATGACCTTGAGAGCGTCCTCCACGGTCGGCTGGACTCCTTCTGAAACACACTGCATCACAAACGAGTAGTAGGCCAAATCCTTGAAATCAGCCCAAAAAAAACCGTGCTGCTTGTACTCGGCGAGCTCCTTGTTGATGGGCACCTTCTCCGCGTGCATGGTCTTGTCGTAGTCCAAAAACTTGAGCCATAACTGCAACACAGCAGCGTATTTACCCTCACCGGAGCCTTTGATCACCTCTTTGGCCAAATTCGAAAACAACGCTCCGTGGGCAATCCGGTGCTCCACCAACATGTCCAACACGTCCTCCTGGCTGCGTCCGCCCATGTTGGCCCCGGCCATCTTGCCCATCAAAATCGCCAAACTGGGCTGGAAAGCATCGAAGAGCTCTCTTTCCCTGACCCGTTCTGCCACCTGCACCTCCCTAAGATACGACACGCCTTCTTCCAAAATATCAATAGCTTCGGAAAGATCCGTGGGCAGCGCCGCCTCGGCCAGCGCCTGGACCTGCTGTGTGATGTCTCTGACTTTCCTGTTGACCCTGGGTTTGAAGGACTTAGGGCTGTTCTGGTTTTGCTGTTTCGACGGCTGCTGGGTCGGCGTGGCCGTGGCCTGGAACCGGACAAACGGAAGCCGGGCCACCCCGCTGCGCCGGGCCAGATTCAATGCCGCCCGGAAGATCATGGTGATGTAGTAGTTGGATTGGATTGAGTCGCACTGAAAAATTTGCGAATTCCTGGGGTGGTGATACTGGTGATAATGGGAGGAAGCCGGGGTTTTGGAGTTTTTGGTATTATGGATAGGGAAGGGTTGGTTTCTGGTGTGCTTCTGTTGATTTTCTGTTTTGGGCTTTGGGGTGGCTGGTGCAATAGGTGAGGTGGGTGAGATCACAAGCTACTGGCCCTAAAATTTGACTTTCAGAGGGTCATAACGAGATACATTCCTTTCCTTTAGAGAATTGTAGTTCAAGAGCTAGACCTCCTTGCTGTGTGGCTGTCATTGGATTCTAGATCATACCAGTTTGGCTGCGAAATGAGGTAGTGAAGATAGGTAAATGGGCGAGACAACAGGCTCCTGGTCCTGAGTTTGTTTTTTCTAAGGGTCAACACGGTCGCTTTTTGTGAACAACGTGTTGTTTTGAACTTAAACATTCTCAGCGTGTGGCTGATTTGGGATGATAGTATGGCTGCGAAATGAGCTAGTGAAGGAGGGTGAAGGAGGGTGAAGGTAGGTGAAGGTAGAGGCAAGTAGACTAGGCATGGGATGAAGAACTCTTGATACGATTCAGATTCAGGGCACATTTTCATCAGGCCCTGGGTATTTTGAGACAGTATGAGACCGAAGCACGGCACTAGGTGAAGTAGTATACTGATGATTCTGTGACAGAGGAGGTGAAAGTCAAAGAATTTTTGATAATTGGTAAGGGGCATGCTTTCACGTTTGAAGAGTAAAACAGAAGAGCACGGTGGACTTGCCCTGGAGATATCAACACAGTCGATACCAGCAAGAATGTAAGAGATAGATAGAACAAATCTTTCAAACCCAGAGATACAAAGGGTAAGAGACCAAGTTGTTGCGTGGAACACTGCAACATAATACAAGTGGCCAATGCAGCCAATGGGTGTTCTGATTATGAAATCAATGCCAATACCTATTGTTAGTTGTTGATCAAGAATGATGCACTTCAGCTGTCTAAAACTAGTTGGTCTCATTAACAAATAAAATCGAAGAGCTGGGTTTATGCATAGTCCATCTGGACAAGTATAATCAGGAGTGCTAGGTTAAAACATACTTTTAGTGTGTAGTTGGTAGATTGCTCAAGGTGAAAAATTCTTCAAGCAGAGGGTATCGCTGTGGTGCACAGGTGTGGCGTCCAGAGCCGTTAGGGCTGGATCGATAATCTAAACTTTGATGATGGAGAGGCCTTGAAATTTGTAAAAATTTGAATACTTGCTATCGAGATTGCAAAAAAGTTGGACTATTGAAGAAAAAGCGTCTTTCAATTCAAAACCTGTTAATTTGAAGGTTTTGGTAGTGGTTGCGAAAATTGTGGTCTCTGTGAATACAGTCGATACGAGTCAAAACCAGACAAAACCATTCACTGCTAATTACTTTCAAAATGATGAAATTCTCATTTGTGGCTCAGCCTCTCAGGATCTAAAAGCGAAGGATTCTGTTTGTTCTTCGTCGATACTTGTTCGAGATACATGTCTGGTCCACAGTTCATCAGAGCATCCAGCATAGATCCACGAATTCCACAAACATCATGCTACATTCAGAATCGCCTTTTAACAAAAATAGCGATGGTTTTAAAAGGGAAAGTAAGAAAAGAGTAGTCACCATTAGCAGATCCATAGAGTAGAAATAGTGGCAGATCAGCTTCATCGGTTACTCATAAGCAGTGAATCAACCTGGACCGGCAAATCTTTGATCCTTGCCCAACACTACCCACAAACTATCGTTTAAAAAAGTAACCTCCCCAATGCCTACAATAAGTTACCACCAACTCACATCACTTGATGCTGCTTTATGTTAGTAAAGATCTCTCAATGGTGCCTCAGCAAATACTAGTCTTATCACAAACAAAATATCAAATGAGCTGGGTTAATAGCGTGTCCGACTGGACAAGTATCATCAGAGGTGGCACTGCACTGGTACATACACTAAGAAGAAGAAGAAGTTGCAAAGATTCATAGATTTTTTTTTAAGTCGCTCCCATCTCTATATATTCGCGGTGCACGGGTGCGTCACGTCTCTATAAGGGTTACCCCGATTTAAATAAGTTTCCTGCTGGATCTGCCGAAGTAAGATGAAGGGTATATTTTGTTCGGGTGTTTCTTTGAGAATACTTTGAAATGTTGAATAGCCCTTCATCGGCAGGTCCAGCAGGGTTCGTGTTTTTGGCATTGGCTCTTGTGACGGAACCAAGCTAATCTAAAACAATTTGATTGTCACGAACTCGGGCTAGGTGCTTCAGCCAAACCCCCTGAAGCATTGAAGCCTGTCATGACCTCAGCTCATTTTCCCTTGACGAAGCTACTTCTCACTTCTGAGGAATTGGGCTGTTCATGACGAACTTTTTTTTTTTTTTTTATCGATCAGATATTAAGTGGAATCCTCCAGGGAAATCCTGGTCAGATCTCAATGGATTGCAGCACGTTGGGGTCGTCGAGGCCTCGTGATCTTTTCTAGGATCGTGGGGTCATGGCTGCTAAACCAAAGCTACCTCACTGTACTGGTAGCTAAGAGATAGCTTTGGAAAGTCTTCCAGGGGAAGGTGTGACGAGACCCGACCTTGAGGCTTTATGCTACTGCTGAAAACATCGTCATTGGATGTGATTGTTCATCGCCTTATTCGTTGAGTTGATTTACAGTTAAGCACCAGCTACCAAACCCCAGAATCGTGCTTCTTTTGCCAAAAACCGTCCACCTGCTTTTTCTTTTTCTGATTTTGGTTTTCAGCGGAGTGGGATTGTTAAAATGGCAGTTAGAGACGTATTCTCGGGTGCGTTTACTACCCACACTCTCGGTCCAATGCTCCTATGGTCTATTCCGAGTTGACCGGGCAATGGTTGGTGTGGGTGTAACTAAGCAGGCCTTTTCTTTTCTTTTTTTTTTTTCTGGGAAACATTGATTGAAGGTCGCTTCGGGATCGGTGTCTCACTCACCTAGATCTCGTCCTCAGAACCATTAAAGGTCCTGCTATGCTGTGTGCTTTGTTCTTATCATTTGGAATCTAATCTCAACGGACACGGATTTGGGCTTTAGGGAGCCCTGATGGTGATCATGAAATCCTGGCAAACATTGTTTGCAAACTCCTCGCTGAAGTTGTCCGTACGTTTGTCTTAATTGAATAAAATTCGATTTATCGTCCATGTAGCACTAGCCGAGAGTATTTAAAACCGAATTGTCACAGAGGTATCAAATTGGTTGCAGTAATTTCATATATTTGTGCTTTATGGTTGCAAAAATGTCTTGTCCTGCACCTCTTAATAGTGGCTGCGACATTAAGTAAGTCTATGGCAAATCGCGAACTTGAATCTCGAATATCTCCACAACCACTGGACCAAATTGGCTCAAAATTTGTGAACATAATCCTACGTTTAAAAGCTGTTAACTAAAGCTGTCAATAATATCCATATCATTAATCACAAAAAAGACTGCTACATACTAAACCAGCTGCTTCAACAAACCAGAAGCGGTTTCGTGGTCTAGTTGGTTATGGCATCTGCTTAACACGCAGAACGTCCCCAGTTCGATCCTGGGCGAAATCATCTTCTTTTTTGTACTCCACACCACCATCCATCTACGCCTATTCCCACGTTTATGAATGATCCTACTACAAAATATGCCGAGAAACTGAGCACGCTGGCTCCTTTTTTCAACTACCACGAATTCCTAGTTGCTCCCAGCAACCCTGGTTCTACCCTAGTGTCTCAAGTATCAACACAAGAGAAGGACCATGATACACCCAGCCTTGTGGTGAACCATTTTCCAAACATCTATGCTCCACAGGATTCCGAATTATACAAGAACACCAGAATCGTGAGAATTCCTCGAGCTTACGAAGACAAGGACTACTCCTATATGATTCCACAGTTCTCCCTATATACCCCAGGTGAGGAGCCTGCTGCTGTTTACGGAGAACCCACCTTGGGTCTTTACGATGGCAATGTCTTTGGAACAACGTCAAAACCTCCTTTGGTCCCTCTGCTTGTTTCGGCTCTGGAGCTTGAAGATATCGTCAAGGCAGTGAATGCCATTTTGGCGGATGCCTTTTCGTTGCATTCCAAGTGGACGTGGATGGACAATATCGTGGAGTTTTTGACAGGCACGTTGTATTCGAGAATTTGGGGCTGGCTAGCGCTAGAGCCGTATACGAAGCGGGAATTGGGGAAGTTGGACCAGTATGTGGAGGAGGTGAATGGGACGTTTTTGGCGAAACGGCACCCACAGCTACGGTTGATTCTGGTGAGAGAGAGCGGGTTTTTGTCGTTGGATTTCCAGATCCCCAAGCCGTCGGAGTAGGGTGGTGAGAGGGATAGTTGCAAATGGGTTACGGGTAGTCATAAAGGACGAGATGACTTGTTAACCGCGACGGACCCCCATACTTGACGCTTTGAAGAGCTTTTAATGGACATTCACGAAATCAGACGACTAATGAGCCTCCCATTGGAAGGTACCAGTGATTGGGTACTTGGACAATATCTTTGTATGGAAGCACACAACTACAGTTGGATTTATGTCGACTTTAGCATTACAGTGGTGACTACGCTTCTAATCCAGAAAAAACCTCGATATCATATCAGAACTTTTGACAGGTTGTTTCAGCAGCTCGAGATACTGGTGGTAGTGGACCAGTGCAATCAGACTTGGACTCATTCGGACACGAAAAGCATCACAAAACCCGTTCTCCGAGGACACATTTTTATTAATACTCTAATTGCATGATCATGAATTCGTTTCATGAAGCACACCATCCGTAGTAGACCCTCCACATCGCACCTATCTTCAACCAAACATGCCCACATAAGCTAAATGTCTCTTTTACCACGGATATACATATCCTATCTTCTAGCCAATTTCAAGTATAAAAATGTTTTTGCCTTCTTTGCTGCTTATCTTACTCCATCAGTAAAGCTCACCCTGCAAGCGCACCTAGTAATTTGCAGCCACTTCCAACAACCACCACCCAAAACCTAAATCCCCTCATTTCCGTTCGCCTCAATTCCTTCAAAATCGTCAACAAACCAGCGTATCTCCCCAACCTTTTCAACCCCTCACCTTCTTCAAAATCCACCCCACCTCCATCGCAGGGCATCGCGAAAAGCCATGTTCAGATACCTCCCACGAAACATGAATGGAGTATTTGCCGTGGACAAGCCCGCGGGCATGACGCTGTCGGACGTGGTGGCCAAGCTCAGTAAGCTATTTGATAAGCTGGACGTTTTTGCCAACGATCTCGCTGAAGCCAGGAGAATCAAGCATGAACAGCTTACTGCTGGTACCAACTGGAAACCCACCAAAATCAAAAACAGAGTCGACAGACTCGGCATCAAGGTGGGTCACGGCGGCACGCTAGACCCAATGGCGCAGGGCGTGTTGATCATTGGCGTTGGCTCGGGAACAAAGCAGTTGAGCCATTTCCTAGGAAACTGCAAGAAGACCTATGAAGCCAAGGCCATGTTGGGCCAAAGTACCACTACGGGAGACTCCGAGGGCGAAGTTTTGTCCAGGACGGAAACTGAGCACGTTACGGTGGAAAACTTGCAAAATGCCGCCAGAAAGTTCACCGGTAAGGGTAAACAGACTCCTCCGTTGTTTTCAGCATTGAAGGTGGATGGCATGCCTTTGTATGAATACGCCAGGAAAGGGCTTCCGCTTCCTAGAGCCATCAAGGCCAGGGAGGCGTTTATCCACGAATTCGAGGTCCATGGGCCTTTGGCGGTGGATCCCCAGTACAAACCGATGAAGTTGGAGACCGATTCTGACGGTAAAACGCTTGCCAGCATGCTAGCACTGAACCTGACGCTCAACGACTCGGAATTGATCTTTTCGGACGATTTCATGGCGGACGAAAGCGTTCCTGATCTGGAAAAAGTGACCCTCATTCGCCCCAGAATGCTTCCTGAAGATGCCCCTCCACGAGACGAACTTCCAGTAGTTGGCCTCACAACTACAGTCGGACTGGGAACCTATATCAGAAGTTTGATCAGCGACTTGGGCCGTGCCGTGGAGCTGTCGGCGCATATGGTTTATTTGAACCGAACCAAGCAGGCAGAGTACGAGGTGGGCAAGAATACGTTTCAGGTTCTGGACTTTTTGGAGCGTGACGAGAGGCTCTGGGGCCCTGTTTTGAAGCGGGCGCTTGACCAGGGTCTGGACATTGTTGTTGCTGATGAGTTTGTCAAGGTTGAGGAGAAGCTTAGGCCGTTACTTGAGAAGGAAGCTGAGGCCAAGGCCGAGGCCAAAGAAGAGACGATAGAAAATGAAGAGAAGAAAGAGACAGCAGAAAATGGAGACACTGTGTCTACGGAGGACGAGGGCCACGCATCGAAGAAACAAAAAGTTTAAATGTATATAGACTGGATTTGGCCAGACCGAATAAATGGAAACACGGGACTCAGGCTCCGGCAACCTGTAAGCAGCTGTGAAGCTGCAAGGCAATCCTGTCCGATTCCAAAGTGTTGAGTCTCCTGCCTTTCTCGTCCGTCAAGGCTAGATCTTTTTGACTGAAGGAATGTGCAAATTTTGCAATTGGCTGGTTTCCAGCAATGATATTGGCAGGTGCATTCTTCAAATAGAAAACCTTCTCCAAAACGATCCGTTGTCCATTTGCAGCAATGCCACTGAGTTTTCCGTACCCTTCTGAAACTGTCTTATTGCCAAAGAAATCTTTCAAGACCTGGCGGTTCTTCACAAAGTCGTAAAGCAAGTTTCGGTCTTTTACAACATGGCGTGTGCTGCGAGTAGACCAGACAAACGTGATTTTCAGGCGACATTTAGAACCAGCAAGGTCAACATCAAAGGTCTGTTTCTCAGGACTGGAGGTCTTACTCTTTTTCTGTCTCTTTGAGCAATTTCTGCTTTCGTCATTTGCCTTTCGTTTCAGAACCGGCCTAGGCCTAAGGTGTGGATACTTCACCCAACAATCCTCCTCTCCGTGGCTCTTTTTCCAGCAATGGGTGCATCCTTCGTTGTATTTGCATGTAGCAGTCAAAGCATCCGGATACATCTTGTTTGACGCAAACAGTGTGGTGACTCGATCCGCAAGATTGATCTCCTCGACGCCCAAATTCTTGAAATATTCTTTGATTGTCGTTTCTTGAACGTTTTCGTGAGAATTGAAGAACATCATGAAGTAGAGCTCTTCCTTGGTGAAGGAATTTGCATCCAAACAACTCATCGTTTCCCACAGGTTCAGTTTACCTTTCCAAGCATCAATAGCAAGCTTGTCGGCCCACTTACAGATGTACTCAACGAATTGTGAAACACGAAATTTGAAACTCCTTTGGTGCATCTGTCTCCACTTTTCCATATCGGACAGGCAACAAGGTATTATGGAATGGAGTCGCTCGCTGAGCCCAGAAAACAAAAGCTCTCTGGCTACTTGATCACAGTGGTGGATGATCCATGATATTTTTTCTGAATCGTGCTCTTTAGGCAAACTTTCCTTAGCAGCGTCTTCTCCATCAATGAGGTAACGAAGAATGTAATTGAATTCGTCTGGACCGAGAACACGCCTCACCTCCCTCAAGACCCCATGAAGCCAAAGCAAGTAGTCGTATCTGTGTTCGAGCTTGAAAGGAAATGTAAATTTTCGACGGCAACTGATGGTGTTGCCGTCCTTGTAAACATGCTCGGTGAATGGTTTACCGAACGAAGGGAAGTCGGTGTCAGAGAGGTGCATTCTGACCAGGGCTTACTTATAGTTGTTAAATAAACCTTGATTGATGGGAATTGGCCTTTTATATGGTTGGCTACATGGTGTTTCAGAATATGAAACACCAGTGGGGGTGTCTGAAACATCCAGGCTCTGTTTCATACCTGTGTAGTATACCGGTTTTAGGCACTAATTTCATGATTGATGTTTCTCGAACTAACTTTTAAATCGGCTTGTACCGAGATTTCAACCCAATTGACTCTGATAAGTGAAGGTAGCCTGGTTCCATATTCGCATCATACCACAATGGGTGCAACTCCATCCATCAAAAGAGCCCAACTGACACTTTTGACTAAGAAACTTCGAAATATTCGTTTTTTACTTTTTCAATTATTGCATTTCGTCTGTTTTCGCTAAAATTCATCGACTTCTTCTGAATTAGCCACCCCACAAATTCACACCCAATGGCCTACATGCTATTTCGCAGCCAGCTCACTCCACCATCACCATCTTCTTTCATACCACCCATCCAGAAACACCAAAACATCTCGGCAGCCGCTTCCCTCCGAGATTCCACGACTTCATCTTGCATAAAGCGAGGTTTCCACATTTCATAGACTTTTTCGCCCAATCACTCCAGATCTATCAATCTCCATGAATACAACACTCGGAGCTATCCGCCGATTCGGAACATCACACACGAACCAGGCGGCCTTCTTTGCAAGAACACGCATCACTCCGAACCTCAACACCACGCTTTCACCACCCCAGAACCTCAATGCCAAATCTGCCTTGTTCCTTGCCACTCCTTCCAGTTTGCCTATTGCCATCGAAAACGCCATCAGTCTTCACCAAATCGCCAAAATGCAGGTTGTCGTTGCAGGCGTAGACTCTGTGGTGCCAAACGGCGTAAGAAGCGGGCTTTCAGAGCTCTGGTTGGACGATTATATGGACATCTCCGGACTGGTGCATCTCAAAGAGAAGGACCACACACATCCGCCTAGAGAAAGCGACGGCGTCCATGTTGTGAGTGCAAGGGAGAATTGGAAAACCATAGATGCTGTTTTGCGCCTCGGCGTGGGTTCGAACGAAATCGTGGACTTGTCGTTGGCCAATACTGCCTTTTCCACAAATACGCTAGCCACGCTTTTCTACTTCCAGCCAAAGGAGCTACAGGAGAAGACCGGCGAAAAGAATATGGGAGAAACGCTTTGTGAGCTTACAGTGAAGCTTCCTCAGCTTGAGCCTGCGCTTTCTTCACCTCAGTCAATAGACAGATGGACACCCTTGAGCGAAGGTGACAATTTGGAAATCACCCAGTGTACGGGAAATCTAGTGAAGAAGATCAACAACGTTCCAGCGGCAAAATTCCTCGAGAACAACGACGCCTTGATGAGCCTCAAAAGCAAAGACACCAAGGTGTATGTCAAGGTGCACCAGAAAACAGGCGTGAAGAAGTACGAGGTAATTGCTGGAGGCGGTGGCTGGGGAGTCAAGGCCGATCTTTTGGCTTTTTCACCCGAGGCCAAGCTCAAAAAAGGCGACAAGCTCGAGTTTTTCATGGTTACGCCAGAAGACCGTTTCCTGGATTTCAAGACGGCAGTCGTTTCGAACCAGATTCTTTTCGAGTGCACGCCAGAGGAGACGCTGTACGAAGAGGCTCCCAAAGCTGAGCAGCTGGTGGACAATTTGTTTGGCTGTGGCTGTGAACACGGCTTTTTGCATAATGGAGTGAACTGTAAGAGTCCTGGCGAGGCTCTCTCTTTCAAGTTTTGAGGGGTCGAGCTAATTAAGTTGAGCGGCTAAGATGGGTAAATCAATTGGGATTGAAGTTCTGCTGTCAGGCTACATGACAGAATGTGAGGTAGATGCTGTGGGTTCATCAGTCCAAGTTCAAACAAAGCCATGAACAACTACCTTACTACGCCAAAATCCGAAAATCGTCACGATCAAATATTCGAGAAATAGTTATTGAAATTTTCCTCGAACTTTAAATTTATTTCCAGGCCCATCAGCAGATTCACCTCAACACAACCTCCTAATAATTCCGCATTCTAGTCACTCACCAATCCAACCAACACTACATCATACTTGCTATATTTCTTGTATATATTTTTCTGAACCATCATCTTCCAGTATCCAGAGTCCATTATCCATATTCTTTCTATGTAATATCCGATGTAAACCCACACCTCCTAGGACCACCCCTACCTACATAGACCTGTTTGCAGCCAAATCGCACCCAGACATCCTACCACCTACCATGCTTAACTACATCAAAGGAGACCTTTTCAACCACAGTTCCATCAAAAAAGCAATTCTTGCTCATGCTTGTAACCCCCACGGATCGTGGGGTGGTGGAATCGCCGCTCAGTTCCGTAAACGCTACCCTGACGCTTACACCAAGTATGCTGAACATTGTAAGCAAAACGGACCCCTGCTTTTGGGTACAGCGTATGTGATTCCCGTGGAGGACAAGTATGTGGCGTGTTTGTTCACTAGTAACTTTGAGAATAGCGTGGGGGAGATCGTGGGGTACACCAGACAGAGTTTGGGGGATCTTGCTGGAAAATTGGGGAGTTGGGGGATGTGGAGGAAGACAAAACCGGCAGGCCGGTGGTGAACATGCCCAAAATCAACAGCGGTATCTTCAATGTTCCTTGGGAAGAAACTGAAAAGGCATTGCTCGATGCTGACATTCTGGTCAATGTCTATGAGTTCTGATACGGGCGCGGTTTCTAGGTCATCATTAGTTATCTAAATAATTAAACGCTCGACACAATCTCGCTGGCGTTCTTCAACACCTCTACCATCTTCAAGCACTCCTTTCTCTTCTGCACGGTGGCCTCGTTCTCCTTGACCAAGTCGGCCAAGTCTGGCGCACTGTACAACTTCAGCAACAACTCCTTCTGGATCTCATCCTTCGATCTCGTGATCAACTTCAACATAACGGACTTTGGCACAAGGTCTGCAACTGTGCGCTTGACAATGTTGAAGTAGGAAGAGATCAAGAGCTTGATCACCTCGGTCTCCATCAGCTCACGCTCCGTCATCTGACCGGTAGCACGTAACACTGGTGGTGGAGCCTCCATCAGCTGTAATCTCTTCTTGTTCTTGGAGGAGAAGAAACCGCCGAAGAAACCGTTTGACTCGTCCTTGGGCGTTTGCAGAGGCTGTGGCTGCTGGGCAGGAGGCAATGGCTTGCCGGTCTTGGGGTCAACGGCCACCTGAGGCTTGGGGTGGAACTTCTCCTCCACCATAGCCATGGCTTGCGAGCCCTTCAACAAGTCAGGGTGGGCGGTGTTAACGTACGTCTGCTCGGCGCTGATGATGTCGGTGACAAACCTGTTGGTGGGGATCAATTCCTCACGCAAGAACTGAATAAACGACTGTGAAAGACGGTCCTTCAACATTGGGTATCTGGAGTACTGTGGATGGCTGATGATTTGGGTCAAGATACGGGTCAACTCGTCAAAGATCAAGTTAACACAACGCAAGGATGGCTCTTCCAAACGGTGGATCTGCTGCTTGACAAGCACCTCGAAGGCCTGGGTGCCCACAAAGAGGGATGGGGCAGAACCGGAGGTGTTGTGCATGATGGTACGAATGTCGGCGTCCTTGATCTGGTCGAAGGGGTCAATGGAGTTGACACCGTTTTTGTAGATTTCGTGGAAAACGAAGGAGATACGGGCACCACCACTCAATTCCTGGGAGGACAACTCCTTGGCCTCACCGTTCAAGATCTCGTTGTAGTCCTTGGAGAAGTTGGTGATCATGCTCAAGGCAATGGAGGTGGGGCTCTCCTCCATCTCAGGGCCCAAGATGCTCAATTCGTTCTGGTAGCGCTTCAAGGAGTTCTCGATACGCAATTTGATGTCTGGCAAGGTGCTCTTGATGTGGTGCAACAATATACTGTTGAGCTTCTTGGCCAAGAAGGCGGTACCGCAGTACTGGGACTTGGCCTTGTAGGATGGGTGGTTCTCGAAGAAATCGGATTCGTCGTGGAGGGCAGCACGGATGGTCTTCTTCAGCTCGATGTCCCTCTGGCCACGGTTGATCACGGGGATGTAGCCGAACTTCAAGGGAATCACTCTACCAGCGAGAATGTCCACCACGTCGGTACCCTCGTCCATCAAGTCGACCTTGGTCAACACACCGATGGTACGCGATCCCTCCGGGTCGACCTCTCTGGCCAACTTAAGACCGTCCGAGTTGGCCAAATCGGTATTGGCGGCGTTCACAGCCAAGATGATGGCATTGGGCTTCGAGATGTACTTCAACAACATCTCCCTGATCTGCCTCTCGATATCCTTGGGCTGGTCACCCACAGGCACCTTGGTCAAACCGGGCAAGTCCACCAAGGTCAAGGTCAACACATGGGGCGAGTAGATTCTCAAGTTGATGGGCACCGCCAGAATGCCCAAGTTCTTGCCTGTTTTGGCGTCCGTCTCCCTGACAATCTCCGCTCTGATCTCCTCGAAGTTGTAGAACCGCTTGTTGGGCAAGTGCAAGAATTCACCCCACTCCTCCAAGTTGTTCTCCAGCTCCTCGCCCTTGTCGGTCGTTTTGTTGATCTTGTCGGCATCTGCCTTGTTCACGCCGGGTCTGCGGTTGATGAGCTGCAAAACCAACGGCCTTCTAGTCACGATACCGGTTCCTCTGGGTAAAAAATCTCTACCCACAATATTCTCCAATACCGAACTCTTACCACTCGATTGGGAACCAACCACGGTGATTTGGGGCAAATCTACAGGCAGCGACAGACCTCCACCAAGGGGAGCAAGCGCATCCTGAAGCTTGTTGATGGTTGCAATGAGCGATTCGTCCATAATGTGGTTGTACTTGGTTGCCTCCGGAGACTGAGGGTCTGTTGTCAAGATAAAGCGGGTCGTGCGGTGTTCAAACAGGGCGTGATGATGGCGGTGGCAGTGTGGAGGATGTGGGCCTGGAGCTACTGGATGTGTGTTTTTCAGAGGGGATTATAATAACATTGTTTTTGTTGTCTGGGATGGAATTGTGATTTGAAGTGGTGGTTGCGTCAGTGTTCTAATTCATGTTTCGGCTTTTTACTTGATAAATGTACGTTGCATGGTGCTGCTGGATGGAACCTCGCAGCACTGCCAAGATGGCTACCAGACAGGCGGTGTAGTTGACGAGAAGAAGACAGTTGGTTTTTTGCAGTTTCAGCAATTTCTGCTCATTGGTTGATCGCGTCCTGTGGTCGAAACTTCTCGATAATCGATGGCTGCAAATTAGGCATCTGTGTGAGCTAAGTATGCCATTATCATGATAGCTCAATGATTCACCAAACGGTCCACCATCTGAAGGCTCTCCTAGTGAGTGACCTGGGATTCCACCTTGCATAAAACGCCGCCTTTGCATCCTAAACATCAACTCCGATCAGACTTGGTGATCGCCTATTGTCCCTTTCGTCGCATGCCCATCTTCCTCACTCAACTCAGCCAATCACAACCCTATTCATGCCCCTCACAGAGCTTCGACATTGCTTGCAACAGTTTCATAGCTTGGAAGAGCTTCAGGGGCTTTTTCTTCGGCAATCTGAGGTTCCGAGCCTCCATTGTCGTCATCATCGTCTCTTTCTTCACCGCCTCCTCCTCTTACTCTTCTATCTGTGCTTTCTCCTCTGTAGTCGTCGGCTGGTTTCCAGTCTCCTAACGTCTTCTTATGAAGAAAGATCACCGCCACCACCTTCAATTGGGTGATGGTCCCTCTAAATCCTCTTAGAGCAAGGTCTCTTGCACCGTCAAAATCACCTTCGTGTTGATAGACGTGGGCCAAAAGAATAAGCAAAAACCACTTCTGAGTACTTAAAATCCAGCTGGGTGGGTGGTTTCCTTGCACAACTCGATTGTGGCGGGAATATAAGCACCCAAAAGCAGGAAACCCACCCATGAAAAGGAAGCCGGCAACGAGGAGTGGGTCTTTGAAGCAAGCAAGCAAAGGAAAAAAACATTCACAGGGGCCAAGCAGCTCAATGTGAAGAAAAGCGAGAGAAGCACCAGCACGTTGTACTTTCTCGTCCGTTTCCATGAATACCTCACCAAAACATTCGTGACAAGATGAAGCAAGCAGAATGTTGCAACAAAACTTGCGATATAGACAGCGATGACAATACAGAAAAGAACGTCAAATGAAAGGTCCCTTCTACCTCCAAAAATCCTATTGACAATTGCTCAAAGGGCAATAAAGGAGCTGAAGCCCTTAAACCCTTTAAACTGATCGAGGTTTTGAACTATGACGTCCGTGGGGCGTTGCCCCGTAGATATTGAGGATTTGCATATTGATAAAAAATCTAGTGTAGGGTTGAGGACCTCGAGGATATGTTGGATATATATATGTGCATTCTGCACCGAATAGATATGAGCCGCACGCGCCAGCATTCGCTTAATGTAGAAACCGCATACTATGTCAGGAACAGCATTCAAATGACAATTGACAGGTTTTTTCTGTTTTGATACGGTATAAGTAGTTAATCAAGGAATTCAGGTCGTGGCATGGCATCCGATTTTCTGTATTGACGCGATTCGGGACCCCGTCTTATGCGGTGAGGTACACTGTCAGAATCACAGGCTTTTTCAAAACGCTCCGATCTTCGAAGTCGGTTCTAGCCTTTCACGATGGAACTGATCTCGAAGATCGACAGACGAATATAAATGACCGAAGACCCTCTAGTTGAATTCTAAAGGAACTTTTACATCTGTAATATGCTATGCATGCGCATCCTAACAAGGCTACTGACATGATAACAGAAACAAGTGAACCAGTCACTCAATGAAACAGATATAAAAGTATTGTTTGCTCAAATCCAGGGCTCATTATTAAAATATACCTCGTCGATTTCCTTGTTAATCATTGAAGAGTCTGGGTCCGATTCGGCATTTGGAAAAGTAGCCGAGCATGGAAGGTGTCCAAGTGCATATGAACAATCGATCTGCTTGATCACGGTCGATCCCTTCCCTACAAAAGCTAAAAAGTTTTTGTAAATCTCAATGCAAAAGACTTCATTACAAATATAGTTTCATAGTTGAAGGCTAACCAAAGTAACCTGACGAGATTGGAAATCGGGTATAAGTACCTCGATTTGCAGCCTATGACAACGAGATATGACAGTAGATCACTGCATCCATTGAAGCAGTCAAGTATTCACTGAAGATTAATAGATCAATATCAAATTGGTACCTAATTGACTTCAGCCTTACCTCTACACTCTGTCCTTCCCATAAATATATTTAACGGGCCCGTTGGACCAACGTGAATATCAAATTAATCTATCAGAGACACCGGTTCCTGGCGCCTCTGTACCCTCTAAACGCTCACATCGTTGTCGAGCATCCGGAGATGTCCAAACTTGTCTATGTAGCTGCCGCTGGCGGCGTAGCTGAACCCCTGGAAAAGCTCCTGGACGTTTCCAGTGGCCTGGGCAGTGGCCACCTCGTAGTCGCTCACCTTCATCGAGGTGAACTCCTCGGAAAAGTTCTCGGCCATTTCGGGGTCGGAAATGGTCGGAATGATGGGTGGCACCACGGACTCGTCCTGGTCCACGAGCGCCAGCCAGTCGATCTTACGGAAAAACCGGTGCTTCATGAAGTTGTCCCATTTGTCGTCCACCTGAAACCGCTTCTCGGGCTTCTTTTGGAGGAGCTTGTTCAACAAATCCTTCGCATCAAGCGAGAGGTAGAACGGCAAGTTGAGCTTGGCCAGGAGGATCTTCTTGGTAATCACGTCGTGCAGTTTCCCTGTAAATGGCGGTTTGCCCGTCATCATATCGTAGATCACGCATCCGAGCAGCCACCAGTCCACGGCGTAGTCGTAAGCCTCGCCTTTGATTGTTTCTGGAGCCATGTACTCAGGGGTTCCAATAATGGAGCGACAGGCACTGTCGTCGTCTGTAGAAATGGCCTTGGAAAGACCGAAATCTGTGAGTACAAGATGGCCAGCAGCATTGAGTAAACAGTTCTCCGGCTTCAAGTCCCGGTACACTATCCCCAACAGGTGCAAGTGCCGAAGGCCTAGCGCCATCTCGGCAGCATAGAACGCAACGTGATCCTCCTTAAAAACATTGCCCAACGCGTTGCCCAGCGTCAAATGGTAGAACAACTCTCCACCGGGAATGTACTCCAAAAGCAAGTAGAAACGGTCCTGGTCCTGCAACGCGTAGAACAACTTGACTATATTACTGTGATGCGTGACCAGCGTCAAGATCTGCCGTTCTGCTAGGGTTCTCTGGACATGGCTCACGTGGACTCCCTTATCGTTTCCACCCTTATCGTCGTGGAGATCGATCTGGGGCTTTCTAATCTGTTTCTGGGCATAAAGCCGCCCGTTGTGTTTATCCTTGACAAGATGCACCTTTCCGTAGGCGCCCTGGCCCAACACTCTAAGCGGAACAAAGTCACCGAGGCTCTTTTTATGCCCGTTTTCGTCTGTGTAACCTGAAGGAATCGGGATACCAGCGGTGGATCCGGTCAGCCGAACTGAAAGACGGCGGTACACGGACGAACGGCGCCGCGTCCGGGCGGTGTTGCTGTGGAGGTCCTGGAAACTGCCTCCTTTAAACGATCCTGCCTTGAAGGACCCTGTCTTGAAACCATCGTGGGGTCCGGCCGATACCAGAAGCGAGTTGATCAGCAGAGGCTGGAGAAGATTTGCATCCTTTCCCTTTTTGGGAATGGGGATCCCCACGGGGTCGGGAGGTTCTGGATCCTCGTCAAACGAGAAGAGCATGTAGTTGATGTTGATGAAAATACGGCATACACCCGTGTGGCTCCCAGTGTCTCAGAGGCTTGTGTGGGGGCGGTGGGGAAGGAAGTTTTTGTATGGTAATATTTTTGGCTTTTTGAAAACGGCGTTTTTTTGTGCTTTGCTTTGTTTTTGGAACATTTGGGCGGTTTGGCTGATTTAGTGGGAGATGGCTCTAGAAACGTGTGCGGCAATTGGGACCCTGTATAGGTGTAGGTGGGGGTGCATCAACAAACACACACGGCAAATGGGGAATTAGAGGTATGTGGTGGTTTGACAAAAATTGGAGGGATGTTTTTCTGGTGTTTTCAGAAGTTCGTTTATCTTTTGGAAAAATTGGGACAAAGAGTTGAAGGTAATGGCTGCAAACATCTCCGATGAACTAGTGCATATTTGAAGAGGTCATTTTCTTTGATGCTATTAGGGAGGAGGGTTTGGCTTGGTGAGGAAATAATCATGTTTGCTTGTTGGTGTCGACACTGTCAAGTATCTCTTGAAATAAATTTTCAAAGGTTCTTGTAGAACTAGGAAGCATAGTAGGAAGAAGGTGCTGTTTCTCTGAATCGGATCGTGAATCCAAGCCACGTCAGGAGATTTTTGATTGATAGGAAAAAATGAAAAGAATGGCAAAATGAAAAAAATGGCGAAAATTGTGTTGAACAGGCCACCTTCACGAATTGACATTCGGTTCTTTGAGATAATTGGATCATGGTTCCACACTACGTCATATTTCGCAGCCATTTACAAAATCTGGGGATTCGCTCAAATCATCAAAAATGGGGTAATCGGCATGAGGGAAGCGGAAAAGCCTGTTCGATTCACTTATGGGACTTCAATAAGCAAGAAAAATGGTCACCTAAATTCCCATCTCAAGGAGTCAACAGGATTTATATTACAGGCTGACTGCGATGGGGTAGTGAAAAATCTGAGACACGCGGAAACACACGGAATGAAGCCGGGCATTGGAGACGAGTACGATAGAAATTATTACTTATCACTATTATTGGAATTGTCGTACTTCATCTTCTTTAGTTCTTTACAAATTTTTAGCTTTGAAAAAAAAAAAAAAAAAAAAAAAAAAAAAAAAGGAACCAAACGTGGAGGCACTGCTGGGATGACCGAGTCCTGAGGCATTTACAGAAGTTGCACAAACCCGGGTGCACCTCTATCAACCCGATAACAGAAAACCTAGAGCTGATTTGATGGGCAAGCAAATAAACAGAACATCAAAAGAAACTGGACCCCACAAAAAGAAATAGGTGTCAAAAAGCTTAATGTGCCTGCGATATGGCTGTGCTGCATTGGCGCATTTGCACCCAAAGCGGAAGCACCACAGAACCTTGCCCAGGGTATCAATGTTCATTTTAATAGACATTGATTTTCGTTGAAAATGTTCGAACTCTCTCCAATATTGCCAATTTCTCCCCCACTGCTTCCTGCTCGACCTCTTTCTTTTTCCATTGTGCTCTTTTGTTCGTGACTTCTCGAACGGCTGTGCAGCCAAGAAAGCCGGAGGCAGCCTTCTCTGATAAACAAACATCAGTCGGCGAATACACTACGAGGATGTTTTCAGAGACAGGCTGAACAAATCACAAATCTTGAAATTCTGATCATAGCAGTTTTCAAATGCTCCCCATCTACTGCCTTTCTTATACCCTACCTGCAATGGGTCATGCTTCCAGCTTCCACAGCCCATTTTTTCGAAAACCACCGAAACGCCATCCTCTCTCACTCAATCCATCCTTCTCCAGAAACCCTTACCTTTTTAGCTTTCTGTGCACCGGACTTGCCCTAACCCTAGAGGTCCCCTATCTTCCCCAGGTTTCCGCAGTGACGTAGTCTGAGTCACCACCGCCAAAACGACCACCTCGAGAATCCAGAAAAAAACCGAAACCACCAAATCATCCAGATTCGCTGAATTTATATATTCCCCGATTTTCAAAAACGCCACCCCCACCCCCACCTCCTTCGATCCACTTCTTCCAAAACTTGCTTGGCTGGCACACTGCAGGAGTGAAAATTTGCTCCAGAGCAACCATCACCACCGTCTTCTTCTGAAGAAACACCACCGTTTTTTTGAGAATTCCGCTGTCTCTGCAAGTCGACAGCGTCTTTTGATCCCCCACTTCGCCCCCGCCGGTTTATGCCCAAGAAACCCTCACGATCGAGCCTAACTTACTTGTATAACCAGACCGTCGAGCCCGGATAACACCCCGAGTTCCATTCCCAAGCAAACAACGCCAACTCTCTTCACTATCGGTTGTCGACCCTCCCCCTTCCGCCGCTAGTGAAAGACCCCATCAAAATCCGTCTTTGCAATCCGCTTTTTTATACGTTTGTTCCGTTTCTTCTAGTGATCGCCGTCACTAGCCCATTCTAGACATCCAACCACCGTCTAGTGCCCCAGTCTAGTTCCACACTAGCAAGCTTAGTTGTCCTTTCTGCCTCGCTAAGCTTTTTGCATCCACCCGGCCTTTGTTATGGTCGCCTCCGAGGACTACGTTGACCATGTACTTTCTGCGAACTTAGATTCAACCTTTGCCTTTGAAGGCCCCGAAAAGCTTCTTGAGGTGTGGTTCTGGCCGCTGCCCAAAGACGCTCCTGGCGAAAACGGCCTCCGCAAGGTGCCTTTGGCCAAATGGGTCAGCGTTTTGGACTTGGTCAGTTGCAAAGTGCTTTCTGTCAAACTGTCTCGAGACGTCGACGCCTACCTTTTGCTGGAGCTGTCGCTTTTCGTGTTTCCACATAAACTCGTGCTCAAGACGTGCGGAACCACCACCACGTTGGCCTGCCTTGATCTTTTGTTTAAGGTTGCTCAAGCCGAGTTGTTGTGTGAGATCAACTCCAAAGACGTCCACCAGGTCTTCTACTCCCGCCGCCTGTTTATGTTTCCTGAAAAACAAAAACACGTCCACACCGACTGGAAAAAGGAGGTGCAATTGCTCAACGGCTACTTTGTCCAGGGCAAGTCCTATGTAGTGGGAGACTTCACCTCCGACGACCACTGGTACTTGTACATGGGCGGACGCCAGGAAGGCCTGCCTGTGGGTGGCCAGGATCAAACATTTGAGATTTTGATGACCCAGTTGGATCCACAAAGAGCCCGTGCTTTCGTCACTTCCAGAGAACCCGGTCCCGATTCCGTGGTGACCCATTCCAGCGACGAAGAAGAACACGATTTGGGCCACGACCAGGGCTTGGAAACCATGAGAGACACGGGGCTTGAAAATGTGTTTTTGCCTGCTAGCACTGCCTATGCTCAGGGCAACTTTGCTCCTTCAACCACCTCGCCCTTTCATATACCGCTGCCTCAGATGAGTGAAAATATGGAGCTTTCCGACGAGGAGGACGACAAGTGGGAATTTGCCCATGACGCTTTTGCGTTTCTGCCCTGTGGTTATTCGTCCAACTCGGTGTGCTCGAAAAACGGCCATGGCTACTATTACACCTTGCACATCACTCCTGAGCTGGGATGGTCTTACGCCTCGTTTGAAACAAACTATCCCTTTCTGGCCACCTCGCCCGTGGGCATTGTGGATGTGTTGATCCGGGTGTTGCGTATTTTCCATCCTGGCAAGTTTTCCATGACCTTGGTGAACGAAAAAGCTCCCGAGGAAGCTGCTTGTTTCACTCAATTGGCTTCGTGTGCCGATGCTGTGGCCAAACTAGGCTACGCCAAACAGGAAAAGGTGACCTACGACTTGAAAGGCGCCTACGATTTGTTGTACTTGAACTTCGAGAAGTCCATTTCTTGATCCACAGAAAAGTTTATATGTGCCCTGCCGGTGAATCTTGGGGGATATCGGTGTGAAACACATGAGAAGGGGGGCTACGCTGGCGCTTTGGTGGTTTCTAGCGTCTTCTGCCCATGTCCTTGTGTGTAGCTGCCGGTACATTATTCGCCTGGCTGACACTTAGTATATGATTTTGGAGACACCGTTTGTAGGCGTGTTGGAATTGTAGTTACACTATGAAAAAAATTCATCTTTCTATAATCTGCCCCTCTGTTCTCAGTTTGCTCAAGATCTCATTTGGTGGTCTATTTTGACTTTCCAGAACATTGCAAATGATTTAGGTAATGAGTGCTGCGACTACATCAGCAAATACGTATGAGAACGAAGGTCAAGCTTACTTTGAAACATTGACGAGGTGATTAAGGATTCCTCGACAAATAAGGTTTGTGCTGTTCTATTGAATATGGAGTAGATCAAATCTTCTTACCTGAGGGCCTGGATGGGTCGTTGTCGTCCTTTAAGAGAATGCATGACAAGGCAGACCTCATGGAGTACACTTAATGCTTCACTGGGAAGAACAAGGCAACCCAGTGACCCTCTTAACCCAAAACGGGTGCTGGAATCTGTCATACCCATATTATTGATCCAAGTTCTTTTAAAGATGAGACCCTACTTGACGGGTGACTTTGAGAAGTGCGTTGCTTCTGAGTTCCAAAGAGGCATTGAACATATGAATCTCTCTACTTTGACAACTCTTCAGCGATAGTAATTTATCCAAAGAACTTACCATCAACCAGGGTTAGTCCTGTACAGACAGCACCATCAACTGCAAGCACAGCACCAACCCTAGTGATTGGTAAAGCCTTCAAGAAATGCTCTAAATGCCATAAGAAGAGACATCTTGCAAGGACCGTAGGTTAAAACGTAATGAACCTCATACAAATCGAATAACCAATGAACTATTTTACCTATGATCCTGCATCTGCCTCGTTCGTCAAACATTTTTAGTATGGTGGAAACCACCGCCTTATATATTGCAGATGGGAGCAATGATCTGCAACAAGAACAGGAGACATCGGATAAAGGTTACATGTAGGTCATACATCTTTCGTTAGCTAACTTTCTTGACCCACACGGACATATCATGGCACAACGTCGTACATATACGTTCAACACCTCTTGGTCGTTGGAGCTTGTAGCTTCTTAACTAAGTGGACATTTGTGCACTGCTTTTCGTAAAGATGTATGCAAACATTTTCTTCAGACTTTGTATACCGCACAACAAAATCATGTTGATCCACTCCCTCACGAGCATATGCCATACGAATTCTGATATGTTTGCAATCTCCAGTAATCATCTCTCTGTATAATCTATGAATTTGTCCGTATATTGGTGGCTGACGCTGCACGTGATTATGATCACGTGACTAGCCAACTTTGCACCACGTAGGACATCCCCAGACGACCCCGATAAGAAGTGCAGAAGCTCCAGATCGGCTGCAAAAATCCGGGGATTAACTTTGACGATCAGGGGTCGCGAAGTTGTGGGTTTGTGGAAAGTGAAAAAATCACGTGCCCAGAATGTCGCCGGCCAATCAGAGCGTGTCAGATAACCTCTACGCGGTGGAAAATTTGGTACAACACATCACATTAAACTAAAATTTATATACATAAGAGTCAAATGTAATGTTCTCAATAAGTTATTCTAAATACACCTTCTAGTGGGCTTAGAACTTCTTACCGAACAAGATAACCTGCAACTGGTCGTACAAGGAGATAACACCAGCACCGGCAACACCTCTCAAGATGTTGGCACCGCAACCCTTGAACAAGGAGTAGACACCCTCCTGGGCAATAACCTTCTTCAAACAGTCGAAAGCACCGTTGTACTTAACGGCAGCACCAGAGGTCATCATCATTCTTCTTCTGATGGTGTCCAATGGGTAAGAAGCAGCACCGGCACCGGTGGTAACACCCCAACCCAACAAGAAAGAAGCAAGGAAAGAACCCTCCAATGGACCAACAAGGACAACTGGCTTCAAGGAGTCGTACATACCGAAGTAAAGACCTCTGTAGACAATGATACCAACAACGGATGGACCGAAACCTCTGTACAAACCGGCAATACCGTCACTGGCCAAGGTCTTCTTGTAAACGTCCAACAAACCGTTGAACTGTCTCTCTCCACCACCCTTGGTGGACTTGGCGTCGTTAGCCAATCTGGTTCTGGCGTAGTCCAAAGAGTAGACGAAAGCCAAAGAGGTAGCACCAGCAAGACCACCGGAAGCCAAGTTACCGGCCATCCACTTAGCGTAGCCCTCCTCCTTCTTGTAACCGAACATCTTCTTGAACTTGTCCTTGAAAGCAAAGTTCAAGGCCTGAGTTGGGAAGTATCTGATAACGTTAGCAGTGTTACCTCTCCACAAGGAAATGATACCCTCATCAGCGGCGGTTCTTCTGAAACAGTCGATGATACCGGTGTACTTGTGGGACAAACGGCCCTGCTTAAGCATCTCCTCCTGGTTCTGAATCAACAACTTGACTCTCTCGATTGGAGCAGCAGCGGTCTTAGAGATGGCGGCGGAAACACCACCCATCAAAAAGTCGACTAAAAATGCGTTGTCTTGAATGGCCATTTTGAACTAATGAATAGATTATTGCCGAGAAACAAATCTAGAGAAAAGAGAAAAAAAAGGGAAAATTTTCAAGGGGGGTGGACGTCGTTTATATAACAATTCGCGACCACCGCCAAAATTTTTTTTTTTTTGCAACGTTGATAGTAGAAATAGCATAATGTCGCACCTGTGCACGTGATAGAACCGGCTGTTTTCGGGCTCCTCCAGCGTGAACGCGCGCACCTCATTGGTTGGGAAAAACACCTAGCATACTGTATGCAGGTGGTTGGAGACTAATTCCGAGCACCACGGCTCCCAAACACGCTAAATTCGACTAACCAAGACTGTTTTCAGCCTTGGATCAAAGTGTTCTACGGACCAAGACAAACAGTTTTGTGCTACCAGAGTCAGAAACCAAAACACCCGTGCACCAAGTACAAAGGCCCGCCCGGGATCGCCAAAAGAAACGCCAGGAAAGAAAACCAGCGCGACATTTCTTGATCCAAGGAAAGCCCCGATGCCATTGCAGGACCAGTTTAGGCGATGAGGTGGTGAAATTTTTGAAAAATGACATTTTGAACCAGTACAATATAGGCACTCTTTTGAGGGGAGTTCTGTTTTTGGCCTTTTCGTCGATCCGGGACGTCTCGGCTTAAGCATGCTAAAACTGGGTGCAAACGCACCTGCAACCGCGTTCGAAGCCACAGAGACCAGGCGTTTTTTGGCGATAGAAGTAGATTTTCTTCTTCTTTTCGAAGCATAAAGGAGGAAAATTTCAAAATTCTCCAAAAACTTCAAAAATCCTCCTCGTCTTTCTCCCTCGGTTCCGAGGGTTGCTGTATTTCTTAGTAAATGTCGCTCGGCGCCGGCCTTTCGCGAATGGCTGATATGTGGCTCCTTTATTGGCGTTTTTGCACCCAACCTTGGAAGTCCACTGAACGTCAAAGCGGCATTTTCGTGGGCATTCTGGGGCATTTGAATTTTTGAAAAACGATATTTGAAAATCTCTTACTTTAAAATGACTTTTGAAATTCATCTTTTACTTTGTTCCTCGTCTGATTGACCTCCAATGTTACCACTGACTCTGTTGACTGGTTGCTCCATTAGTCAATATCCAATTGACCTTAGAAACTACCCAAATGTAACTGTAGACTGATCCTCTGCACCTTCTCGGATCATTTCCTGATTGGCCGAGCCTCGATGCATACTACACGGAGATGGCATAGAAAGCCGTTACTACTCAAAGCGAGATCGGTAGATCCACCTTGGGAGGATGTGCCCCTATTTCTACTGACCCAATTCTTGCCTACATCACCCCATATCGTAATGGCGAGGCCTTGCCTCATGTCGTAATTCATTATCTAGTTCCATTGTCCGGATTTTCTGGATGCAACATCTCTAAGCGACGCCATGGTCGTGAGTTCAGGTAATTCAAGCGACGCCCTCACGTTCGTGGGCTGACGCAGTATCGTGTGGGAGGCCACCTCTTCGATGTTGTTAAGTGCTGCGGTGCTGACGTTCTCAAGCTTGTAGGTCTCGATAATGTCCGTGCTGTCTTTGTAGAAAGACGACTTTCCGACCATCAGTCTTCTCACCAAGTCCACCACCAGCGGTCTCTTCTGTGGTTCAAAGTCTAATTTCTCCTCCACGAAGGTCGAGTCCAGCTCTATCTTTGGTGAGTCCACTTGAACACGGTTGGGGTCGGTGGGATCATAGTCTCTTGGATACTTCAGGTAATCGCCCCGTTTCACACATTCTCTGACGATATCTGCATCCCGTGGGTAGTACAATCTTCGTATAGAATCGTAGCAGAAACGAGGAAGAAGACTGAGTACAAGCCCAATAAAGAGACATGCCCAAAATGCCCCGGTGCCGAAGACAACTGCTCCAGCTTTATAAAATTCTTGTGAGAAAGGAATCGATGTGTAAATGCCTGTCAAGGCGAAGATAATAAGTCCACCAAAGATGTTGCAAAGGAAAGACACCCAGTCCCACCTGTATTGTTGCAACCACACATACGTATTGGCAGCGATACATGAGATACATGTCACATAGACACCAACGTAAAATCTGTGGTCAGAGGGCAAACCATTCATGGTTGGGAAGTTGTTGAAAAAGATGAGCCATGAAAAGAAGAAGGCAATGACAGATTGATACAATCCATCGATCATGTATGCCCACACCTTCCACTGACTGAATTCTGACTGAACAACACCAACCCTGTATAATTGAGGAACAAGCATGGACACAGTTGGACTGACGTCCTGGTCAAAAACAGCCAACACAATGACTGGCAACGACGTGAATGCCAAGTTGCAGAACACCAAGAATGTAAAGTCAAACAAGTACGAACCGTCGAAGTCATTGAAAAGACTGTACCAGAACAAGGCAAAGGTATAGTTGATGTTCTTGTAGAAGAAACATGGGATCATTTCACCCATTCTTCTATAAGCCCATCTTCCGTGAGTAAGAAGAAGACGAGTCAAAAATCTGAATTGACCAAGTGCATAGTCAGAACACATGGCAGCTTGACGTCCTTCCTCACCGGCGATACCAATACCAACGTCAGCAGCTTGAATCATCGAAACATCGTTGGAACCATCTCCAATGGCCAAAGTCATAACCTCAAGAGTGCCCTTGACCATGAGCACCACAGCAGCCTTCTGAGCAGGCGAGACTCTGCAACAAAGAACAGCCTTGCACTGCTTACATAAGAGAAGAAACTTCCTCTTGATGTCTTCATCTGCGAGTGCAATCTTGAGAGCGTCACCGTCAATGACAACACCATATCTTCCATCAGGCGTAGAATGGTCTTTCTTCGCCTCTTCAAGTTCGTCAATTGAGCCTGCCATGTCAAACTTTCCAAGGTAATTTGTGACCAAACGATTCATGATATTATCGTTGTCATCACCAGGAATAACGCCATGTTCCTTCTTTTCTGCGTCAGACAAATCGGTCTTCAACACAAGCAACTCCATATCGTTTCCAAGCAAGTTACACGAAAATCCAATGTTGATCGCGGTCTCAACTTTGTCACCAGTCAAAACCCACAACTTGATACCAGCCTCCGATAACATAGAGATGGAGTCTGGTACACCGTCCTGGAGTCTGTCCTCGATAGCAGTGCCACCAAGAAGTACTAACTCACGCTCAATGGAGTCAGCAACAGCCTCCATCTTTTCTTCTCTTCCTTCCAAAGAAGCAGAGGCTTCCAAGTGTCTCTTGTTCCATTCCTTGTACTGCTCAAGAGTCAACTCTCTCTTTGCGATACACAATGTTCTCAAACCCTCAGTTGCATAGTCTTGCAAGTGTGCAGAAGTCTTGTCGAGCATTTCTTGTGGGTTCTTGGTGTCTGATAAACGGGAATAAATGATGGAGTCGGCACCTTTACAGAGAAGAACAATCTTCGATTCCTTCTCACCATCTTCAGGAGGCATTTTGATGATGGCACTCATTCTCTTTCTGGTCGAATTGAACTCAAGTGTGTTCAAAACTTGATACTCCTTCTCCTTACCCTGGATCAGCAAGGTGTATCCATTCTTGTTCTTATTTTGGAAACAGAACCCGAGTGCACGAGCTGTGCCCACCAAAGCAGCCTCGTCAGGAGACTGGGCTTTGAGCAACTTCTTGAGTGGGTTCTTGGGGTCTTCCTCAACGACAACAGAGTGGCACAAACCTAGGGTGAGCATAAATTCGGCGTTGGCTTTTTGCTGTTCGACGCCAGAAAGGCCCTTGAGATCAGACACAAATTGCTTGGAAACTAAGCTGAGCTCATCGTCGTAGATGTTGCCACTGATTCCACGAAGATCAGCAAGCATCTCTTCCTTCTCTTGAGCGATAAGCTCTCTCTGGGCTCGACCCTCCTTTTCAACATCAATACCTTGGCGCTTCCTCAAGCCAGCCAATGCTTCGGTGTATGCATTGCCGTATGAGACACCTCGGATCGTACACTTTCTGAACTCCATCAAGTTCTGTGTAAGTGTACCTGTCTTGTCACTAAAGACGTACTCGATTTGCCCAAGATCGTCAGAAATACTCCACGACTTAGGATTGCACGGGAAATCAAGCTTAGGGTAGTACAAACCGATGTCACAGTAGATGAAGAAGGCCTGCAAAGACTTGATAATCTCGATCGTGATGTACAATGAAATTGGCACCAAAGCTTGGTACAAAATGACAGCAACAAAGAAGCTCACCGCACCATTGGCAGCAGGGGTGGGAACAATAGTGCCGTATTCAAAGAAGTCTCTAGAAGTTCCATCTCGCCGATAATATAGACCGTTGAAAAGACCGGTGATGAAACAAATGCCGAAAAGAACTGCAAAGTTGACTAAAACGTAGTAATTGAGCTCACGAGATAACTTGGATTTTTTGTATGGAGTCACGCCGGTGTTGAGAATAATTTTAGTGTCGGGACCAGTGAAAAGAACGATACCAACAGCCCACTTCGTATTTCTTAATGTGCATCCACGGAGCATCAAGTTGTTGACAGTTGCGGGTTCTTTCAGAGGCTCTCCTTGCATGCTGTGTAGAACGTAACCCTGATATGAGTAAAGGTTTGGGTGAGGCCCTTCGCTCTCAACTTCAAAATCAATACCCATGAAGTCATTAGCACGTTTGAGTTCGGAGTTCTGAGAGGAGAACTTCATCGCCTGCTTTACTTTGAGATTTGTTTCACCATCAAGGTTCTTGGTTTCCACGTAACAACAGTTGTCGGTGTCACTGGAGGACAAGATGAGCACGTCGGCTGGAACTTCTTCGTTGTTCTGAACACGAATGACATCGCCCACCTTGACCTCCTTCCATGCTCTTCTTGCAAATGCGAGTGTTTTGTCCTTTCCGTAGTAGGATTTGCGAGAGGCCATAGACCTTAAATTGTTCGAATTGCCGACCATCGACGAACGCGTCATGGCAGGCTCAAGATCGACCATACTATCGAAACTCTTTCTGTTGTTTTCTGGGGAGGGTTGCACCTCCTCACGTTTCTTCTGGGCTCTGCCCTTTTTCGTACAGTTTCGGAGGATCAGCTTGATAAATTTGAAAAGCATGCGGGAGTTGAGTTTCTTAAAACGGCGCCAGAGCGAGACGGTCTCATCGTTCACGTTGGGATTCTCGTAAGTGTACTCTGAGTGTTCCTTGACCTGGGTCAAAATATGCGTAATTTGGTTGTTTACCTCGATGTCCTGGGCAGTTCTCCGAGAGTCCTCAATCATTTCTTTAAGGGCGGTGATGATGAGAATGACAATCAAGGGCACGGCGGCCAAAACGGGACTGGGAACACCGAAAATGGGGAATGCACCTAAAATGATAATAAACAAGAAATACGAGTTGGCATAGTCTGTGGTGAAACTCTTTGTGAGCATCTTGGGAGCAAACGATAGTGGGGTGTATTTTGCCGAACGGGTCTTGTTTCTGGGGTAAGAAGTAGCCGCCTTTCCTGTTTTCGTATCTATCATCAGCAGCGGTAGCGAGCGGTTGAAGAACACAGTTCTTGTTTCATGCTTTTTGTCTTTGGAGTCGGGCGACGCCTCGGGGGCGGCTTGTCGTCCTGGTAGTCGTCAATAATGTCTAGGTCGCAGTCAGCAGACTGGCTTTCTTCTGTGGCTTTCAGCGGCAGTCTTTTTGATTTCGAACGGAGCACCTGCTTGAGTGTTTTCGCTCTCCCTAGCGACTCCTTTTTGGGCCGCCCCGTGGCGTGCCTGGTGGTACCCCATCGGAGGCGTTTCATAGGAGCTTGTGGATCAAATGATGCCAGCATAGGCAGGGAGGGCTCTTGAAAGGATTCCTGGTTTGAGTCGGCAAAAGGGGACCTTAGGGATCCGTTTCTGGGCAAGGCGAACCGTAAAGACGGTTTCTTCTTGACGTTGAGCTGTGGCAGCTGGACCGTCAGCTCGACCGTTTCTGAATCAGAAAAAGTGTATGAGACCTCTGAGTCTGGGTCCTGGAACGGCGATTTCAGAAATGACATATACGGGCGCAAGGAGCTTGAGGCCGGGGGAAGTAATCAACTGGAAAAGGGCGAAAAAAGGCAAAAAAAACCAACAACAGATCAAAACCACAGTAGTAACGGCGATGACCTATTTTCGGATCCGAGTGAGTTGGACCGCGTTTTTTTGCGCCCTTACGCCTGCAGAGGATTACGAGATCTCGCGTCAAGGCACTGGCACCACTGGGGTATGGGAGGAAGAGGATGGTTGGGGGAAGCCGTTGATAATTGATTAATCAAAAAGAGAAAAAAAAAAAAGTGGGAATCACGTCCTTTTTATATACCTCGGTGGGGCACTGCGGGGCTGGTGCAAAATGGACCCTCACTGCGTCTTGCAGCCAGAACCACTAAGGGCCTGTCTAGAAACCCCCAGCCTTCATAATCCTTGAGTATTTTCCATTTTTGTGGTACTGGCAAAAACGCAAAAGCCCTCTTTTTAACAAGAATCTCCATTATCTCGGGATTTGCCCCGCTGTAGTTCACCCTCTAGAGCTCGATAGCTGCAGGGACAGACATTGTCTGGTACTTGTCAAGTCCAAAGCCTTGCTGGATTCTACAAAATGTATTGGGTGGATCAGGATACAGGGCTTTATGGCCCCGTTTTCTATTGGTCTGTTTTGCAGCCGTCCTTCATTTCTGCAATTGAACAAAACTGACCTCCATTGTTTCCGGACTAGCCCGTCCAAACCCGACATTGTTCAAGTATTATGCTTTTTTCCCCGAAACCTTGTTTTTTTTTCCACCTCCTCTATTTGTAATCGGCTCGGAAAATAGGCTCCTCGCTTATTCCCGATTAACCGCCATGCGCTGAGACATGGCAAAGGGATTTTTTGCATTATGGGTTTTTTATGGCTGGTAGCTTGGCAAGGTCGGAGACGGTTGGCGTTATTGAAGGGGCTGTGCTAATCCGAGGGAATTTTCCCATGGGGTTCAATAGAATCCAGTTTTGGGTATACGGTGGGATGCCAGTTCAGCCTTGCGGATAAGCAAATAAGTTTGTTTTATTGTTAAAATTTACTTGTTGTGTTTAATCTGGACATGTAATGTGTCATAGTTTAAGACATTTAGATGCAATGGTGGAAGCATGCTCCCATGCCTATATGGCATTTGGGGCGTTTGGTCACAGTGTGGGGTGCAGCTGGTGATATCATCGGATATAGGCTGATAAAGTATTCTTCTGGTTTGAAGCCTATTTGGTGCTATTTGGTGAGGTTTGGGGTTGTAGAATGCCCAGGCGCTAGTGGCAGTCTCAGCACTCTGAGAAGGCAGCCTAAAGGAAACGAATCTGAAACATAGCTTTGAAACATAAAAAATCCAGAGCAGCGTTTCATGTTGAAACAACATAAAGCCCATAGCCTCGTCAATCTCTCTTTTCTGATCATATGAAGCCCAGCCTCGGTAGCCAGGGTCCAAGTGGCAATTTGCTTCCGCTGGTTAGCAGATCACCAGGAGATAAGCTCGGAGATTGGCCAGTTGGCACACAATAAACCTAACTTCTTGGTGAGAGGGTTCTTGACATTTTGGGGCAGATCTGGGATTTGACAGCGACAGCATAGTTAGACAAATCGATTTGAATGCTCAAAGGCCACAGATAAAAAGCCCAAAGATTTTTCAATTAAGCCAGTGAATCTGTCATCATTTGATTGTGATAATTTCGGCTCCGCTGTCTTATCTTTTCATCCCCATTTAGTGCCACAAGCGACCCACCCAAGCTCATAATCACACTAACTCCACACATCGAAAACCAACCTTCCTTCGCCTTCTCCACTAAAACAACAACTTCAAAAAAAATTTCAAAAAGAAAACCTTCAAATTCCTTCAAAGCCTGGCTCCCTGAGTGCCGATGCTTTAAGGTGCACCTGCACATGCGCACGTCAAAAGTAACACTACATGCCTGAGTATCAACACTTATCTACTATCTACCTCATCTTCCATGAAACATGCCCGGGTCTGCCGAGATCCGACGGACCGAAACCAGGCTCCGTGAGCTTGAAGCTGAATCCCTTCACGAAGCCCTACCCGAGGGTTTCAACGCCTCCCAGGAAACCATCAAAACAATTCTAAAACACATCCTGCCTCCGCCTGCGGTATCTACGCTTTTGAACATCGTCAACGGCGCTGTTTGGGGTGTCCTTGCACGCAAAGGACTCATGGTGCTTACGACATACGACGGGATGTTTTTGGGCGGCGTCATTTGGGCCAATTTTGCTGCTTGTGTTGTTATGGGTATGTTTGTCGCTCTGGACCGAGTCTGGAGCAGATTGACAGAGCAAGCTTTTGCTAATAAGGGTGTCATTCCCATCTACGTGGGCGTTACTACCGGATTCTGCGGTACCTGTTCCTCCTTTTCCACGTTTATCCTCGAATGCTTCAACAAAGCTGCTAATACGCTTCCTAAACAGTATGATTATCCGACAGCCGGCTACGGCGTCATGGAAGCATTGGCCGTCGCAATAGCGCATGTTAGTGTGTCTGCATCTGGCTTCCACTTGGGAAGGCACCTCATGGAGTACATTGATGCTAGCGTTCCTGTTCTTTCACTTAAAGCATTCAACACACTCAATTTGCTGAGTTGTGTCATTGGCATTGCTGCCTACATCGTCATCATCGTGCTTATTTGCACGCAAAACTACGGGTCCTGGCGCCTGTGGCTTTTCCTGGTGCTTTTTGCTCCTTGGGGTGCTATCCTACGGTACTACCTTCTGAAGTTCCTCAACAGCAAAGTCCCCAATTTTCCTATGGGTACGTTTGCCGCTAATACACTTGGCTGTCTCCTTCTCGCTGTGTTTACTTTAATAGCTCGTGGACGCAGCCTTGGTGATCGGAGTGTTCAAATCGTCACCAACGTCGTTGGGTGCCACGTGCTCATGGGTCTTGATGACGGTTTCTGTGGAGCACTTACTACGGTTTCGACATTTGTTGTGGAGCTTTTCGGTCTTTCGACGTTGTACAGTTATGTCTATGGTACAGTTTCTGTTGCCGTTGGCTTTTGCATAATGGTCTTGTTGCTTGGCTCGTATAATTGGGCTGTTGGTCTTCTCCCCGCTGTATGCTGATGGAATTGATTTTTATGGTTTTTTTTTTTTTACCTTGATATTCAGAGGTGGATGCGAGTAGGAGGTTACAGCAAACGGCAGCCAGCAACGCCACATAAACATATAGAATTATTTATACAGTGCATGAGATCCACGAAGCGTTACTGTAAGATAACAATTTTTTATGTTAAAAAATTATCTGATTTTTATTTTCTGTCATGTTTTCAAGTTTTTGGGGTCTGGCTGATTAGGTGCGAAATTAGCATTACCTTACATTATCACGAAGAATTCAGTACAATGGAAAAATAAGTTTTTTATAAATATTTCAACAAAAACAGAATGAGCCAAATTTTACACTTTGCATAGTATTAGCTATATCTCCTCCACCTGATAGCACCCAATGCTTTATGTTTACTCAATTCGGTGGAGTCTCGAGACCAAATTAACATAACTGAACCTAACAAGACTATAAATTTGACAAGACTCAAAATTTCATCAATGGCCCTTGAATTCTTTTGAAGAGCTGGCAATATACTGGGCACCATAGCACGTTCATTTATGTGAATCGCTACACTATGAGCCACAAGCAATGATTAGCTCAGGCCCATATTCAAATCAATATTCTATTATGCTAACAGGTACTTATGAAGCACCGGAGGTCGCCCGCCAGTGGCCAGGGAATGGACACCAAACAGACCGCCACATACAGCCTCGTCTTGAAATACTCCAAGCAGTCTGGCCGATGGCTTTCAACATTCAGCCCAGATTCATTCTCAGATCCAGACTTAGCCTGAACATCCAAACACAGGATTGCTAGCCTTTAAATCAGCTGGGACTTCCGGCTCTCCCAAGCATTCAATCTGATCTCTCAGGGAAGCCGTTCCAGCTCCAACGAAGGATAAAGCCGGTCTAAGGCTAACTCAAGTGGCCAAATTGAGAAAATTTTCCCACGGCCACAGCACCACCAGTGGCGCTGGCACAGGCACTCCTAACTGCCAGACCGCTCACACGTGCCCGCCTATTTAGGCACAGCGTACTTCTCGGTCCACTCCTTGGCCACCTCGATGGCCTTCTGCTCGTCCGCCTTCCAGTCTTGCGCCACGTCATTCGCCAACGGGTCGTCCGGGTTGGGCGCTCCCAAAAGCGCCTGAATACTCAACAAAATCGTCCTGATCTGAAGCGCCGGAGACCAGTTATCTTTGAGCACGTCAAGGCAGATCCGGCCCAACTTGTCGATGTTGGGGTGGTAGATTTTCGTGAGAAACCGGACTTTGGGGCACACATGGGGTAGTCGTCTGGGAGATAAAGCTCTAACTTGAATACACCGTTGGCGTAAGGAGACGAATTGGGACCGTCGATGGTCACCTCGAAATAACGCAAGTTGTCGTCCAGAGGCGTTGCCGTGATACCCGGAACAGGGTCGCTGACAAGACGCTCGGTTTCTTTTATGATTCTTTTGGGCAAGGCCGCCATTGATGAAGTGGTATGGATTGTGAGGCACTTTTGCCTGGGGATATAGCCTGGTCGTGCGGTGCTCATAAGGACGATAGTGGTTGGATGCCTAGTACTTATCGAGGGTAAAAGTAAAAGTGAAGGATGCGGTCTAAATCATGTTGTGGTGTCGGCGTTTATTGAATGCTTTCGTTAAGTAAGGCGGGCTTTTGAGGTGTGCAAATGTTCTGGGAGTTGCATTGGAACTGTGGTTGCGAAATGGATACGGTGAGTCTATGGAGACGAAGGGCCGGAAAAAAGAACAATTATCGGCCTTGAAGTTGTTTTAATTTGAGTTAAAAGGCTCAGAGATAAACAAGCATACGAATTGAAAGGGTCTTGAGCTTTTCTGTAATACAGCATAATTCGAGACTAGGGTAGTACTCGGACCTAGCAATTGGGGGCTTGCTTAGTATAATTTAGCAAACATTCAGAGGAAATACCTTTTTGGAGATCATGACCTCTTCAAAGTAAACAATTGATTGGGATAGTTTCAAAAGTCGTGTTCTGACTTTCGATTTTTTTAGTAGCCCACTTTCCTTAGTCGGACGTTTTGACAAACAATCAGAGCCAGAACATCTTAGCTTTATTTCATGAAAGAAAAAAAAAATAAGTTGTTGATCACTGGTCCAATACTGTCCATATTATCTCTTAATAATTCAAGGAATGCCTCTTCGGTGGGCCTCGCTTACTATCCCTCCAACTTCCTCGGAGCCGTTTGCCAAGCTTGCACCATAAACAGAGTGACCCAAAACACTTAATTACACTTGAAGTGGGAATTCTGATTCAGATCTGATCAAATGAAAGTAGAAAAAAAAAAAAATAAGAATGACTTACCGAGTCTTCTGATCAGAGCTAAGTGTGAATATACCATCAAAAGCTTAATCTAAACTTCTTCACCAACTCCACACATCAACAACTTTTACCGGACCCTTCACCCATGTAAGTCCGTACAATGACTGCCAAAACGGCCACTACCCAAACATTAAACCTCCCCTCAATATAACCCAATTCTCCCGTTTCATTGGTCAAAAGTTTGTCTCAGAATCTGCAGAGGAGTTGCAAAATGGCGCTGGCTGTCAGTGGCCGTAAACGCTCACGTCAGTAGCCAATGAGGTAATATCTCCAGGATGCATTGCAGCATGCCTAACGCAGAGTCTCGGCGGTAGCTCCGAAATTCTTTGTTTCCAACGTAAACAGCGATTCTATGGAAACTCTAAGCGCATCAAGAAAAGCATATCCTGGCTCTACGAACAAGGCGGGGCAAGGTGGTCTGATAAGCCAACGGCGCCAAGCTAAAAAAGTCAGTATTTACGATTGTTGAAAACAGTTTACACCAGATCTCAGTAAGCTCTATTAAGCTGTAGTTGAAATGGATGATCCCAAATGATGGAAAAGCCACCGCCGGAATTTTAAATCCACACAATGGCTAAATCTCATTCTGAAACGTTGGACCCCAGAATCAGGCGGTTTCTGTGCATTATCGCCAAGTTGCCATTATCCCAGGTGACCCAATATGGAAGCCTTATTGTTGCATTTACGCATCGAACGCTATGGCCAATCAATAACGAGGCTTGCAAAAAAGCGAAAGTTAGATTTGTGAGAGAGTTGCTCGGGCTTAAGCTACCCTCGAATGTCCAAAAAATCGTCACACCAAATCGCATCTCCAATCTCCGGAAAATTCCCCTGAATGGCTATCGTTGACATATTTTCAAACAAACCGTATTGCCGAGGGCTGGTGGACACTTCCAGGATAGGTAAGCGAGGCTGCTGCCTGCAGGACATATCGTGAGAGCTCCTTCCTGATTAGGCAATTGTCAAGACGTAATGGCTGCAAGAACCATCGTCTCCCCAGTAAGTATCTCCCAAATCGGGTAATTACCCATTGTATCCTTCCCCATGAGGGTCCCTAAATCTTCCCTGGCCAACGGCGACCTGCCTGTTTGGGCAATGGAGGGGCAAATGGCCAGCAGTGGGGCATCTTTCTGAAATCTTATATAGCTCTGCAGGGTCCGCCGTTTTTGTTTCGGTTTTGCACTTCGGAGATTTGCCGGGTTATAAAAGTGGTTCATCGATTTGATATAATAAATAAGCCTTACATTGAAGGATCCAATCATCCTAGCATCAACCATCCTAGCATCAACCATTCTAGCATCCATCCTAAAGATCCATAAGGTTGTTATCCTAAACACTATCCCAATCCCAAAGCATATCACAGAATCTTAATCCATTTGTGGTACTTCCTGACATTCCCAAAGGAGAAAACCAACTAGCATCTTAACTCACCTTGCATCCGATTCGCAGCCGTTCTATCCGTAAGAGCCACCCATATAAGAGCCAAGGTTTAGCACTCCCTCCACAGCATCAAATAATTAATTAATACAGAAATTCAAACGTCATCCAGAAAAATCCATCTTTCCCATATAAAAACACCCAAATCCGTGTCACCCAGATTCACGTCCTACATCCTCATCGCGAAAAAATCACATTCACTTCCACGGTATCAGACCATCAGTGACCACAAACAGCAGATTCCATAAATCTCCGAAAGTTCCTACAAACTCATCATCAGCTTTTCATTCAAATATGCCACCAAACAGCAAACTCCCCCTTCATCGCCCATCTCGCACAAAATCGTTGTGGGTACCCTTGCAACACTCATTGGAGCCTGGGCTTTCTGGCAAGTTGGCAAGGATTTCCAGTTTGTCAAGTTCGAGCCTAGACTGCCTGAGGAAATCGAAAAACGCCGGAAAGAGGGCACCGGATTGGAGATTCGTTCTTTGGAGACGAGAAGCTTGGAGTACACCGATGAGGCCAAGGCTCGGTTGAAAAGGAAGTTTGAAGAGAGCGAGAAGAAGTGAAGCTGAGGGATTGAACTCAGCAGTTCTGAGGATCGAAACGCTCCCTTCTCTAGGGTAGATTTTTTGTTGAAAAGTCAAATTGTCAGATCGGTGAGAATCTCGATGAGACCACCAGAAACTCACATTATCCAAAAGCATCCAAGCCCTTCAAGGCAATGATGGTGTGGAATTCTGTCCGAAGCGTCCTCAAGCTTTCAATTTCTGATTGTATGATCGTTGACCAGTGGAATTTGATGAAACCACTCAGCAGTGAGGAGCCTCAAAGACAAGACATTGAAAGGCATTTCAACCTTGAAGCCTCAACTTGAAGTCATCGTTTCCATTTGGCGAAATGGTCAATTCTATTTGCTCCATGGTTACCAGATCCCATACCTGAACCTGTCGAGACCTTCTCAATTTTCAATAATTGACACAAGAAGTCAACGACTGGCTAGGCCAATCAATGGCCGGTGCTCCATCCTCCGAGCCTCGAATCTCAACGGTTTGACTCATCCCTGGAATGCAACGTTGCATTCACCACACAACTGCTGGTCCCTGAACCTCAAGCACTTCCTTGACTTCAACTCAGCTGGCGTCGTTTAAACTATACCTTCTTCGCCAGGTACCGAAAAGCACAGACAATCTTCCAATCTGGCCGGAAAAGCAAATCCACGATCGGCTCAAACCCACAATCTGATCCTCCATTTTCTCCGGATTTTCATCACACCACAACGGGCTGCACCCTAACGCCCAAACCAACAAACCCAAACGAAAAACGCTTTTTTTATCGATTATTCAGAGGACGCCAGAAACGCTCAGTTCCATTCTGGAATTGCTACTCGGAGAGGATCCTGAAAATTTCCATTATCGACATTAGCTCATTGGCCCATCTGGTGGTGAATGCACTCCTTAGTAACCTCGCCTGTGGGAAGATCTACACAATTTCGTCCCACCATCGGGGATCTACGAAGGAAATTCTCGTTTTCCATTATCGGCTGATACGGCGAGCGGAATTAAGTGGAATTAAGTCAAACGGCCCCCTTTGCCAATCCTCCAATTGAAGTGGAGGTTATCTCCTGGAGGAATCACAAACGGTGACATCACTTGGCACTGCGGGGGCTCCATTGGTCCGGCCCTGGAACGGTGTCGTTTCTTTTTTTTTTTTTGAAAGCACCCGAGGAGTCAAGGTGCCGAGGAGTTAAGGTGCCATTGACTAAACGGGCGCCCCACTTCGTTTGAGGCGGTACTAGTGGGGAGGTGATTTTTCGCTTTCCCGAGTCCCTGTGCGGCGCGAGCTGCCTTCGAGTGGCGCACCCGTACACCAACTCATGCGCCATTACACCACCCCCACCTTTCAGAAACTTCCCTGAAGCGGCTGAACGGAAGGGAGTTTTGGGATGATTTTGACATGGCCGGGGTGCTACAGCCCCCTAGTTTCTAGTGCCGTTTGGCCCACAGGAATCTGCCCACCACACCGCAATCAAGTGAGGACTTCCCCTATGCGGAGAGATCGTCAACATTACACAAAGAGGCTGATAACGCCAGAGATCTCTAGTCGCCAATATGCAGGATATGCGCATTTCGGCCTAAACAGGCAAGCTAATGGGTTGCGCGTGCCCATGACACGTACTGCACAATGCTCACCACGGAGCACGGCAACGTTGAACATGTTGAAGAGAAAAATTGAGAATGGCACAATTGGGCCCCTCCAAGCACCTCGTTAAACCCGCCGCCCACCACGGACGTCCGACTTTTGCGTTTTCGAGAAATCACACATTTTACTTTTATTTGTCGATCCTTTGAGAATATCCCCAAACTGGAAGAGTAATAACACGAATATTATTTGAGGTGCTGCCGGGCCGGGCGACTAAATTAGTGACGTCGGCGGCTCAAATGGGCCGGGCTGAGAGGATAGATGGACGTGGAGTGCATACAAGCCTTTTTTTTTCGGTTCTCCTCACGCCAAACGAGCGATACCACATACAAATTAAAAAAAAAAAAAAATGCGGAGAAGAATAACGCACCTGGCGGGCACTCCCCTCGCCCGCAAAGGGCTTTACTTCAACCACCCCGCCGTGACTTGCGCCCGGGACTTGCAGTAGGGGATTCGAGGCGAGGACTAAAAGGGAAAGTGGGGGTGGTGAAAGCGACTTTCGATGCATCAAGCAAACTCGAACCACCATACCCAAAAGTGCCACTGGTGGAGACGTATAATCAGTTTGTTGGGTGGCCAAAAGTCCGAGATCCAAAAGAGCAAATGAAGATGGCGCAAAAGCAGCAACGCCTGCTGCCACCCTTGCCTAGGGGTGTGCAGGCTTGCAGGGGTTTTGCTTGCCCCATTAGGCCGCGTGCATATCGTATATCTGCAAGCACTGAAAAGAGGGGATTGCCTAATTAGGCCGGGCGTCGTCTCGTCTCCTTGGAAAAGCCATCTCACAATCAAACCTGGCCGGACGCTGACCCCCTCCCGGCACCCCTGAACTAACGCCCGTCGTGGTCCTGCCGATCTGTGCATGGTCGTACGAAACGAGAATTCATGGAAATTTTGCAATTATCAGAAAAACAGAAAGAGCTACGCAAAAACTGATGCCACCACCGGATTCTACGGCCCAAAATAGACCCGAGTATGTGGATGAAATTCACCTTGTTCCAGTACATGGCGTGGAAAATCCACAATTTATTCTCGCGGCCATCGGCTGCAAAGCGATTAATTGGGCCACTTTTGGAGGATCTACGCCTTTTATGGATCGGCCTAGCTAGCGAGCCACAATGGCCCATTCTAATTAGGTTCTTGTTTGCCCGGTTGTTACTTGTTTGGCTTTTCTTCAATTGTCCATTATTGAAAAGCTTACTTACACGAGCAGTTTACGAGAAGCTCTGGCGGACCAGTTCGAACCTGAAATTCGGCCGGTATTCCAGAAACTCCCGGTACCGCCCTCTTCGGGCCTCTAGCATTAGCAGCCTTGCTTCGGAGGGGTGGATATTGAGGTTTTCATGGATTCTCCACTTGCGCATACACATGCCTGAGCACTTGCCCAATTAGGGTGCGGAGTATGCAGAGTACTGCGCGCAATTTACTCGATCGGGTAAAGAAGGTGCAGCCTACCCAACTAGGAAATATAACAACTCTAGACCCCCAGACGACGGCACAACCTGGTCTTACAGCGGTAGCACGAGAAACCACCCAACTGGACCTGGCTGAGCAGGCACAGGTGGTTTGCTGCATGCCAAAGCTCGAAAATCACACAATAACGCCGGGCCAATGCCCAGGATGCCTATTTAGTCAAATGTCGTGCATACAGCCGCCGGACAGTATTATGGGATTTCCGCTTGGGTCGACAAAGCGGCATCTGTGCAGTGCCCGCATCGCCTGATCTGCAGGCCATGCAGAGAGTTGCAAAATCACCATCAGAATCCATATAAATGGGCCCTCCTCCCCCCGTCCAGAAAAAGTCCTATCCCATCAATTAATAATGCACGTGCTCCCACCAGCCAATGGCACGAAGCTTTGGAGAATCAAAAGACTGGTTCTGGGCCTGCCTTCTTCAGCAGATGCCTCTTCCTCTCTCGAATGCTACAACTCGTCTCAGAGAATCCTGGCAGCAGGCAAGCAATTCATGCTGAGAAGACCTCCTCTCAAGAGACCAAAGTCCAAGCCTGGAATGCCCAAGGACTTTGTGTTTGTCGACCTTTCGCCGGTCAAGTCCGAGGAGAAGCTCTCGGAAGAGAATGTGGAGAAGCTTCCTGGCAACGAAAGCGATGTCTCATCGCCCACCGTCGACACGGTCTTCTCAGAGAACTCGCCCACGCTGAGCTTCTCGAGCTTCTCAAACTACAACTATGCGTCTGACGACTTGTACGGTGCATGCTTTGACGAGAGTCTTCTTGGCCTTGGCCTCATGGGGGTTGATTTCCCAGAACAGGTGCAACCACAGCAGGCTCCTCCACAGCAGGCTCCTCCACAGCAGAATGTCACGCCTCCACAGCAGACTTTCCCCCAGTTTGACATGTCTTTTGGCCAGGTGAGCCCCATTTCTCCTACACAGCTGAATGTTCCAAGTGAGCCTCAGCAGCCCCAGTCACAGCCTCAGCAGGCTCAGCAGCCTCAGCACAAGAGAAGAAAATCCGCTGGCGGATTCACCTTCAAGAGCTACACGGGGCCCAATGGCGGCGTGAAGAAGAGAAAGTCGCAGAACCACAGAAGATGCTTTTCTGAACCAGCCAAGAAACAGCAGCAGGCTCCCACGCCGCCTCTGATGGAGGAGTTTTTGCACATGCCCAAGGTGGAGAAATTCGACGGTTTCGACTTGAGCATGGTGGACGAGATGGGTGCTTTTGCCTACGGTGAGGACAGATTCAAGGAGGAGTTTGACTTGCAGAAGTACCTCTCCATTTAGGCAAACATTCCAATCGACTTTTTTCACTCAGGCATCTCGTTGACCGAGATGACGCCACATTCGGTTTCGATACACCAGGATTCTTCAGCTACCCCAGCTTTCATTCACACTGGACACTTACTTCGCTTTACAACACTACAGTCATTTTTCAGAACTTTCCATTTCGACTTCGCCATTTCGTTACTTGATCAATCGCTTACTTTAAGCACCATTTCCTTCTTGCGAGTCCCTCGCTTGATTCTTAGGCTACAAGAATCTTTCTTTTCGGATTCCGCCCCAGCGTTCGAGACGTCCTCATGACTGGCTCACGCCCGGGCTTTTTCCCCTTCGGATATTTTTACCTTTCCCTTCGGATATTTTTACCTTCGCCTTCGCTATATTTGCACATTCGCCATTTCGCTATTTTGCACCTTCGCCATTTCGCTATATTTGCACCTTCGCCATTTCGCTATATTTGCACCTTCGCTATTTTGGAACCTTACGCTTTCCTTGGAATATTGTCTTGATACCCTTTTCGGTTGCATGCATTTTGCACTTTTCTCCTTTCGTGTGAGCCCTGCCCTTTTCGTCGCATCTTATTTATATCTTGCCCAATGGGGCCTATGATCCAACGCTTCGCTACTC